AAGAACTTGGCGGTGTATTTGATTTTCGTCGTTGGCTAGCAGAGCCGTATGGTTGCGGTAGAGGAGCTGACGAAGAAGGTGGCTTGCTCATGGGTATTCGAGGGCTGGCCGAGGAACCCTGTCGGTGATGTATAGTAGATGTGCTCGAGACTGGAGATGCAGCTTGGGACGCCATATTCTCGACTTCTTCAAGTGAGTTTGACTGCCAACCCTTATTGACTTTGACCATGGCATATGATAGACGCGTTTTTAACTCGTTGGACAACTAGAACAAGCGTGTTAGTCGTGACTTCACAAGCGATTGAGCACGTCTTTGAACGGAGACGCGGTTCTCGTTAGATCGCATTCGACATACCTCTCCAATGCGGCCACCCGCTGCGGATGTCCTGCTCACAGCGCTTGGGTTTCTTGAATGGCCCTTCACGGGACTTTGGCTATCTGTCCGGCTTTTAACCTCTCCATCGGCCATCCGCTTCCGTGAATTTGTGGGATCTGTCGCGATTCTATGCTGAGCAGCAGCAATCTCCGACAGTTGTAACAACTGACTGTCCTGACTTGACGGACCAGGTGCACAGTTGCTGGCATCGCTGGCTGGGGGTGTGAATGCGGGATCTGTGGAAGTGGTCATGGTGGTCTCTTGCGAATCGGTGTTTGAGTGAGGATGGCTCTGTGTAGAGCCATCGTCATGGTCGATGGAAGATTTGCGCTGCATTTTGGCGATAGCTGCGACAACAACGGCATGGGCGGTTGTAGTTCCAGCTGTTGAATCAACAGCAATATCGCTGGCAGGCGCAGCAGTTGGCGTTGGCGTAGGCGTTATCGATGCAATCGGGTTTGGGTGGGAGGCTCGCGAGAGCGCGTCGGCCGGGGTGGTACCGCGAAATCCCCACCTTGTCGCGCTCCCGTCACTGTCGCTGGTGCTGTCTCAGTGGGAGCGTCCAGTCGGGTATCTGCCGTCTTGAACGGGGGAGGAGGCGCAATGCGATTGTTATCCAGCGCAATTTCAACCAAAGGCTGATTGGGACTCATGACGGGAATAGGAAGCCTCCAGGTTTGGAGTTGTGAACGTTGTTAGGGCCAAGATCGAGTCGCTGAAGAGGGACCACAATTGGAGGGATTCCAGAACGTGTAAGCCTCTAACTTGGGGTAGTAGATCCGCTGTACAAGTGAACCCTCACTTTTAGGTGCTGGAGAGTGCAGACCGACAACTGAAGTGGAGGGCGACCGACACGTTAGAGGGCCCCAGAGAGAAGGGTCTAGGGTCTAGACAGATGCTGAGACTGACCACGCGGCGGGAAATCCGGGCCACCAAGGGAGCTAGGGAATAATTGGGTTTTGACGATTTGATGTGATATCCAATGTTGTCTTGTTTATTTACTATTATTCGTCATGAAGCTATAATTAAATGAGCGACGAAAGTGATAAAATTAAAATTGAGCAAGGAACAAAAGACAGATATAAGTTGCAGTAAGTCTAGGTACTGAATTAGGTTGCCATTTTACACCTGCCTGCACTGTTGGTTTGTGGTTTGGCATGGCCTCAACGCGGTCTGATACGCGACTTGGCTTGACTCGAGCACAGAAAATACCTTAAAATGTGCGCCTGCATGGGGACCCGACAAGCCAAGCCCAGACCCGAAATCTGCTAAAGATACACTAAGCTTTAGTGGCTGCAGGGTTGTCCTCGGGCAACTTGCAGGGCGTTCATCCGCTGAAGTCACAGCACTGAGTTTATCATCTCCTCAGTGACACAAGCCAGTCGGGTCGCGTGCTCAAATAATGTCACAACGGAAGAGATACATACGATGATGCGGACGGGAGCGTTTAATAGGTACTTCAACGGTGTGATGGCAAAAACGAGAGGGCCATGATCTGAGGTGTCCATTAAAGACCTCATTCCCACTCATGCACCTCAAAAATACAAAAAGCCGCGTGGCGCTGCAAGGTTTTGGGAGGACATTTGAGAAATGAAGGAAGATAAGCTTGCGCAACGCGCGTAGGCATCAGTAAAAAACATTCACGACATGATTGTTGGAGTAGAACAGTACATGGCACTGTAGCAAATCATTTTCGATATCATACCTCAGCTCGAATGCAGACGAACGAGTACGCCAGCAATGACCTCACCCCTGTAACCCCAACTTCGTCTGTCCCCCTCATTCAATGGGACCCCATGACACGCTTGGGCCAGCCAGAGACGTTGATGACGCGAGATCACGTGGCAATAGTAGATCATTATGATTGTGTGTAATAAACATTGGCCATTTCTAACGGCAGCTACAGTACCGGCTGGGAAATGACATGAAAGGGAGAACTCTTTCGAATGCAAGGTATTTAAGTCTTTTATTGCAGTTTTCATTGCTACCATAATTTAGCAGACGAGTCTTTGCGCTGAGTCTATCATGATATGAACATGTCTATCTACCCCGGAAATGAGCTTCATCATGGCTGTCCGTATCATCCACAAGCTGGCTCATCACTTCTATCATGCCCTTGAACGCCTCCATCCAAGATCACTTCCTCGTTGTTATTCAGATCATGCTGGACTCTCTGCCATCCCTTCTTCTTTCTCGATTCTCTTCCCTCAACTTCCGCACCCTTGCCCTTGGCATCAAACACAGGCTTAATCAACGCTCCCAACAGAGGATTTCCGCTGAAGGCTCCGCCGCCTCTTCCACTGTTCTTGTTCGCTGAGGTCTCCCCAAGTGCGCCATCGTCGACAGGGTCTTCCTCGGACTCAGGAGTCACGGGTCGTTCGACCGCTGCCATCTTGCGAACAACCTTGCCGCCAACCACGTCAATACTCACAACTTGCTTTCGCTTCTCGTATTCTGGCCGCGCGTTCCACTCCATTTCTCGGAGCACTTTCTGTTGACGCTTCAGTTCTCGCGCTCTCTCCTCAGGGGTTGCCCACATGCTGCCTGTCCCTGTAAGCGCTCCGCCGACATCAAAATCAGCAGCCTCATCGCGGACTGTCGTTCGCCTGGCATTTTGTGCTTGAAAATTGAGAAGCTTGTCGCGATGCGCACGAGCCTTGGCTTCAGCGTCGCTTAGTGAAGCGCCGTCGTTGCCGCGTGGTTGAGTAAACGGCGCTGGGGTCTTGGCAACGTCAGCACGGCGGTTGGCGTCTCGGTTAGCTGCCATTCGTTCGCGACCTCGCTCATCCTTGAGCTCCCGGACCATAGCTTGGACGTCATCTGGCGTCAAAAGAGGGCTGCCGCAGAATGTGCAAGGTCCGAGACCTTCCTTCATGCATATCACCTTGCCGCATGAGAGACAATTTGGCGCAGCGCCTTGAAGAGGGTGTCGTGTAGCGACGCAATTGCACTTCCTAGACTTGGAATTCTCCAGTGTGGGATTTGTCGAAATTTCAAGCGCCCTGATAGCAGCGTCCAGATCAGAAATAGCAGTCGAGGCTCCAGCCATCGGCAAGCCTCCAGCTATAGATATCTTTGTGCTTGTAGCTGGCTTTGGTGTAGAACTTCGTGATACAGGCGTAGACTTAGGCTTAGATTTCGGTGGTCCTTCCCCTATAAGATAACCAGCTGAGGCATGCTGTTTAGGCGGAGGCTTCGCGACAGGCTTTGGGTCTGGTTTCGGCGTGTTCGATCGTGAAGCATTGTTACTGCTGGGAGCGCTCGAACGCTGAGGAATGTAGTCAAGGCTCAGGTCCTTCTTGCTGTATGTTGTACCCGCAGGCGCAGCATAGTCGTTAACTTGTCTTGCCTGCGGTGTGTGAATATTTGCCTTCTTCTTTTTTGGTTGTCGTTTCGTCCTGGGCACGGCCTCGATATTCTGTGCTTCGGGTTCAGCCGGTGCAGCGGCATTGGAGTACAACGAGCTCCCAGGCGCCGAAGTTTGCCGTCGGGAGTTAAACGACGATATAAAATCGATGGCTTGGGGAGAGTCTCCTAGAAGGTTTCCAAAATGCTCTGCAGCTTCTGTTGTGGAGAGAGTCGAGCCGTAATCGAGGACCTGCTTAAGCTCCTCGTCGGGAAGCGGTAACAGCTGCGAGAGCTGTGCGATCGACATGGCTCGTTGTTCTCGTGACAGAATGGGGGGTTCTCAGGACTTTCTAATTCTTCAGTGTGGTTAGGCGACTGTCTTCTTTTCGTTAACGGTGAAAGGGTGAAAATTGTTGAAAATGGAATGTTGACGTCGTTGAAGAAGATAGCTTTGAAGCTCCCCCACCAAACATCTTAGCCCCTCCAAGGTTTAAGAGCATTCTGTTTGCTGACTCACACGCCGACTTTTGCCCTTCAGTCCCTCCATATTGACGGATCTGCCATTTCGTAACTAAACAACCGCGTTTGTTCCTTTATTAAGGTCTTCCTTTGTTCCATCCTGTGTCTTGAGAAGTATCTTTTCAGTCAACTTTGACTGACTTTGGCAGTTGTTCACCTAGCTGGATCAGCTAAGAAATACTTTCGCCATGAATGCAGCAGGCTATTGGTGCTCGGTTCTTTTCCCGTACTGCGTACACGTGCAATTGTTTTATGGCAGCTATTCTCTCTTTCCGAGGCACCCGTAGGAACCTGATATATGAACCATCATGTGGTTCTGCAAGCCTACAGCCATTGATCCGCTTTATTCTGGATGTTCACAGGGCATGGATCCCATAAATCCAGCATTTCGGTGTAAGTTGAAGAGCTATACTTACAGTACCGGATGAATGGATGAGTGAATGATGTCGAAGCGAGCCAACCAGACAGCCAGGATGGTTAACTAATGCTTGATTTACGGACATATTCCACCCAAGATCCAGTGATCAGATGGCCTAGGCAAAGTGGTTTTCAGCGCACAACAACCTTGAGACTTCTAAATTTCCTCCGAGCATATATGGACAATCAGAAATTGTAAAAGTAGAGAGATTTACTATATGATAATAATAGGTATTCTATTATATAAGACGTTCTTGTCCAATTTTCCGTGTCTTCCCAAAAAATCGAAATTCCGAGCCTCCTCCGCTCCGGCCCCTCAGCTCGATACGCTAAGCCGAAAGGGGCATAACATGCCTTGAATTGCGTCGCACTGGAGCTTCCCCATCCTCCTCCTTCCGGTTCTCCCTCCCCGTATTTAAAGTGCTCATCGCCAACTTCTTCTTCTTTCCACCCGCATCCCGTCCTTTTTTACCCTTTTCTCCAATTGAAGAGTTAATCAATCGCAAAAATGTTCGCCGCTTCTCGTATCCAGCGCCGTGCTTTCTCGGCCACCGCCCGTGATGTAAGTTAATGCCCTCACTCATGAGCGCACCGATCTGTGCCACTTTGTGTTTTTTCCTCTTCACCGACCGACACCGGCCCGGCTGTTGAGAAGCCATCATGAAATTAGACTTGAGCCTCAGAACAGCTGAAACAGCTTCAATGCTTCCAACAAGTACTGACATGTCTTCTATAGCTCTCCAAGGTCACCGTTCTTGGTGCTGCCGGTGGCATTGGCCAGCCTCTCTCTCTTCTCCTCAAGATGAACCCCCGCGTCACTGACCTCGCTCTCTACGATATCCGTGGCGGACCCGGTACGTAACGATACCAGCAAATTCTTTTGGTCGAGGGCAAACACAATTGCGAATTGGGCATAGACGAGGATCGAGTAACGGTCATGTCGACCACGTTCGCTCAAACTCAATTCGCCTATGTTGCCACCTCAGCCAGATCTGGGCCACCAGCTAACAAATTAAATCCAGGTGTTGCTGCTGACATCTCCCACGTCAACACCAAGTCCACCGTCAAGGGCTACGAGCCCAACGCTGCCGGCCTCAAGGATGCTCTCTCTGGTGCCGAGGTTGTCCTCATCCCCGCTGGTGTTCCCCGCAAGCCCGGCATGACCCGTGACGATCTCTTCAACACCAACGCCTCCATCGTCCGCGACCTCGCCAAGGCCGCTGCTCAGGCTGCTCCCAAGGCCAAGCTCCTGATCATCTCCAACCCCGTCAACTCTACCGTCCCCATCGTCAAGGAGGTTTTCAAGGCTGAGGGTGTCTACAACCCCAAGACCCTCTTCGGTGTCACCACCCTCGATGTTGTCCGTGCCTCCCGATTCGTTTCCGAGATCAAGGGCACCGACCCCAAGGACGAGAACATCACCGTTGTCGGTGGCCACTCCGGCGTCACCATCGTCCCTCTTTTCTCTCAGTCCAACCATCCCGACCTCTCCTCCAACGCTGAGCTTGTCAAGCGTGTCCAGTTCGGTGGTGATGAGGTTGTCAAGGCCAAGGACGGTGCTGGCTCTGCCACTCTCTCCATGGCCATGGCTGGTGCCCGCATGGCTGACTCCATCCTCCGCGCTGTCCAGGGCGAGAAGGGTGTCATTGAGCCCTCTTTCGTCGAGTCTCCTCTCTACAAGGACCAGGGTATTGAGTTCTTCAGCTCCAAGGTTGAGCTCGGCCCTGAGGGTGTTGAGAAGATCCACCCTCTCGGCAAGCTCGATGCCAACGAGGAGAAGCTCGTTGAGGCTGCTCTCGTCGACCTCAAGAAGAACATCGAGAAGGGTGTTGCCTTCGTTGCCTCCAACCCTCCCAAATAAATGGTTTCTGAGCTCACTGCGAGCTTAGAGAACGGCCTAGCTTAAAAAGAACTGGGTGATGTGGCGAAAAGGGGAAAAAAGGATAGAGGTAAACTCTCAGTACGGATGTCTTTCGTGTGAGAATTGGGAACAAGAACCGGGGTGTATGAGCGATTGATATACCCATGCTTTTCTTCCTACTGTTCTACCGCCTCAATAGACTTGGGTATCCGGTCTGTGTCTGTACTATAGCAATGAATGAAAAAAATACCCCAAGATACTGTGTGCTCAGTGACTGAATTTAGCTAGCAAGCGAATACTGGTACTACAATTAGGAGTAGTGAGTTTCTGGAGTCAGTAATATTAACTAGCCATTATAACGTTACAATCATAGCCTTGGGCAAACGAATGGCCACTTTGAGCCTCAAGTACAATTAAAACAATTGGTTGCGTTCATATGATCAAGTCTACCCCATCAATAGTATACACCTACAACTTAGCAGACTGGTAGCTTCTCCAGCCTGCCCATCCCTAATATTTCCCTCCTGTCTATAATAATATGCTTACTCTAAAGCCTCCCATGAGATCTAAACCAAACCCTCAACCATCTCATTATGATTGAGTAAGACTATTAAGTCCTTCCAGCTCGCCACTCCTCGATCTTTCTCCGTCGCTCCTCAACCTTACGTTCAAACTCGGCAACCTTCTCGAGTCTCTTCTTCTCCTCCTCCTCTTCTTTCTTCTTCTGCGCGGCGGCACGACGGACAGCCTCCCTCTCCAGCTGCTCGGGTCGTCGCTCGGCAATATCGCGGGGCCGGTAGTCGCTGAAGAACTTCTTCAAGCTGACCTCGATGATCCAGCAAGCAGCGTAGTCGATGACCATGACGGCTGTCATATTGGTCTTGAACTCGTCCGAGAAAGGAACAAGCTTCATACCCTCGTTGATATCGGGGAAGAGCTCGAGAGCACAGGCAAAAGCAAGTCCGGAGACACCGACGATACCGTAGAACATACCCTTGTTCTCAGAGAGAGACTCACGGAAGGGACGGCCCTGGTAGTTGATGGCGAAGGTGGAGATTTGCTGGATAAGCTGGAGAAGGTAGACGGCAGAGTTGAGCAGAGATGGGGCAAAATCAGCCTCAAGATCAACATCCTCAGAGCGACTGTAAAATGTTAGCTATTATATCAAGTCATGAAGAATAGAGTGTTAACTTACGGAGCAAGTCTATCGCAAAGTCGGGCGATGTAGATCAGAGTGACGATGTGAACAGCAAACTGTCCCAGAATAGAGCCGATGATGTAAACGTTGAAGATGTTAGGCTGAGGACGTTCCTTGCTAAGGCCCTCAACGACACGAGCGCGAGAAATGCTAAGGAAGCAAACCGACATGAGCATACCACTGATGGTGTACTGTGTGTCACCAAACTTGATACCCTCAAGGTACAAGACGGACAAGGAGTAGGCGGTAATAAGACAGTTGAGAGCAAGAATCTTGTACATCTGGATAGTGGCGACGAGAGTGCAACGACCCTGGCGGATGATGTTGGGGACTGCGACGACGTTTCGAAGTTTGGATGTGAAAGGGGCAGCAACTGAGGCATCACCGAGCTTGAGAGTAGGGGGCTCGTCATCTCCCAATTCAGCTTCCATCATACCGGACGCAAGCTTGTCAGCAAAACCGGCAGCCTTCTTAGCAGCCTCGCCTTGACGGTTAGCGTGAGGGCCAGCATCCATTAGAGCCTGAGCGCCAGGAGAAGTGATGGTCTCGAAATCGAAGCCTTGAGACTTGGCGTATTCCTCAGGGCTGACGTTCTTCTTTTGAGCCTCACGCTCGATAGCCTTCTGGAATTGAGGGTTCTGAGGTCCAGGGGGGTAAAGGTGGGCAATCATAGCAGGAACGGGAGGATTGGGTTGGTTGAAGCGCTTCATGAGATCACATTGCTTCTGATACATCTCCTTCATCTTGGTGTTGCGGGAATGTTCGGCGATACGGGTGAGATCTTCAGGAGTTCCGTTCAGCAGAGCAATACCAATGTGAGCCTGCTTCAAAGCACCAACATCGTTGGTACCGTCTCCAGCCATCAGAGTGTAGTAACCCATATCCTTGAGACCAAGGAGAATATCCTCCTTTTGCTTGGGAGAAACACGAGCGTAGACCCAGGTGTGGCGCAGAATCTCATTCCAAGCAACTTGTCCCTTGAACTTTGCAAGAGCATAACCGGTAACACAGATATCCTTGGAGCGAATGATCTCGGGGTCGATGGGCTTGGTGGGGTCGACCTTGATGCTGACCTTATCATCAACACTCTTCCAGACGAGCTTATCACCGTTGGAGTTATCTTCAGGGGCATCAAGAATGAGAACGTCACGATCGACGATTTCAACCTCACGAGCGACATGGACGGCGGTAAGGGGGTTGTCTCCAGTAATCATGACCACGCGGTGGCTGCTCTCGTTCAACATCTGGACAGCCTCCTTGGCATCATCCTTGAGAGGGCAGTGCAGGACGAGGAAACCGGCGAATGTCAAGTCAGATTCAACCTTCTCTCGCTTTAAGTCGTTGATCTTTCCAGAACCAAGTTCAGTATCAATGGTGAGCTGCTTGTATGCGAGAGCCAAAACACGAGAACCCTTGCGAGTGAAGTACTTGTAAGTCTCTTCGTAGTCGTCGGGGATAACCTTGAGCATCTTCTGGATGGTCTCGGGCGCACCCTTGACGCCAGCGAAAGTACCCTTGATCTTGTGGCCGGTCTTGATATCGTTTCCGTGAACCATGGCAACAGAGCTCTGACGCTTGAGAGCAGAAGAGAACTGAAATCGACGCTTGATCTGAACGGTGCCGTGTGTGCTGCCAGCCTTGTTGGTGCTCATAAGAGTGTCATTGCGACCAAGAGTCCAGCCAAGAGAGGTCAGTGTAGCCTTTTCCATGGGATCACCGACAATATCTCCCTCGTCAAGCTTGACAAGGGCGTGGGCGGTGGCAAGAACCAACTTAGTTTCAAGAGAAGCCTCTGTGACAGGAGTCATGGTTGAGTGAGCACCGTCCTCCTCCTTGGTGTCCTTGATCTCATCTTCGTGTCCAAGAGCCAGACCAGCAATACCCTCGACAACGAGATCTTCACCAGTCAGGGTACCGGTCTTGTCAAAGCAAGCCACATCAACACGACCGGCGAATGGAATTCGGAAAGGTTCAGTACAGAAAATAGCCAACTTAGCCAGAGCTGCCAAGCTGGTGTTGACGGCAAGACTAAGCTCCATGGGAAGCTCAGGAGGAACGACACTGGTAACGATCAAGACACAGTCGAGCATGAGCTTAGAGCGCTTGCGATCCTTGCGAACACCCTCATCCCAAACATACCAAGCGGCAGCAATGGCGAAGATCAGAAGGAACAGAATGAAGAAGAGAGCCTCGGCGTTGTTGGCAGAGACTCGCTCAGTGGAGTAGATCATAGTTCGAACCAGGTTACCCTGGGAAGTCTCGAAACCAGTCTTCATGACGATGGCCATAGCGCCGTTATCCGGAGGAGGTGGAACACCGGAGGAAAGCTTGGGCTTCTCCTGGTCAGGGTTTCCGTGGGTGATCTGGAGAACCTTGGTACCACCCCACAAGAAAGCGTTCTTATCAAGACCTTCAGCGTCCAGAGGAGCATCGGAGGGTCGAAGTTGGATGGAGTCCTTGAGGAGAGGAGTACTCTCACCGGAAAGCATAGCCTCGTTAACAATAGCAGTACCTTCGACCAAGAGCATATCACAAGCAACACCGCTGTCCTCCTTGGTTCGGTTGACAGAGGCAAGGTCGCCAGGGAGAAGCTCGTCGCTCTGCACCTCGGTCCACTTGCCCAGACGGAACACCCACATATCGTAGGGCTTGATGCTCATGCCGCGAAATTCGTTTAGGGTGCGCTGACGCTGCCAGACGACAGTACTCTCAAACACGACAAGCATGAAGAGAGTAAAGAGTGAATAGTACCAGTACTCATCAAGCATCCAAAGTCCAACACAGAAAATCTGGAAGACGAAGAACGGGGCGACTGCGTGCTCCTTGAAGAGCTCGGTGAAGGTGGGAACGGGAATATCGAAAGCGTTCTTGCCATAGTGCTGCTCAATTCGCGACAACTCAGTCTGAGTCTGGATACCCTTTGAAGTCTGGAAGTGGCCGATTGAAGGCTTAGGCTCGGTATCGATATCGTACTTGAGAGTGGTGAAAGATTTGGTAGTTGGATCGTAGAGGAAACGACGCTTCTGGAAGAGGAACGAAGTGTTAAGCTTGCCACCAGCCTGCAACGACGATGTTAGTAATTTGAGCTGTTTCTGAATATCACAATCTCCCCACCTTATCACGAATAAGCTTGCAAATCTCGGCGGAACCGGCGTTTGCAATGGGAATAACCTTGATCAACTCCGCATCCTCAATATCCTTTGCCTTGGAGGCCTTGAACTTGCCCTCAAGATCAACACTCCAGTGTGTGCTAAGCCAGACGAGAGACTGCAGAGTGATGATAGTTCCAACCCAAACGACAGTCCATTCCTCCGCACCAATGTACTTTTCGTAGAGCTCGGGGTCAAGTAAAAGGCGAAGAAGATAGGCCAGATAATAGTAAAGGGCCAGATGTATGCGTGAAAATGGAATGACAACGGGCGCAGCAGCTCGGCGTGCTTGATCTGGGGGTTGTCGACGAGGGGTGCCATGGTGGGCGAAAGGGGTCGAGATAGGTGTATCTCGATCTGAGGAGTATTGTTGAGTCTGAACTATATCATTAGATGAAATATTTGGCTCTATTCGAGTGTTTGCGGTTGTCTGCCCGCCGAGTGGCTAAATTTCCCAATTTCTTGGTTGCAACCTGCAAGTCGCGATCTGTACTTTTCGTCGAAGTAATCGATGGGTTTGGCCCACGCCACGCTTAGTACTGTATGGACCGGCGTCTCGGGGCTTGTCATCCACCGATAGCATCACGTGACGCCTTACGGCACGCCATTTGATTCCAAAAGTCTCCATTGACTTCTCAATAATAGCTGCCTAAGCACATTTTCAGTTGCGACTTATTTGGGCTAAATATGATTCAAGAGGCGAATGAAAATCATAATTGTTCAAGACAAAGGAACAGCAATTGAACCTCTCTCTCATCTGACTCTATGACGACAGACCAGTAGCAGGCAGGGCACTGGAAGAAATGTCTGAGACCCAAGCCTGAATCGTGGCACTATTTCTATCTCTGGGATCTAATCTTATCAAATCAGTTGCCTACACATCCAATGAACTACAATGTAGCGCTACAAGCATCCCTGGCATCTTTGAGTACAGTAAGCTGTCCAAACGAGAACCGTACGAACCAGCCAATTATATAAAGAACCTCTTGACTTCTTCAACCCCAGCTTCATGTCTACGGTGAATTCGTTTTGCCGTGATGACAAAATCGCTCGGGTTAATGGTTCCGATGGGTGATGTTATTCCTCCATTGCCGACTCTATACAGGCAATGTTAGAGTTGAAAGTACCCCTCACAGCAGCTCAACCTTCAGCCTCGGTTGTATATAAAGGCCTAAGTAACCGTAAGTGTTCTCTCGAGTCAAACAGAAAACTCAACAATTACGATTATAACAAATCTACTACCTCGTCATGCCTGTTCAATATGACACTGAATTCGCTGAGGCCCTGGCTCTTATCAAATCTGGCCGCCCTCCAGCTCCCCCTGAGACGGCCTTCGAGATGCGATGCAACAACCACGCTCTCTTTGCCAAAGTGTTTCCCATGGCACCCTCTTCTGATATCGTTGAACAGACAGATTATACGGTTAAGAGTTATGATGGCGCCCAGATACTCCTTCGCCGCTATGCAACACCAGAAGTCCTTACAGCGAAAGAACCACAACCTGCAATTCTTGTAATGCATGGTGGCGGTTTTGTCTCGGGTACCGTGGAGATATGTGGAGGAACCAATGCCGCCATAGCGCTCGAAATTGAAAGGCCAGTGTTCGCGGTTGACTATCGTCTTGCGCCTGAGCATGCTTACCCTGCAGCAGTAGAGGATAGCTTCGCAAGTCTCAAGTACCTTATAGAGCATTCAGAAGAGCTAAACATCGACCCGAAGCGGATATGTGTGAAAGGAAATAGCGCTGGTGGAGGTATAGCTGTCGGGACTGTTCTTATGGCTAGGGACAGGGAGCTCGATCCACCGGTTGCAAAGCTAATGGCTATATATCCTGAGCTAGACGACAGGACCTGTCACCCTCCTGATGCTGAGTTTCTCAAACTCGCCACTTGGACCTCACAACACAATGAACTCGCATGGAAGGCTTATATTGGTGAAGACAAGGCTGGGAAGCCAGACGCAGATGTTTCGCCTTATGCAGCACCAGCGAGGGCTAAAAGCTACAAGGGGCTGCCGTCTACATACGTTGGCGTTGGAACATTGGACTTGTTCAGAGATGAGGATCTCGAGTTTGTGAGGAGACTGTTAGAGGACGATGTTGAGGTCGAGTTTCATCTCTGGCCTGGAGTGCCGCACGTATTTGAGTTCCTTGCACCTGGTACAAGATGGCATCAGCGTGCTAAAAAAGCACAAAACGATGCCTTAAGAAGGGTCTGAGTTATTGTGGAGGTAGACGGTATATGGAGAATGCAAAACACCTTCAATTTATGTCAAGTTCAGACGTCTATTCTAATCAGTACGCATTGATATCAACGTTTCCCAATGAAGCTGATAAGAAGCTCCGATATCTTCTCCGGTTGATCCTCAGGAGAGAAATGGCCAGCATCCTCCACAATCGTCAGTTTTGACCCAGGAATAGCATTTTGGAGCTTGTGAGCCCAATCAACCACCTGCCATGCATCATCTGCACCCCAGATCAACTGCACAGGTAGTTTCTCGAGTTCAGCGAGGCGAGGCGCCACTTCTAACGTGTGTTTCGGATGATAATGTCGAACTTGATGCTCAAATAGACTAGGTTGTCCAATGGGTCCCGAGATATAGTCCAGATATGTATCAAGACTTGACTTCTCAAGCTTGTCTGGACTTTTGACGGCAGATAACAGCCATTCTCTGAAGTGAGCTCGATGTTGGTCGCTGTCTGCCTTAATCAGGGCTTCAAGGCCGTTCTGCATCTGCTGTTTGGTCCGCTTCGAAGGATAGCTATCGAAGCTCACGACGTCGATAAGGGTAAGAGACAAAACTCTCTCAGGCGAGAATACAGAGAAGCGCTGTGCGATACCGCCTCCAATATCATGGGCAATTATATGAGTCTTCTCCAAGCCCCAAAGCTCCAAAAGGCCCTCTAAGATTGCGACTTGACCTGTCATGGAAGTGTCGACACCTGAGTCCCATGGGCGTTCTGAGAGACCGAAGCCGAGAAGGTCAAAGACATGGACCTTATAGCCACCATCGACAAGCTTTGGGACAATGCCGCGCCATATGAGGGATGAGGATGGTGTTCCGTGGATAAGGACGACTGGCTTTCCAGTGCCGTAAACACCATAAGCAACACGGCTTCCCTTTATAAGGGCGTTTTCTGTGACGATTGGTTGCACCATTGTCGTTTCTTGTATGTGTTATACTTTGAAGAGCGATCGAAAATCCACCTGATGGGTACTTATAGTGATCCATTAATAATGCAGAGTATGTCGTCTGAAGGGCGCAACTGGAGACAGACGACAATTGCGATGGAGCCGGGACACCGGCACACCGGCAGCCCTTCCAGACAGACGTCATATATCACCAACAAACAGCAAAACTCGAGCACTCATCCTTCGTTTGGTGATGACCCTGCGTCTCGTTCAATGAAGCGGGCTTTGATTCCTGTCAGCATTGACAAGAAATACGAGCGATTCTTGTCTTCGGGTGGCAAGTCAACTTCGATTATAAACTCTTTCACCAAAGCGGGAACGACTTTGAAGACTACCAGCTCTGCTAAATGTCGTCCCGGGCATGACCTGGAGCCGCCGCCCCAGCTGAGACTGACACGTTCCATTGCACGCGCTGCGTCGGGATCTGCAGTCAGCCAACGGGCCGGGTTGAACATATCCGAATCCGAACCAAAGATATCTGGATTCCGATGTAGAGCTACCGGATTGCAGCCGACGGTTGTGTTTGGTGGGAAATGGTAGCCATGAAGACGAAGGCCATCTGAAGGCACTTTGCGCGGCAATGACATGCTGATGACGGGGTACAGCCGCTTGGCTTCCTTGATGAGTGACTGCGTCTCTGGCAATCGTGTTGCAGTAGAGTACTCGGCGGGATTGCTTGTTTCAAGGACCTCGAAAGATACTTGTGCTTGAACATCATCGTTTGAGCCTAGTAGTGCAAAGATAGAGGTAAGTGTTGATGCCATGGTCTCATGTCCAGCACCGAAGTTGGTCACGGCCATCTTGCGAAGGTAAAGTTCGGTAAAGTCAGGTTTGGCCTTATGCAGCTGGATTAGATCCGTGAGAAGGTCTTTGCGATCATCTTTATTAATCTTGGATTTCGTGGCTGCATTAACACGTCTCGAGACTCTTTTGCCGACATCCTAAGCTGATTAGCACCGTAGCATTTTCCAATATCTACAAGGTAATCTTACCGGAAAAAATGGACGGAAGTCCTTTGGTGGTTGGAAGTTTACACCCCAAATCGTACTGAAGAGTCTCCCGATTGACTTGTGTAAGAACTCCAGCTTAGCGACGGTCGGGAACAAGCCAAAGACGCTCTTTCGTCTCCAGCCATGATATGCGTGAGTACCAGAACCATTATCGGTACCATTCTTTAGCATACCGGGCGACCAAGATAGCACGGCTGCGCTAAGGCATTCCACAGCGATGATGTGCATCCATTCATTAAGTTCAACTTGAGTACCCTTCAAGGTCTTTAGCTTGGCAGTGGAGCGTGCAAGAACCTCATCAATGGCAGCTTCATACTGAATGAGGTTGGAGGTTTGATACACGGGCCCGATCAGTCGGCGCTGAATACGGTAGCGTCTCACGTCTCGCTCTGAGAGAAGATCGAGAGTATCTTGGAATTCGGGGTTGAGATGCCAATCAATGTGAGGTTTACTCAAGGCAGTTGCCACTATACATGTTAGTTCCCACTCTGCTATTTTATGTGACATAATTTGATCATACAGTAAAAGTCAGACTTTTCATAGCCACTTCCACTACCTGGTAAAACTATCAGTTGACAGTTATGTATTAGGTGTTCCTGAAATACGAACTGTAAATGGCATGAAAAGCCTCTTTGCTGTCGAACCATACTTCATTCGGGCCAACACGCACAACAGGTCCGTATTTTTTATGAAGCGTCTTTCCCAGATATGCCATTCGCCCCATTCGAGCATTATATGCATGCCAAAAACTTGATATCGCCGCCAGTCTTGGTCCAGGAATACGGGCCAGAGGATGAAAGGATACCCTGTAGATGGCGATAGTGATCGCCAAGATGAACAATGAGAAAATCATGCGCGAGAGTACCTGGGCTAACAGACTGCCCAGCGATTGAATTCCGGTGGAAAAATAAGAGAAAGACATGATGTTAGGGGCACAATCATCACAACGGACGAGACTTGCAAGATCTGGTCTGACACATTTCAGTTGAAAGGTCAAATTTTCCAGGTGCAAAAAGATGTACGTCCGAGAGGTGATCTCCACAATCTTAACAGTTTTAGCCTGGACATTCTTGTTACAAACAAACCATTTGAGCCTTAGAATTAAAATTAATTCGATTCTACTATTTATTGTCTCGTTGTTGCTAATCATTCTTATTGAGACTCTATTTTATATTGAATCAGATCCCTGCATCGGGTGCTTCTTGCTTGTTAGTAAACTCTATTCGACTTCACTCTTGCGCTTCCTTGGCCTTTTGTTTCTTCTCCTCTTTCACTCTCAACTCCTCGCGCCATTTAACTCCACGAACCATGACAGTTATCAGAATAGGGCATCCGAGGACATATAGTCCTCCGACGAGGGTAAAAGCCCATCCGGTGCCCATAGCATCAATCATGGGCACAATTGCTGCACTGGCTCCAGCGCCAACCAAACACCGCGTCAAGTTATTGGCAGCGCTCGCTGTGCCAGCCTTCCTGGGATGGATATCAATCAGCAGCGAATTGACTGTATTATTAAAACCAACGACTCCCACGCCCAAGATTCCACTTAGCACACACGGAACAGCAATATGAGACCGGGCGTGAACGGCCCATCCCCAACAGACGAGCGTAGCAGCCGCGACCATCAGGAGAGGAAAGCCGATTTCTAGACGAGCGCGCTCAATTGGAAAACCGGATAGGTCTTGCTGCTTACTTCGTTCGTATGGTATGCCCTGCTTCTCGCAATGTCGCTTGAAGTTGCGATTTGTAAAAGTACCCACGATGAACGCTGCAATGACTGATCCAGCTGCCATAGGGAGGAATGTCAGTCCGATCTCGAGTTCGTTGTAGCCATATATCTCCTTGAATAAGGTGGGCATGGCAGTGGCTATGCAGTAGAAGCCGGCGAAACAGATACTGCTGAAGCCAAGAAGGAAGCCGGTTTCCTTCTCAAATAGCATCAAAATCGAGTCGAGGACATTTGGAACTTTGAACTTGAACTTCTTGACGGTCGAAGCTCGAGAAGCTTGTCGACTCAGGCCGTTCTTCTCGGACTTAGACCGCTTCCGCCGGGACACGAGAATCTGCCATACTGAACGGTACATCAAAGGCGCTTTGATAGAGCCATCTCCGACGATCTCACGGCATGTTTCTGGGTAGAACAAAGCGAGAAGAACAATGGTTACACCGGCGAATATGGCGAGAAACCAGAAAATTGATCTCCAACCCAGAAATTCGGCGAGCAGGCCACCGATAATTGGACCTAAGGATGGTCCCAGCACAGACGGAACAGCTGTCAGGCCAATGTACTGACCTCTTTCAGCTGAGGTGACAACATCAGCCACAACAGCGAAGCATAGCGCAACAGTGCTAGCAGAGCCAGCGGACTGGAGACATCGAAGACCCAGAAGAGCACCATAGCTAGGTGCCAGGGCAAGGCCAATGTTGGCTGCAATATAAATGGTGAAGCATACCAGGTACGCAGGTCTTCTTCCACCACTATCAGCCAGTGAGCCAATGAACATGGGTGTTATACCCTGGAAGATCATGTAAGTCGTGACAGTAAGGTTGATTTGGGATGTGGTCACGCCCAAGTCTTTGGCTATAGCCGGTAGTGCAGGGAAGTATATCTGGGCCGTCATGGGAGAAAAGAGGGCTGTTGAAGCAGCAGCCAAAACAATGAGACGCTTCTGCCATAGTGAGAAGCTTGAATAAGGTGCATCTGAGACTTCGATTTCCGTATTGGGTTGTTTTTCGGGGTCTTGGTTTGATACGTGAGTGTGAGTGCTCTCACTATCACCAATATGGTCGTCGTCTTGCTTCGGGGTGCTCATCTTCCAATAATTCTTGAAGTTTTACCGAAGGGACATGGCAATGTCATTTTGATCATCGAAAAGAAGAAGAATCATTGAGATCAAGATGAAATAAATAACCATCTGAGAAGCAGGGTAAAATGCTAGAAGTCGATTCTGTTTGGATCGCAAGTGCTAGAATCCACATCTTTCGGTGCCGAGTCGGCACCAGGCGTTGAGGGTGTGCTATGCAGCAAATCAACAACCACTTTGTAATGTAAGTTGTCTTACGATTGGTTGATGAACTCGATCTGGAGACCGCTAATGGAGATTGACGATATTATTTCCGGTATAAGCTGTGTCAGTTGGCTGCTGGTTGTAAGACGGCACTCTTCTCCGACTGCGGGATGACTCAACTTATTGGATAAGTACTGGAGCTGGAGTTCCTCAGAAGTTTTGGATTATTGAGCAAAGGCTGGTAAATTATGAACACAGGGGTATTAATGGTAAGGATCCCGAACTGTTGGGCAAGCTTCAAGTCATGCATGGTCTTCGCCGTGCTGGGTCGACGCAGGCGGTGTAATAAGCTGATCGAATCACTATTATACCTTCGTACCAGTATTTTTTGGCACCTTGATTGACTGTCAGAAGTTTTCTTGCTTCCTGAGGGCCTCTGTCTTCATGATCGCAGGGCTCCACTTTGATAAGCCAGATGGTGTCGTGAGATACGTTACTGAATTAGGTAGCGGCATGAGTATTAGGGCCCTGGCAGATCTGTGAAGAAGAATCGATTCATGGAAAAGGAAGTTGATCATAAGATGCAGAATGAAGGGGTCTTGACGTTTGTAGGTTGAAGCTTCACGATGATGCTGAGGCATATCGTCAATTATTGTTAGTAATTGCCCGCGGGAAACTATCGGCGCTAGAACTTGAGCCCGCCGCGGAATTGGTCTTGACTATCTATCTATACTCAAATTGTAAGGTCGCCGTCACTGTAAATACCGCTCATCAGTGGAATAATACCTCAGGTCCGTGATCCAGCTGAAGCAGAAGAAGTATAATTCAAGCAGAAGATTCTTAGTGACGCCCAGTGTCGCTCCCCGCATTCTTCAACTTGCCCCACGTCGAGCACTTTGATCAAACAGACAAGGCAACTTAGATAACTCTTCATGATGGACTATTCACTTGAGAATCACAAAGCTTATGTCGGAAAGCACGTCTCAGAGCTTCCTACACCATCGCTAGTTGTCAATCTGCCTGTTCTCAAGACGAATGTCGAGACGTTACATCACGATGTCGAGAAGCTCGGCATTGGCTTCAGACCTCATGTCAAGACACTGAAGGTATGTCATGTATCTATACAATTCGCCATAAAGGGAAACCTATGAGCTAACTTGCTGTTCTGCAGTCTCTTGAGGTGACACGGTTAATGATGGCGGATGGAAAATACAGAGGAATCATCGCCTCTACCATCCCTGAGATCCGAGGTGCTTTACCCTTGGTCAAGGAGGGCATCTTGGAAGAGGTGAGCTTGACCAAGGATTTATGAAGATGAGAAATACTAAGTATTCCACAGTGTCTGTATGGTTTGCCTGTCTATCCTGGTGTTCTGCCCCGATTGATTGAGTTGCGAAAATCACTACGTATCATGCTCATGGTCGACAATGAGCAACAGGTCGAGTTTCTCGAAGAGTCGGCTTCAAGCAAGCAGCCTTGGGATGTCTTCATCAAACTCGACGTGGGATCGCACCGAGCAGGCGTTGAAGCCAATAGTGCCGCACTGAATCGCTTGGTAGAGCGCGCCGAGAAGTCGTCTGCCATTAGTATTTACGGATTCTACTGTCACGCGGGTCATTCGTATGGAGGTCGATCGCGAGACGAAGCCGAGAAGACGCTCAACATCGAGGTGTCGAGCGTCTTAGCCGCAGCTAAGCTTCTACCCTCTGATCGCCAGCTTGTCATCTCCGTTGGTAGCACACCAACAGCACATGTCGTTGAAAGTCTCAAGGCTTCAATGCCAGAGAACATCAAGCTCGAGCTTCACGCAGGCAACTTCCCTTGCAACGATCTGCAGCAAGTGTCAACAGGTCTTGTGACCGAGACACAGCAATCCGTGTCTGTAGCCGCTGAAGTATGCAGTGTTTACCCAGAGAGGAACGAAGCGCTCGTGAACGCAGGTGTAATCGCGCTGTCGCGTGAGGCCAGTGCCTTTAGCGGATTCGGCCGAGTGGTGGGCAGTCCGGCGTGGGGTGTGGTCCGATTGTCGCAGGAGCATGGGATCCTGGGGACGAGCGAGGGACGAAAGGTTGATGAGGACTTCAAGGTTGGACAAAAGGTTCAGCTGTGGTGCAACCACGCTTGTATAGCTGCTGCTGCGTTTTATGTGTATTATGTTGTTGATGAGCAAGGCATCGTGAGGGACACATGGATTCCTTGGAAGGGGTGGTAGATAATAAGCAAGTCATCAATTGATTGATTGTCACTGAAACTTGATCAGCATCAGCAAAGAATTGGCTCTTCTGATTCGCTCCCCCAGGTCCTGTTCCTGACTCCAATTTCTTCCGAGCAAAGGGAAATCCTGCTTCCTTGTTGAATGAGAGAGTCTAAGTGGGTCTCGAGCCGCATACGTCATCGGCGAATTGCGGAAGCTCAGGTTCAAAAGGTGCGGGCTTCATGATCTGCGTCACATGAAGAGCCATCTTCTCTCCTCCATCTTTTCCTCGGTCACGATACTCTTGGTTTTTCTCGATCAAATCCGCTGTTTGCGACAAACACAACAGAATAATACATCCTCAGCAACTTGGATCTACTCTCTAATCCCCCTCTCTACCCCGCCTTACCATCAGTAAGCATACACGTCACTGTAGCGTATTTGTGCCCAACATCAGATCACTGACTCTATCACAGTGTCTTACGCCGACGTTGCTGCCAGCGGTCCCAAGCAGAGCCCTGAGGAGGTGAGTTGCTTCACATACAACATTATGTCTCTGCGACCACTCTTGCTAACCCCTCCAGGCTGCTGCCCCTCAACCTCCCCAGGTCATCACTGACGAGTCCGCCTCCACCGCCTCTTTGGTAGATGTTGATATGCCTAGCGTGCACACTGTCCCCAACGACTTCCTTGAGCAGGAGATCAAGACTGAGACACAAGCTGCCCGCATAGAGCTAGAGGAGGAGGCCCGCGAGGAGAAGCGAAAGCGTGATGAGGCTGCCGCCAAGGCCAAGCGCGCCGACAACTGGCTCATCCAACAATTCTCTCGTCTGTCCGATGGAAGTGCTACTGGCCTTGTCATCGCCAACCTTGCTACCGTTGTCGGTTTGGGTGCATACCTGGGCTACAAGGGTTGGGGTCTCTACGAGAAGGGCAAACTTGACTGGAAGGCTGTCACTCTCGGTGCTGGTATTCTCGCTTCTGTAACAGCCGCCGAGGGTGCTGTTGGACGATATCTCTACAAGGGCAAGAAGGGCGGCTCCTAGGAGTTGAGCGGCGATGATACCCTACAACGACGCCAAATGCCGATGTACCTTACGCTCTTCGAATACGTATACGTCTACTTGAGGCCTTGAGCATTATCTAAACAAACAAAGCCTTGCCTTTGAATTGTTGATCGCTGAAGGGAACGAACGTTGTTCATGGATGATATGATATAGTTTTTTGTTGTACTGCATTTTTACACTGTTTCATAATTCTCTACTCTGGTTGATACCGGGTTACTACTCATCTCATAAGTTTGGAGGCACAAGAATTGATACCTATATTCAATGATTCTATTCTCAAATGTACCTCGCAAAAGTGGTTCAAAGTTGTGAACCATCAAAACTTTGAGATGTGATCGTGTCTATTAATTTCGTGGCCTCTGTCCTTCCTCATCATACAGCGTTGGTACAGATGGACAACCTCGTCCATGTCAAGATCCTAAATATTTTACAAAAAGTAGATTTTCACCTGAACAGCGCCGAACCTTTGCACCTTTTACTGCTTCTTCGCGGCCTTCTTCTTAGCCTCCCTCTCCCGCTCAATAATCTCGATTTCGGCATTGGCAGCAGTAGCATCATGAGCTTGTGAAGGCTCGACGAAAACCTCCTTCACGGGAACCTCAGTCTTGTGCATATCCTGCCACAATTCTGGGTTGTGTGGCTTCTCTATGGGTGTAGCGACATCCTGAACCTTTCGGGATTCGATAACGAGGGCTTCCTTCTCGGCTTCGTTGGAAGTGGCTCGGGGAGGGGCTTGTTGATCGGGCTCGGCTGCGGCAGAGGAGTCTTCGGGGAGTGATTTGAAGTCGGTAGCGGGGACCTTTTGAGCGTCTGGGGCGGGTTGCTCATCGCCAAAGTCGGGAGTGGGAGCACCATCCTCGTCATCGGCGAGCTCGGCGCCGTAGATTTCGGGGTATTTCTTAAAGCACTCTTGCATGCCCCTATTCATCGATTAGCAAATTGCAAAACTAGACAGTCGTTCGATATGACGTACTGGAACTTCTCGATACAGTCCATACCCTTAGGCTCCTCCGTCGAGTACACAAAGCAGCTGAACGCAGTTTTGAACTCCTCGCCGCAGGGGCCGTGAGCCATGCCACCCAAGCAAGGGCAGTCCCAGTTAATCTCTCCAGTCTCGGGGTTGAAAGCTCCTTGCTGGTCGGCCTCCTCTTCTAATGCAGCAGGTGATCCATCGGCGGCAGCGGCTTGGGTATTGGATTGTTGAGGCCCGGAGGGTTTTGATGACTCGGCGGGCTTCTCGCTCTTGGCCCTGATCTGTTTGCGCTTCTCCTCGAGGACGGAGTCGACGGTAGGAAGGTCATCATCGGAGAAGGCAGCGGGTGCGGGAACCGTTTTTGCTGTTACGTATTAGTCGTATGGTCTCGAATTCTGATCATCAATTGCAACGTACAGATAGCCTCATCAGCGAAGATGGGACTTGTGTTATAGTAGTAGACAGCGCCGAAAGCCAGACCCAATCGTGCCACAGAGCTCTTCCATGATCGGGACTTGTCGGCGGGAGTAGCTGTCGAGTTAAATCGTCGAGGGGCTGCGCGGATCGTGTTGGAGCGCAAGCTGGCAATTACAGGCCTCGAGGCCGATCGCATAGTGGTACGATACATTTTGGATTACAGAAGTTAACAAAGAAACGAAAGTCAAGGCACGAAATCAAGAGATACAAGAGGAATTGGTCAGCAATGGTGGAGCATCGAAATCTTGGAGTATGATGCTTGGAAATACTTGGCCCTGGTCTCCGAGATGCCGGGAAGTTGCGTGAAAAAAGTGTAACCGTGATTTAACCGTCCGTGCTCTTTATCTGATAACAGCCTTATCGCGCCATGACGTTCCCCCACCACTGGCTTCTACCTATTGGATTTAGGTAGCGCGCATTCATTCCTGATCATATGAGCTGCTTTTATGCCCTCCTAGAGCTTGACGTGCAGACTGCGTCTAGATCTCTTTTTGACTTTCGACCTAGGTTGTGGCTGTTACAGTAGACCAAAGCTTGTTTTGCCAAACACGTTAGTTCAACTGATCAGCAGAGGACAAAGGAAGAAAGGGAGAAAGCTGTCGCACAGGGAATCGAGGGGAAGTTTCTCGAGCTAGACATTGCCTCGCCATTTCTCAGGGAGAGGAAAAAGCAAAATCATTTTTGACCTAACAAGTTGCGAATATCACGCAAGGGACACGACGATCTAGATTGCATCTATTGCATCTTTTTCTATTCCTTGCAAGTCGCATACTAACTAAAGATATCCTCAATCATGGCATCCAAATCTTTCGAATGGCGACCAGCAAAGCTGCTCCAGGACTATAACATAGGCCAGGACTTTGCGCTGCTCATTCTAAACCAGCCGTTGAAGAACGGCGTCAATTTGCGCAAGCTCTGGAAGAACTGTACGTAGCTTGACATGCTGCTCTTGCGACATCAGTGCTAAAGGTCCATTTCACAGCTTCTGTGAGGGTAGCCGCAGATGGCGGAGCGAACCGTCTACATAAGCTGTCGTCGTTCCACGGGAAATACGTACGTTGCGATACTGGTCGTGGACAATAATGTACAACGATTTGCTGACTCTATAGTCTAACCTTCAACTCATCATTGGCGACCTCGATTCTCTCACCCCACAAGTCCGCGATTTCTACTCGTCGCAACCCTCCCCTGCGAAAGTCATCCACGACGCTGATCAAGAGTCGACCGACTTTGCAAAGGCTATCAACTGGATTCGCAAAGAATACCCCGAGGGTATTGATATTGTCGCACTTGGAGGTATCGGCGGCCGTGTTGATCAGGGTCTTTCTCAGCTTCACCACCTGTACCTCTTCCAAAACGACCCCAATTATGCGACAGGTCGGCTCTTTCTTCTCTCCGGCTCAAGTTTGACATTCTTGCTCAAGGCTGGTAGCCATCAGATCCAGGTTCGAGAGGAGGGAGAGGAAGATGTCTTTGGTAAGCACGTTGGTATCATCCCTCTTAAGGGAGCCGCCAACATTACGACAAAGGGCTTCGAATGGGACGTCGAGAACTGGCATACAGAGATTGGCGGCAAGTTGAGCACTAGCAATCATATCCTACCCGAGTCCCAGGTCGTGTCAGTGACGACGGACAAGGATGTATTGTTCACAGTAGCACTCAAAGAAGGTGACGGTGATGACGAGTAGCATAGTGCTTCAGACAAGAACGTGTTGACTTGGCGTGGTATGATACAAGCAAAAGAACAACACAAGACACTCAAAAAACTCCATGCGCCGCGCTGATGTCCCTAAGCTTACATTTCTGTGACATTCCTCTTCCAGATCACAATCCCATTCGGTTTCTTTTCTATCGCAAGAAATGGAGCACCAGCCAACAGAACAAGAAGAATATCACCACACCCGCAAAGAATATCCATTTGTCCTCTTTCGCCCGTCGCTCCACCATGCGGATCGTGTCGCCACTGACGCCAAGAGTGTTGGCGACGTTGTAGAGTCGCTTTTGGGTGCTCTTGAGCATCTCACGCTGCTGACCTAGATCGCCCAGTACAGCCTGTCCGCGCGCAATGTAGTCGTCCAGTGCTTGGTTTGTGTTTGCGAAAAAGTTCTGCTCCCTGAATGCATGTGCCTCGCGCATCTCGTCTGGTGAGCCCGTTGTCAAGGCGCTGGCTTGAGGTGGGTGTCGAGGCTGGAACGCAGAGTGCGTGTTTGTTGTTGTAGCGTTCGCATAAGGGTTCTCGGGTGTAGCATTATACGGTCTTCGGCCAAGAAGTTCTGTGCGATTTGCCTGATGTTGAGCATCATCACGAGCCTTCTTCAGCGAATCGACTTGCGTTCGAAAATCAGAGAGATCTTCGCGGAACCTCTTTACACGTTCAAAGCCCTCTTCTTGCTTCTTGGGAACGATTTCCTGACGGGCGAGGGATTGGTATTCATCGAGGGTCTTGGTGAAGGAAGCGATCGAGGCGGACACGTTGCCAATTTCGGAGGGAGATGCTTGGGGTTTGCTGTTGAGGTTGGAGAGCTCTGCGCGGAGAGACTTGCTTTGCCGCAAGGCGGAGTTGTAGGCGATGTTCTAGGTTGAGGAGTCAGTGGGTGTATACTTGAAATATTTGTTCGATCTAGCTTACCATGGCGACGGATTTGAGGTAAGAAACTTGAGGTTGTCGAGCAATGCAACGACAACTTTCATCATGATTTCTCGGTGTTCAGATACATGATAAGGCCAGATCTCGCGGAACGGATTAATGACATACCGTCTAAGACATGTCAAAGCTGCTTACCCTGCATCTTCTAGACTTCCGAGAGTATGATTGCAATACCTTGACCAGAAATTTCTGGTGGTAACATTATTCTGGTTGTTATTTTTGTAATTTTGTACGATTCAATATCACCTCTATCTAATAAACTCTATGCGAATAAGCTCTCGTTGCTCAAAGATGACTGGAATGCATGGCCGTTCACCAACGAGTTAGCCACAACCTTCACGTTAAAATGCCAGAGTTTTGCAAAGTCAAAGATTAAATCTGTACGGCAATACGACTGCTTGGCAAATATAGCGATATAGCGACATGGGGACAATAATGACTTTCGTCATCTCGATTGCAATAGAGGTTTGTTTGTATGCTCTCCTGCCTAAGCTGAGCCTGGTGATAGTTCAATTCTTTCAGTCCAATTCGTTGGCCTTCCCATGGTGACGATCGCTTTTCTCTTGGCCAGGTCCATGTTAATGGTGAAAAGTGTCGCTTTGCCATTTCCGGGTGAGAACTGATCACGGTTGATGGCTGTCGGATATCCTTGCTCATCCTTGAAAAACTCCAAGAATGAAGAATGGTCGATGGTTGAAGTGGCTAATCTCTCATCAAGAAGCTGTGCGATGCGCTTGATACGGTCTTTGGAATCTGGTATCCAGCCGGGCTCATCTACTCCGGGATGGTCAAGGAGTAGATGGTTCGTATGAACAAGTGTTCCGTCGCCGTCAAAGTTGATCTCCTTGATCCCTATGCTGGTGCATTCCAAGCCTATAGCTTCCGATGGATCTGACACGAGAATATGACCACTTCCAGCCGTGCCCTTCGCATACAGCTTATCGGCTGCCTCGCGTGCCGAATTTGATTCCAAAGCTGTTCTTAGGGCGAGATGGATGGGAATTTTAGTGTTATCAACGCCTCGAGCTCGGATGGCGTTCAGACAGGTTCCTACGCCAGAGGAGTTAATACCGATCTTACCAATCACACCTCCCTCAGTCACCATAGAGATATCAGGTACATCTGTTCCAGGCTGAGAGATATGACAGACGAAAAGATTCGGTGCCTGTTCAGGCTGCCAATCCCAGTTCTGCGCAAGGAGAACTTCCCCGTTAGGCTGACGATACGCAGCGCTTGTGCAGCCATCAGTTTGAATAGGTGCACTGGGGACTCGAGTATATAAGCCGAATGTAATCTCTGTTCGAACGTTGAGAGCGACGATATCCACCAGCTCAAAGCCCGCGCCGTCTGCTAAGCCCTGAAGCTCCTCAACGTAGCGTGGTGATAGCTTCAGCAGGGGTTGGATATACTGTTGAGCCTCTTGACGTACTGCTTCCCAGTTCATGGAACATGATTCTTGAAACAGGTCTTTGTAAAAGGCGATGGATCCTACGACTTTGTCCTTTGCAGCTGTGCCATGTTGATAGCCGATCTGATTTTGTACACTGTGTTAGTCTAACGGCCTGGCTTTGCATTAATTGAATAAGTGCGTTTACCTCATAAGGTGTGCCTGAGCAGTGAACTTCCAGCATGATGAGTTGTTTACAAAGGATGAATAGTAGATAGTGTCGGAGTCAGAAGTGAGACCGCCCACTTACCCCAACATGAGGATTATATACCCATCAATACCGCATTTCCAATCAAGAGCGGGGGGATAGCCCAGCTAACGATTCCAAGTTATCCTGGTAGATCTTTTGTCGTATACAATTACTCTTTCTAGCACAACATTACACATGTAGTTGACGTGATCATCGTGATTTTGTATGGCTGATCCTTTGACATCTGTATCAATGTACTCACCTGACTGCACTACGACGTAGTCCAATTTAGTAATAACGAACTTGAAGCCTGTTAGTGAACCAATTTCGAGGTCTTCGTGTCATCATAGCATGGATCTAAGCATTTGCTGTAAACTTCAGAGTTCGGAGGGTTATAGCCGGTTTGGCTCGGCCGAGGCTGCCGATAATAGTCACTTTGGGTGGACACCACAGAAGGTAATGATAGATCATGATTGGAGGTCTGATGAGCCTCTTATTAATCACCGGAATCCATCTCCGTTGTGTAGCTTCGGATACGACCCGACTTCAGCAAATAGTCAAACTTGAAAATCTCAGTATCAGCGATACCAAGCTTCCTCTATTGAACTCATCGAAATTTGAAGACACAGAATCAAGATGGGGGACTTGCCGCATCTGAGTGATCAGATCGGAAGCTTTAGCTTATCGTCTATTCACCCGGCTGATCCAGCTTACACTCCGCTTCTCTATCGACTCCGCGAAGAAACCTTCCAGAACCGGACAACTCAAGTCAGACATGGCTCATACCTCAGGCGTTTTACTAGAGATACCTCTTTCGACATAACTGCGGCTATCAAGGAGAAGTCTGGAATTGATCTCAACAATTTCATGCAGCGATATGGATTGACTGGCTGCGTTGTTGTTCAGAATGGAGCCATAAAACTCGAAGAGTACAGGCACGGAAACTCACAGGCGTCTCGAAACGATGTCCAGTCAGTCACAAAATCCTTTGTTGCAACAGCTCTCGCCATTGCTCAGCAAGAAGGAAAACTATCCGTCAACGACCCAGTATCTCGCCATGTCGAGGAGCTGAAAGGAACTGCCTGGGCAGACGTGCCGCTACTTGCTCTATCCAGCATGTCTTCAGGGGTAGTTGAGCAATCAGAAGAGGAGCGACCGGCTGACGTGCCCAATCCCATGTATGCCATCGAGCTTTATCCCCAGACTGATCCCGAGGCAGTTCTCAACTGGCTCAAGACGTCGAGGAATGTGGCTGAGCCTTGGGAAGAGTTTCACTACTATAACCCAAACTATTACGTGTTGTCGACGGCTATCTCACGTGCAACTGGAGAGCCTCTGAATGAATATATCTCGCGCAAGATATGGGATCCTGCTGGAATGCAATACGATGGATATATACGAACAACTGGCGCTGGACACGTGGATGGTCACGGGGGCCTCTCAATAACTTTGACAGACATGGCACGCTTCGGATGCTTCATTCTCGAAAGTTTCGAAGACGGAGGAAGAGGTCCCAACGTTCCATCTGGTTGGTTCCAAGACATATCCGATGCCAAGAACAGTGTCGGGGCTAGGGCTCTTCAACCAGATAACTTTGTCTCCAACTTTGGCTATGAGAGTGGTTGGTGGACTACAGGCAGGGGTGGAAAAGAATACAAAATGGGTGATGACGGTGCGTTTGCGGCGATTGGAATGTATGGCCAGTCTATCTACATAGTTCCAAAGTTGGACGCCGTGATCGCTATTCAATCTGGGTATCCAGAGCATGAGTTGGACTTATTCACGAAGAACGCAGAATTGGCAACTGCCATACTCAAGGCACTGAGAGAGCGGTAATGTGTTATAAAAGTTACAAGTAATTAAAATTTAGATCTTTGAATCTTTTCACACTCTGCCCTTAATCTATCATTGTCCAAGGTTCACGTTTCACATCAGTAGCCTATCAGAGCTGAGTACTTAACAGATTTTCGTGAACCCATGAATTTTAACTCAAAGTTTTGATCTGTCACACCTCTCAGTAGGTGGTAACTTTCTTATTCTACACCTTTCATTGGCTCCTGATATCTATGCTGTTCCTGAACTATCAACGTGCTTACAGTTTGCTGTCTTTGACAGACCACGAGATGGTTTCTAAGGTGTTTCTGAAAAGTCAAGACATGCGTGCCTTAGTAGAAAGGTTTATGAGAGACTCTCCTTGAAGTCTTAGCAGAGAAACATCTTCTTCACTTACAAATTCTTAACCAACTCTGAACACAACTTCGAGTGGACTAGAGACAATTTGCAACCCTATCGTGCCTTTTCTCTTTTTCAAAATCACGAGACAATCCCAAGCAACAACTTGAATCTGTATTGATAAGTCTTAACTGTTTCCCCATCAATCAACATGCAGCTTGGCAAGCCTTGGTGCAGCACCTGCTGCGTCCACTTCAACACCTTCGAGGAGCACCGCGAACACTCAAAATCTGAAGAACAATAAGTACCCTATATTTCTCATTCTTGATTACATACGCTAACGTAATTGCAGTGTGTTCAAGATCCAGATTCGATATAGTGGTCCGTCTATTCCTCGTTATGTCAGGGAGAAGGTCATGGAAAATTGGGAACGAGCCAAGGAATCGTGGAATGAACTCCGAGATACAAAGTCAGGAGACGAGCTAGAGTCCGATCAGGCAGAATTCCCAGAATTCCACGAAGAACTCTGTCTCTTTTGCCGCCACATGAGTTTATCCTTTGACGAGAACATGGCTCACATGAAATCATGTCACAGCTTCACCATCCCAAACCTGGATAGCCGTGTCACTGAACCTAAAACTGTTGTGCGATATCTCCATCGCATCATATTCGGCTTCTACGAGTGTATTTCCTGCGGCAAGCAACGTCACACGTTGGAAGGAATCCAACATCACATGGCCGCCAAGAACCACTGTCATTTCCAGATGACACACGAGATTCTGAGATTCTGTGAGAACGAAGATAAAGGCAGCGCTCAAGAAACTCAGATCATACGATCAATTCAAGTTTCCCATAAAGACAAGGCTATCATTCAGAGTCCCACGCTGCAAAGATCTGCCCAAGTTCTAATGCGTGAGAGTACCGGGGATGACCATCATATCAACGAAAAGAAGCAAGAGGAATGCTGTATTGTCGAGAACTCACAGGACGTTGTCATCGAGACTGAAACTCTCGAAACGCCAGGGGACCAAGTCGAAGCGACTCAACAGCTACACAGGGCTTTCCACGAAACCCCCCCAACGCACAGGTCCGAGAGGCGTACGTTTGGATGAGATTTTCCAACATTCAACTCGGGACGAGTGGAGTGTAGCAAGAGTGAATATATACCTGAAGCTTATGGGTTATAGCATGGAGGAACTGGGTTAATCATTGTTGAACTTGGTAGGAAGAATTATAGAGTATAGGCCTTGTCATTGCATTGAAATGTTAGATTGCAAGGAGTTGGGTATTGCGGTTTATTCGATTGTTTATTTTCCGGGCTTTGGATTGATTCGATGTCCCATGATTTGCAGTAAAATGCACTACGTTTGTAAGATTGTCTCTTCACTTTATGCATCAGTATGGTGCTTCGACACGGATCTTCTCGATCCTCTTATGATAGCGCCAAACGATTACTTGCTCGTCTTGCGGTCAATGCTGGTATGAAACCAAGTCGGTTTCTATTGACACTCGAGTTCATGAAAGACATAAATCAACTAAAGAATAAAAGGAATGAAGCGAGCTGTTCTTGCATGCCAACTCTCCCATTCCTTCCCAAAAACCTTCTTGAGCATCTCCTCCTCTTCAGAGACTCTGGTCCAGATTCCAAACATGATACCTGATATAGTGAAAGGAAGCAATTTTACTGCCCAAGAACAGAAGGTTTCATATGCATTCGGCGGAATCCAGCAGCTTAGAGCACCATCCAGTCTACCAAGCAACGCCACGTTGAATATCATGAGAATAGCAAGGCCAGTATAACTTGGGTGTTGGAGATATTGATAAATACCGGTAGTTTTCAATCGATCTGGCTCTTTCAGAGCAAATGTGAAGTTTTTGCCCAGTGATGCATACGGCACCAAACGTAAAGGAACACCAGCGCAGAGAATCAGAGCTAAAGGAATAGTAGTTGCAGCAGACCATGTAATCAGGTCCGGATTGAGCCCGTTTTCAATTCCATGATGAACAAGAGATGGCGGGGAATTGGGGTAGCGCAAAGCCAGGCTAGCAGTGTGCAACGATAGAAGCCCAAGAGGGGCCAGGACGGCTTTTGTGGTGTGTTTGCTGGTCAAGAATAACCATCGAACTGAGTCGCCTGTTGATGGTGTTGCATGTTCGCTGGGATTGGGCGGAGATAGAGCCAGGTAGGTTCCGTAAGTTGAACCTAGTACGGCTACTGCGAGAGAAGCCTGAGCTAACGAGAATTGAAGAGCCATTATTGTCTCAGCAGAAGTAAACTTCAGACGAGAGAGCTGAGTTTGCACCTTGGAAATATATGAGGATAGGATAGGTTTCCCCCAACCATTGGAGAGATGCAGTTCGATGATACGGAAGCTAAACCGAGGAAGGATGCAAGCTAGCATTTTCACGTGACACACGTCTCAATGACGAAATGGGTTTGATCTCGTCGAGCTGGACAGTAAATCCAATGCCTTTGATAGAAGTTTGTGTGAGAATCCATCATATATTTATGCTGTGTTTATTCTCTTTTTACGCGCTCGTGTAAGCATATATTTGTATCTCGTACAAACAAAGTCAAATAACGTCGCAATCCTAATGTAAGCCACAGTCAGACGGACAGGGGTCCGATTAAAGAAGCCTCCTGTCAAGCCGGTATCTGTCAACGTCGAAGCCGTCAACCAACTGCACAAGCTTACTCTCATAGTGGCATTCTGAGCAGTTGACAGATAGCAGTATCAATTTTTTTTGTTTATAGAAAAGTACCAGCACAGATAGTCATCTGATCAGCAGAAACGGCAGCGCAGACGGATAAACACTACCAGCCCGTATCGTGGCTTTGTAACGGAGAGCAGCCACCAATCCTAAGCTGAACGCATCAACTAAAAGGGAGGAAGAGACCTCCCTCTAACGCCAATTACGACACTATTCTCCACTTAGGCTGAGACTAGCGTCCCCAGCTCAACCGCAGACTTGTCGATCGCCGCTGTGTGGCGATTCTAGCATAATCGCCCAGTCTAGGCTCACTCTAACTAATAAACTCTACCTTCCAGCCTCCCGGTCTTCGGCGTTCGCCCCTAGTGGCAAGCCCTAGAAACCCAGCGTTCAATGCTCTTCTTCCGTCTTTTGCCAATGATGAAAATGACCGTTGAGGAAAAACGTTGAAGATTCTTTCGAATGTGCACTGCCGAGAATGGTCAGCCCAGCTTGTGTAAAGGTGCCGAGAAAAAGCATCGTTTCTGAAGCTACTCGGGAGCGCGAGACGTTCAGGTACGAGGCAATTTTACCCTAGAAATGTTAACTTGTGTTACTGAGATGGGATTAGATATGACGACTCGCTTTTCACCAATATTCGCTTCAACGATACTGGATTGCCTGTTCCGAGCAATGAACTCTCCACATGTCCAGATGTCATATTGACGGCTCTGGCTCGACTAGCGGCTTCTCAGACTGGTGCAACGCGCTCAATGATCTCATTATTTGACCAGACTCACCAGTATATCATCGCGGAAGCTTCATCGATAACCCCACTGATTCCAAGCTTGGGGCAGCATGGTCACCAGGAAACTCTTTGGCATTGTGGAACTGCAATCCCGCGATCACATAGTGCTTGTGAAAGCACATTATGTTCTGACGAAACTCAATCAGATGCATCTGGAATCAAGGTCAACCACGAATTGCCCGTCATTGTAGTTGACGATGTTACCCTCGATCCCGAGTACTCAACTAAGCCGTACTGTCGACCTGGAGGCGCCGCAAGGTTCTACGCTGCAGTGCCAATTCGCACAGATCGAGGTGTCAACATTGGAGTTATCTGCGTAATTCACACCGAACCTTCATTGCCATGGGAGGATCGGCATTCAAGACTCATGAGGGAGCTTTCGAGGGCAGTGACTGAACATCTCGAGACTATCAGCCTGAAAAGCCACCAACGAAGAAGCGAAAGGAAGAGCTGGGGCTTGACCAGTTTTGTTGAAGGTAACACAGCACCGCTGAGCCAAGTCTCATCTACCGGACGACAGTATGCAGAGTATGAGACAAGAAGTGATGGCATGGCCAGGTCTAGGAGGCCAAAGATCGATGATTTGCAACAAGCTTTGGGAGGAATGAGTGTTAGAAACTCAACAACCACAGCCGACTCCCGCAAGACGAACGCTCTTCACACTCAAGAGGTTGTTATGTGCAATACTCAGGCCAGATCAAAATTCGCTCCTGATCCAAGCCAGGTCCTCGAAACTCCACGGCAGATTTTCTCAAAAGCAGCTTCTATTGTCAAAGATTCTATCGAGACTGATGGTTGTTTGTTTCTCAATGCAGATATGCTTGAATTTTCAAATGCAGGCTCTTCCACAGAATGGATAGATGAAGAACTGGCCACTCGACGACCTTCAACCTTCAGCTACAATGAGAGTGAGGATGCTTACACAACTGGCTCTTCTGATGACCGTCTACGGCCCTCTTGTCAAGCACTCGGCTCTTCTGAACATGGGGCAGCTCATGTTACACTTCCGCAAGCTCTTCTCGCCCGAATGATTCGACGGTATCCCAAGGGCCATGTCTTTAACTTCGATGCCGATGGAAATCTACTCCATGAAGAGCTACCTGGTGCTTCAACTGGCTATCCTCTAAACAACAACGACTGGGGAAATTTACATATCAGACAAGACCACAAACTCCGAGTTCAACAGAGAGAAGCAAGTATTCTCCTCGAGACTTTCCCCGGTGCCCGAAGTGTCGCATTCGTTCCTGTCTGGGACCTCAGGAAGAAGCGATGGTCTGCTGGTGGCTTTATACACACTTTCAATATCAAACGCACCTTCACGATCGACCTGGACTTGAGTTATCTCCGAGCACTTGGTATGCTCGCAGCGGCCGAGGCTTTCAAGTTGGAGACCCTGGCTGCGGACAAAGCCAAGACTGATGCGCTTGGTTCACTGTCTCATGAGTTAAGATCACCGCTTCATGGCGCCGTTCTGAGCGTTGAGTTGCTTAACGATACAGACCTTACCATACCACAGCAAAATATCGTTCGCACCATTGAGACATGCTGCCGAACACTGTCAGATACCATCGACCATTTGCTCGAATATTCCAAGGTTAACAAGGCTTTACCTCAAGAGGCGACCCGAGAGTACCAGGCAGATGGCAGTGGCATCAACAGGTCTTCATCCGTTAGTATAGCTTCGAAGCCATCAAGAAAAGTTGTACAGCTCGATGTTCTGGCTGAAGAGGTTCTCGAAAGCGTCTACGCCGGTTTCAACTTTCAGCAAGCCACACTTGCCCAATCATCAAGCCAAACGCCTCGACGACCTGGTCACACATCTATCCGCCGAATGGACACCATGCAAGCTATGGAAGAGCTCCAAGCTCCACTGAAGAAGAAAGGAAATCTTGGAACAAAGATTGGAGACGTTGAAGTCTTCCTTGTCATCGACTCACGACCATCGTGGGGATTCTACACCCAACCTGGACCTGTGCGTAGGATTATCATGAACTTGTTCGGTAACTCGCTCAAGTACACGCAATGCGGACTTATCAAGGTTTCTTTGGAACAGACCAGCGCTTTTGGATCCGATGACAACGACTGCTGGGTAACTATCAGGGTTTCGGATACTGGAGTTGGTATAAGCGAGGAATTCTTACAAAACGGCTTGTTCAAACCATTTTCACAGGAGAATCATCTATCTCCTGGAACAGGGCTCGGACTTAGCTTCGTCAAGCAGATAACTGCACAATTCGGAGGCCACATCTCAGTTGATAGCCGAGTTGGCGTTGGAACCACAGTAACGGTGAGATTACCGATGAAGCTAGGAGATGATTGCCATCACAACGTCTGTGAAGTTCGACAACGAGAAGAAGAGTTCGACGTGCAGACAGAAAAACTTCGAGGCCTTCGAGTGAAGTTGGTCGATTTCAGCAAAAGCACAGTCACGGGAGGCGGTTCCACACAAAGAACGATCGAGTCTCCTGACCAACTTGTGCAGGATATGTGCAAGGAATGGTTGAATATGCAAGTCAACACCACCTTAGAGACACCATGCTTCATGCCAGATCTAGCAATTTGGTCGGAGGAAGGGTTTGAAAGACCTTGTGATCCGCAGGATTCAGTCCCAGATGTTCCAAATATTGTGCTCTGTGCCAATGCTGTTACTGCACATCAGTATGCCACTGGTACAAAGACAACACCACGCCCTGGAGTATTCGAGTTCATTTCACAACCGTAAGTAATATTATCCGATATCTCATGCTCTAAACTAACTATAGATCAAGACTCAGTCCCCGAAAGCTTGCCAAAGCATGTTCACTAGCCTTGTATCGCTGGACAGTCACGCAAACATCCACCCGCTCTCCAACCACAACATCAACAGAACCCGAGTCTCTCAGCATTGCCACCAGCACCGCCCCTTCACTAACAAACCCAAGCTCTCCCTTCCCCGCAAGCGAAGACGAAACCTCCACACAACCAAAAGACTATTTCAAGGCATCCGAATTCCTGCTCGTCGACGACAACTTCATCAACCTCAAGATCCTCTCCTCATACATGAAGAAGCTCAAACAACCATACCAAACAGCTTCAGACGGGTTAGAAGCTGTCACAACGTATGAAGCAGATCCTGGCCGATATAGCTGTATCTTGATGGATATTTCGATGCCAGTCATGGATGGGTTTGAAGCAACGAGGAGGATTCGTGCTTTCGAGTCACAGCAGGGGTTGAGGCCTGCGTTGATACTTGCTTTGACAGGGTTGGCTTCTGAAGAGGCGCAGAGGGAGGCTACTGTCAGTGGGTTAGATTTGTTCTTGACGAAACCCGTGAGATTGAAGGAGTTGGGACCCATTTTGAGAGCAAAGGGGGTTTTGGAGGAGGTGTCGAACCTGGGCTGAGAATCATGGTTAATGGGAAGAAAGATATGGCGTGTAAGGCCTGAGTGAAGAAACTAATATGGAACAAAATGATTAATAGATATAAAGTAATAAATTGAATGGGAGAGGCCGAACGTGTTGTGGAAATCTATGCAAGGATGGCAACGGCTCATATCATGAGCAAGTCCTCTCCAAGCTCATTCATTTTCGAGTCGAATGAGCACCACCTTGGCAGAAATTTATGTAATACAAGTTTCAGAACCATGCGTCCAGCCTCAGAGGTGTTCTTGACACTACGTGTATTGTGTTCATGTTGGAAAAAATGGAAGTGTCGATAGATCCCCTCTCAACTTCATCATTCCTAGGGCATCACGCCATGAAATTTAGTTATGAAGCCCCCCGAAAAGTCTTGATACACACCATATGTCAGAGACATAAAGTAGCGAGAGGTGAGAATTATATATATTAGGTATCAACAAGAAAAGACATGACAAAGCACGCTTCATCAACCCAACCCAACCCACCATCAGCTCCATAACCCCTAACGATCCCATCGTTTCACATAACTATCACCCATTCCTAAATGTCCCGCTAAATGCAACTCCTCAAACATGAAAAAAAGCAGAAACGAAAAGCAAGAAAATAGATAGATGTTTTTGCCCAAATAGAACGCCATGTCGCTTTCATATCCGTAACCCTTGGTATCTCCAACACGACCCAATAAGCGCCAGACCATAATCTCTTGGTTTTTCTTTTCTCTCTCCTGCCCTGATTGCTGTGGATGTGTGTGTTTTGTTTCCTTAGATTGTTGTGTTTGGTGTTGATGCTTCGAGGTCCATCACCCCCGTCCTTGACATTGTCGCAATTATCGGTCTATAGATACCTGGGAACAAGTTGCAAGGCTCGACATACTACTGTCGGAGAGGAGTTTCCTTAAAACGCTTCACCCAATGCTGTCGCACGCGACTAGGCATCTTACAGAATACCATGGCCTTGCACTCGTTGATGAGTACTCCCTCAGAGATCTTAACCTGTAAATCCAGATCTTCATCTGCAAAGTCACGGAAAAATATGTCCAGCGCTTCCTCCTGCCAACGCAGAGTATTCCGAGATCGTACAGCTTCGACAATCTCCTCCATGACAGGCCCGTTGGTGCCGTTGGTATTCTGGCCGTCCGCCTGGGAAGGAGACCCAGCACTTGGACCATCACGCACAGCCAACGGCAGCATGGAGGAATTGAGAACAGACGTTGAAAGAGCACGAGAACCATCGTTGGACGAAGTACGGCGACGCTTGCCAGGAGATTCGGGGGCTGACTGACCCATAGGAATAGTAGTAGCAGGTGGTGTAGACTCGAACATGTTCAAAGTACTTGTAGTAGGCAGCTGTCGCTTGCGGCTCTGGGTAATAGTCTCGTCGGGCGGGGTAAGAGCATTAGCATTGGCTACAGTCGGTGGCCCTCGTGGGGGAATTGTAGTAGATGTCGGTCGTGGCTGGGTCGCTGAGCCGGTAGAGGATGCAGTGGGAGTTTGAGTCAACATGGGTCGCGAGTTTGGACTCTCGAGACCAGGAGGTCGAGGTGGAGGATCGCTTGTCAAATTGAGTATACCGGTGCCCGGCATATCGGGATCGTCGGTGATGGGACCATCTGTTCGTCTCCGTGGTTTCATTATGCGTTTGGGGGCGCCACCTGAGCCGATGACGTCTGGATAAAGGACTTCCATAAAGTCTTCGTGATCAAAGGGTCGGCCGCGCAAAGCCCTAGAAAGCGGTTCCCTCTATTTTAGAGTCAGTATGTGCTTGACACAATCGTTTCGTATGCGTGAGGCTACAGCAGCCGGGCCTCGTCGCTCGCGTGATGACAATCCCCGATCGTTCGCATCGTGATGGAACAAGGAATGTTTACCTCGATATGGGCAGTCCACGCCTCCTCCGTAGCAGTAACCGTTCTCGCAACCGGATTATAAACAAACTCAGGGTCCTCGCGAAGACCTCTCCATAACCGAAACCGTTTTCTCGCGTTGTCACTCTTGTTGATCAGGTGGCTTTTCGCCGGGTAGGCACCATGACTCTCCTGCAGAGCCAGAGCAGCGCGCTCCCAGGCCTCTGCTTTGAAGGAAGAGTTCTCGCGGAGACCAAGCTGGACGCTCTCACAGAGACTTCGGAAGAAGGTCGCTTCGTATGCGGGAGTCCAACTGAAGCGCGGAGCTCTTCGATCGCGGTCGACTCGAGCTGGGGGCTGGCCGTCTGGGCCGAGGACATCGGCGTCTTCGTCGGACATTGTTCTAGGAGGGGGAAAGAAAGGAGGGAAGAATAAAAAAAGCCCCCTCGTGACTTTTTGTGGGAGGCGGAGGCTGAGGCTGAAGCCGAAGCAAATGCTCCAACAACAAAGTTGTGTGTTGGTACGGTCTTGACAAGACCTGACCTTGATCAAAAACGATGGGAACCAATTCTAAACCAAACCTTAGTGCTAGCTCGCCCAGTCGGGACTCGGCCGGGCGGTGAGTTTTTGGGTGGGGACGAGAGGTCACCTGGGCCACTGGGAATTTCACTGTGCGTTATCACGTGCGACCACTGAAAAAGGGGAACAGAGATCAACAATTGTTTGGAATAGCAATTAATATAAGCTGACGTTCAAAATTGATGGTAGAACTATGATATCACATCGATGTTATGGTCCTGTTTCATTCCCTATCGAGATGCAACTCACCGGAACCTTTGCTCCTTGACCTCGATCCATGGCCGCGGACAGGGATTGGTGAGAGCTGAGGCTCAACTCCCCGAGAAAAGTCCATCTTATTGGTCTGTTTGAGTCTGTGACAGGTCAAGGCAATACGACATAACGTTTCTTTATTGCAAGGATCAATCTCACCTAACAATATCATTGTATGCGCCAACACTTGCATATTTCCTTGGCCATCTTGATCGCTCAGGAGTAACTTTTCTTTGTGATAGACTCTTTTTATTATGGAGATGTCCCACCTTCAAATGGAGCATCTTGCCCGGTATAGCCGCGGTTACCGCCCGGAGCATTAACATTACGTTGTTGCCTATAATCTGGGCCTTGATAATCTTTACTCTGTTTAGTAGGCCAAGATACACTTTGCGTCATTCATGAGTCTCGATGCCATATGAAAAATTGCAATTGAGCTTATAGACCCAAAATAGTCAAATTGTTCTATCGACCAAGGATACCTTGGCACATGTGTTGAAAATGTAAGAAGGGTATTGTCATCAATGAACTTTCAAGAGAAAGATCAGAGGAACAAGAATTGAATAAGAGCAAAGAACGCAACACCAGCACCAGCCAATCCCAAATGTTGACCCATGGCGCCAGATACGATAACAGGGCGATCTGTGGACTCTCCTGTTCGGGTGTTAGTATTCATATATGACAAAGCTTGGATAGTGAACTTACCAGGAGAAGCACTCTCAGGAGAATCAGGCACCGTGCTGGGCCTGACGCTTGATTGGAATCCGTTGTCGTCTCCAGTGACCTTTGGTGCAGCGTTTCCTTGCTCCTCAGGCTTCTCATTGCCAGGCTTCTCATTGCCAGGCTTTGCCATGGGCATCTCAGTTGGTGCAACCTCGTTCATGTAAGGACGGTCCGAAACAGGGTACGTGATAGTCGCGGTGACAGGCTCAGGACCACAAGTAGTACATGTCTGAACATCACACGTGAATCCATAAGGAAGATCGTGCTCGTGCTTAGTAGGCTTTGCCTCCATACCACTGTACGTCTCCGTGATTACATACACCTGCTCAAAAAGACCAGTAGAGCAGAAAGCAGGGTACTTGGTAGTGTATTCAAGAGTGTGGACACAAGTTGGGCAGCCGCAGTGGCAGTCGGGAGCTTGGACTTCGACAATGATGGCTTCTCCTGTGACAGCTGGCTTGTGAACCACGCATGTTGGGCCAGGGACGGTGACGGTAGCTAGAGGACTCAGACCATCGCGGGTGAAGCATTGGGTTATCGTTGCTATGCGGGTTTCATACCGGACATCTTCTTGGGCCACTCCGAAAGTAGCGAAGAGTACCGGGATAACGAGTGACTTGGAATACATGATTAACGAGAGTGAAGAGCAAAATGCACCAAACGAGTGACTGAAGTTGAAAACAAACAACCTGAGGAAAAGATTAGAGAACCCGTTTCGAATGTCAATAAGGGGGACTTAGCGCTTATTAAAGCCTCCTGTTAGTAATGCAGAAATGCAACTTCCATACCACAACTTCCATCTAATTACCCAGAGACCTGTGGCTTACCGGCTACATGAATAGTGTCATGCCAGAATACGCCACAGAAGACCGATGTAGTGCTTGTCGCCATGCTCTGCTTGTTCTTAGCGGTCATTGCGTCGCTGGTCTTGGTTTCGAATTTCAGTTCCCACGGAAAGCTTGCCAGTGGCTGACTGAAAGGCCCAAATACGTTACAGTTATTTGTTTACTGGAATCCGGTGATTCTGTTGGTACCAGAAATTTCGGTTGCTGAAACTTTGGTATGCAAGGGAGCAACTCAAGGGAGTCTTGGTGACTAACCAATTTGGTGGGATGGTTGATGTCTCACCTCGGACATGATGGCATCTCATATTGAAACTCATGTTCTAGACCAACACATTACTTAGCTAGATTAAGATATTGTCCAGTTTTTGCCCGCTACCTAATTTCAATTTCTTGACATATCGGCAGCAACCAACAGATGTCTCATGCTTCATGGGCTGAGTGTCTGCAGGGCTGAGCTGAACATTTGAGTGCAGAGCAATTAAGAGTCGTAGAAGTTCACAGTATTGGACGAGTCCTTGATCTCCATCCTCCTAGAGTTTCCATCGATGCCTCATGATGGCTCCTGTTCGCTTGTTTCCTATCTTACTTGCAAGTCTTTTTGGTGCATCCATTGCTCTTCAAGATGATCAAAGGCTGCCTGAATCTTGGTGCATAACATATCTATCAACTTATCTGGCCCCAGTATCACATGGTCACACTCGACCAACGACTTCCTCTGCTGGCGAAGCCTTCTCCACAGAGACCCCTGAAGCAACTTTGACCTTCTCTACACATCAAGCTATCTCCTCAAATTTCCCTGTTCGTGATGATCTAGTTATTACAACTTCGGTTCCATTCAACATTAAAACCTCAGCCCCAAGTCCAACTACTGATCTTTCAGTCCCCGATATCAATGGTCGATCAGTGATATTCCGTATCGTTCCGGAATCACAAGATGCCAAACGAGATCTTCAGGTCAGGGAAGTAGGGGGATTCGTTGGTAGCCAGTCAGAGGTCTGCGCAACTGTCACAATCTTCAATCTTGTCTAAGGCCGTCTGCTCGATAGTACCTGGCCCATATACTACAATGGCGAGAGTTTCGAGGAGCTACGTGGCCAGCCGGGAGCGTTACCTCGAGACGCCGTTACTGAATTCTTTGCTGATGACAATGGATTTCTTCGCTTTTTCAGCTCGGCCCTACCAACTGGCGAGGCGAGCTTCTGTCAAGAAGCTGAGAGCGGCCAAGCCTATATCACTTTCTCTGCATCGCCCCCAGGTTGTCAAGCTATAAGACTTTCTATTACTGGAGGTATGGGCATATTTTCGTGCCACTGATTCTAGGCTGACTCGTTTCTTTGTCGTTGACGAATGCAGAGACGGCGATATATCCTCAAGCCCTTCTTCTCGACCTGCCAGCATACCTCAGCTAGCAGAATCTACATCAGCATTGCTCGGAACGACATCTTCCCCCAATGCAGTAGCCTCTATGACCATACAAGATATTCAGAAGGCCTCTTCCACTATAGATGTCCCAACATTCACTCCGCCTTCCCAAGGCACTTCTCAGGTCAGACCTGTATATACGAGCTCTGTTCGATATTATAATAGCTCTTCATCTATCATATTCCCAACACGTCCCGTTCTTACACAAACACCTTCTATGGTGGGCATTTCAAACCCTGTCACAGATTTACTGTTTACATCTCGGCTGGGCTCCTGGACCTCAAAGCTGTAGAACCTATCCACAGGCGCACTATCCACGGGTATCCTGGGATCATCTAGAGAACCACTTTCTATCTTTGAGCCCAGTACGACTGCCACACCAATTACCACGAATGATGAAGATACAATTGACACTAGCTCTGGTACTGACCCCACGGCCAGCTCAGTTGTTGACTCTTCTGCCACGTCTGGGCCGTCATACAGTTTCGAGACTGATACTAGCACACTATCCGATCTATCACCGGATGCTAGTTCATCTCTCGACTCGAGCCTAACCGGCGTGTCAACGGCTGATACCAGATTTTTCACTACGACGACTGTCGATACCGCTACTTCAGATACTTCTACCACTACAAGCTCTGAAGCGACGGTCACACGCGCGTGTCCAGAGGGATTTTCTGAACCACTGACATTATTCGACGGCCAGCGGCCATCTGATAACGGTGTCGAGTGGCTCGTGCTCCCTTTTTTGATAACGATCTTCGGTCAGGCCAGCGATATGCTCTATATCAGTCCCAACGGGCTTGTTACGCTGAGAGACTCCCTCGGAGCCGATTCATTTTCCAATGCAGCCTTACCTGCTACAAATGTTGAGCCACTAGCTATATTTCCTTACTGGGACGACATGATAGTTCCCGTAGGTTCAGGGGCTGAGGTTACCTACCGGATTAAGGATATTCCCAACCAGCCAAAGACGTTGGTCATAGATTGGTGTGTTTTCTCTACATCAGGTGGAACTGAGCCAAATAACTTTCAAATGCTGGTCTCAAAGGATGTGCTGACTCCAGTCCGCTTCTACTACTATACTACCCAGCTCAAGGGGGAATCTGCTACTATTGGTGTCCAAAGCCGCGATAGGGATGATTTTCTGCAGTATTCTTTTAACCAAGCAGGGTCTGTCCCAGATAGAACGTTCCTATCATTGCGCACGTTCGATGACGGGGGAGAAATAAGTGTTGGTCAGTTCTGAGGCCCCGTTCTCCTTACTGGGGGCTTGTCACTTTCCGGCTTCTTCACTTGATCATTTCCTTATTGTTTGTTATACTTGTTTCCTCCCCTTCGAACTTTGGAATGGTTAGGCTTTCAGGGCTATGCGAAGCTTGGATTAATGGATTGATTACATGGGTCTCTCTTCGTATTGTATAAATATGTTGACAGACGAGAATTTCAGAGACCGGGGCAATAGGATATAGCTAAACTTCCCCTGAGAAACTTGACTTGGTATTGGCTACACTACAATATCCTCGCACAGTCTTCGTTGTCCTTCAACCCAATCCCTTAAAGAATCGCGCCGAGCATCCAAGCTCCAGTGTTGAGTAAAAGGCCACAATCATAAAGTTGAACCGCCCGAAGAATATAAGCAAAGCATTTTTAACCAACCCATTAAAGACCGATTCCAACAAATTCCAACAGAGGCTGAGAAAATCAAGATATGGTCAAATTACCTCATCAATGAACGACAAGTCATCTCTATGTACACCAACTATATGAAGTGAAAAAAGAAGAGAGAGAAAAGGCGCTATGTTGAGCTTTGGATGAAATCCAAATTGAGGCTCCTCCAATCCCAAAGTTGCGAGAAGTCTCCAAGATCGACGTCAGTGATATCGCCTAGACCGTAATCGATATTGAGATCCTGGGGATGAAAATCAACGTATGTTGGAGGAACCATGCCAGCCACAGTATGATCAGCATGTGGCATGCCATAAAGACCTCCTTGGACAATGCCATCGATACCGGCGCTTGGTGATGGGACTTGTTGAGGTGGCATTTGGCCAGGCACGATACCCATGTTGTAAGCAACCTGGGGCTTCGCATATCCCTCGACAGGGACTTGGTTGCTCGTGACATATCCAGTGTTCTCATGCTTGTCATGAGAAGAGTGCGTACTCTGCGGCGTAGATCCTGAGGGCGCACCTTCAGAGCTGGCGTAGTAGCTCGGTGAGTTTTCCTGTGACTCCTGCTCTGGCTGATATCCAGCCTCTGGTTTGATCGCGACATCGTGACTAGTATTCATAGCTGATGCTGCCGGAGACACTGGAGCAACTCGCTGCTTCTTGCGATTCACAGTCTCACGTGGTGGCGCTGATCGTCTAGGCATTTTCTGAACCATCTTGACAAGAATGTCATGAGATGTCTTTGCTGTCTTCGAAAGGGTCTTGAGACGCTTCAACAACCTGATTGCATTATCCACTGAATCGACGATCTCATCCTTTCTGGGGATTGTGTCGTCCTGATCTTTGATAACAGCAGTGGAGAGAACTGCGGCTGTATCGAAGAGTGAGAAGATGATGAAGTGAAACCTTGCATCTCGATGAGAAGCATGATCGGCCCATCGAGTAGTCGTGTCCAAATTCTTGAGGGAATAGAAGACTGCATCTTCTCGAACTGCTAGTAAATCCGCAGGTGAGTTCTTCGTATAAACTTGCGCCATGAACGCTCGCATGGGGTTGAGAATCATAAGGTATGCCATCGTATGGATATAAAAGCGATGGTAAACAATCCATGGAAATTTATAATCCTTCGACGTGTCAGGGTTGTCGACATCATAAACTGCAGGGAAACGTCGGATCCAGTCCTCGAGCATGGATTTGTATTCCTGGATATCGGCTGCTGAAGTGATGTTCTTAGGAGCACCCCATCGCTGGGCAAGTTGAGTCACCAGCTCTGACTGAAGTTTCATATGCAGAAGTGGTGAGGGAGAGAAATCTTCTAGAGTCAGACTTGGTGGCTCGACGTTGATATCACTGTGGTCAATGATCGTCGGACGACCTAAACCAGAAGCAAATTGCCTGAAAAGGTCAGCATGTCATTCACCTAGACTTTGGTGGTTTCACATACCAATCCCAACAATCTAAGATACACCATACTCTTCGTCGCATCTCGCGTTCAAATTCAGATAGCCCTTCAGCAATAGCAGTTCGATGAAGACCTGGTGCTAGAGTTAGATCACTGATACCACAGGAGATCGAACGCACTCACCTAATTCATGCGCCTCTCGAACAGCAGCGCCGATAACATGCCACGCTTCAACGAACTTTGCTTCCGACTTGTACCAGTAGATTGAGTGAAGCATCCATTGAATATTGAGCAGATGGCAATGGCCAACCGGAATCACTCTTCCGAGTTCCGTAGCGGCTTTATGGTATTCTACTGTTAGCTTCTCGGCGGGCTCGGAGAGCTCGACCTCGACAATGGGCTTTATCTCAACATCTAGATGCTGCGTGGCACATGCGCAGACCATGACGAGTAGGATGGTCCATTGGAGTGAGAGCGACTGATTGCGATTCCTTCGCTCCCACCATTGTTGATATTCCTGGAGGAAAGTTGGTGGATAGATGATGTAGTAGTGATAGTTCATGTTGTTGAAAAAGCTCTGAACAAGGGCATCTAATGGCATGTCAGATCACAAATTCTTGAACATCTATTAATTTGAGACAGTACTTACCCATCTGAGGGCGGCCAGGCAAGACACCGATGGCATGCTTGAGCTGAGGACAGGTACTTGGATGAAGCAAGGTCAGTTCGCCCAAAGGCTTCTTGTCCTTCTGGACTGAGTTTTAGCATGCAATTCGACAAAGACAGCATTTTTTTGTCAACATAAAGAGAATTTCCTCACCTTTGCATCGATAGTCAGAGATTCAAAGAGGGGGCCAGCGGCATAACCCATCGCTCCCAGCCCAACGTCATCATCATCCTCATCAGGCTCGGAGTCGTCGGGTTCAACGTCATCCTCACCACTACGCGAGCGCTTCTTATCGCTATTCGGCGTAAGCCCATCAGACGGCGAGCTCGCAGTATTCGCCGTGATGAAGCGGCATTTATCTGCGACCTTGCGCTTCTGACAATGGTTGCAAGGCCATTCTCGATTGCACTGCCGGCAGTGAGTACAGGGACTTCATAGGCCCCGCGGGGCGGTCAAGAGCCGCTCCAGACGGTCTGCAGGTCATCTCTGAAGGGATAGGACGTACCTTTTGCTTCCTGCGATGACACTCAGCGCAGGCCGAGCGATATTGACCTGTATGCGTGCTGTTATCCTCCATGTTAGTGTGGAGTTGACGTGTGGAGATCGACAGGGAGCGACGCGAAGAATCCAAGGATGGGCAGAGGAAAAACTTTGTCGCGTTATTCCGGAATTGTTGTATGTAATTGAATACGGAATGGCTCTTGTCTGGTTGTGGTCTAGTCCAAACGGATAATGCCGCCTGTTTGTCTTAGATCACCTCGTGTTCTTTTGTTTTTGTCCAGAACCTCGGCAATTGATTATGATGATATTTCAGTGATAAGTTATCTCTTCAAACAAGATTTCAAGAGTTGCAGACCATCCAAGTAAAATTACCCCTGAGAAATGAATATCGGCCCGAGATTCGATCCCCATAAACGCCATCATCGCCTACATCCGAGACCCAAATGTGTTGTGGCACCTGAGATGCAGCCAGCCTCGAGCTACACGAAGTTACGAAGCCACATTTCTCACACTTGAGGCAATGCATTCCAGACTAAATTGAATGGCTTTCTCATCTTTGTGGGGTTGTGACATGATGACAGGTTGTAACGTCAAATGCCTTTCCGGCAAGGCTGAAATGGACTTGCATATCATTCGCCCAACGTCGCACAAAAGGTCCAGACTCTCAAGAACGGGTAAAGATTCCCTGATAGGGCTTAATAAGAGCGTTGTGCAAAAAGCTTCGATCATACCAACGGCTGATGTCGCTGATGTCCGAGCGTGTATGCGTCGCTATCAACGGTGTCAAAGCTCAGACTTACGTGGCAATCAAGGTGAAACTAGTGAATAGTAATCACGAGGATATTGGTATTTGGAATTATTCCATTTAAGGTTCGCGGCACGGCAATTGATAGAACACTCGAGCTACGCAACGCAGAGCCACCGGCAAACTCGACTAGGTCTAGACTCTGTGTTAGATGCTTCCACTTCTCTTCCATGGTATTTATTTGCCAATCTTCATGTTGATCTTCGCACACCAGCATTGATATACCGAGAACTATAGGCAGGGTTGTGAGTCCGATGAAGGCTTAGATAAATCGATTCGGCTTCGATGACAAATATTGGGTGTAGATAATGGATGAATTTATAGACAGATAAGAGCAGAGTTTTAATGGCCTTAGATGAGAGCTCAGGTACAGAGCCCACATGCCGACTTTCTATGATGGTAAATCAGCCTTAAGAAAACAACGTCTTCAGTCCGGCAGAAGCCAAGACCTAGATCAGATTTATAGTGCTGTCGCCATTACATTCCGTATCCTTCCTCTGAGATAGTTTCAGCACGGTTTTATTGATCAAACAAGTGCCAACTCTAGTCCTTTGTGAAGGCTTGTCTTATGTCCTTCAAAGACTTGATCTGCTTTCCCTTTGTATCAAAATTGCTTTCACTAAGCCAAGCCTCAAACGCCTTCTTCACAAGAGGCCACTCGTCGTCGGTAATGCTGAGCCAAGCAGTATCTCGACGTCTTCCCTTGATAATCATATGCTTTCTATACCAACATGTTAGCAGGTGTTCTCAAGAAATGGGATCTATAATAAATACCTGAAGATACCCTCAAAAACAAAGCCTAATCGTTCAGCAGCTGCAAGACTGGGTTTGTTAAGATGATTGGCTTTCCACTCGACTCTTAAGTATCCAAGATCCTCAAAGGCGTGCTTGATGATCAGATAAAAGGCCTCAGTGGCAGCGCGTGTCTGTTTCAACTGAGTACCAAAGATGATACTGCCAATTTCAATCCTTCGATGACTTGGAACGATGTTGAGATATGACATTTGCCCAACAGGCTCAGACTTGGGATCATCGCGTGGGCCAGAGAGAACAGTATAGAAGAACGGATCCTCAGTCTTGCTGAATCCCTCAACAGTCTCTCTCCATTGTTGTTGATCAAGGTAAGGTCCTCCAAACATATAGGTCCAAAGATGACCGTTTTCCTCGCCGCCAAGGTGTTTCCAGCTTGGATCGGCATGAGATGGCTCCAACGGGATAAGAGAAGTGTAACGTCCGTCAAGGGACCCACGAGAGGGTGCGGACGCAGTGCCTGACGGTGTGATCGGACCAACTGGCTGTTCGTTCATGGTTATAAATGTCGAAAATAGGATTTGGGTTCGATTTTGAGAGTCTGGAAGTGTCTCGAGACTAATAGTAAGAGTTCGGTGTTTGGACCCGAAAGAAAACAGAGTTCGGGGCTTGTATCCGAATGTGAGTCAGCATATGATTACGCCCTCTCGTTGATTCACTTGCAGACAGATAGTGAGTCACATAGACGCTGGTGACCAATTATCGCTGATCCGTCGTATAGAGGTGTTTATTAATACTACCTGTTAGGTGTTCCGATAAAACATACTACATTACAAGGAAGCTATCGGTAATCTGGTCGCGTAGTCACGTTGACATCATGAACGATGCAGTAGGTATTAAAGAGCCTCACAAGGTTGAGATGTACTAATCTTTTCCTCCGATATGCTGTTAAACACCTATTACCTTGTTTGAACGTCTCCGATCCTCAGAGAGCGCTTGGTTGAAAACTTGACATCATTATCCTAATCCACAATCGTCAATCTTGCCATACCTTATGCCGTAGCAATTTAGAGACTTGGCATTTCAAACAATACAATCAAAGTATCTAGACTACTCTTCATATTTTTGGTACTCTCCAATGCTTAATAGTATCATATACGGGATAAAAAGTCTAAACCTCTCATTGTATGATTCTTTCCATCTGACCTACAATTTCGCCTTGCCCTGTTTTTGACTCTTGATCATCAATCCTCCATTAACTCTTGTATTTCTTTGCATCCAGAACTTATAGCTGTAATTATACCAAAGAGTAAACAAGAATGACTTCCTTTTGCAAGGCCCCTTGTCTTGAGTTGATGTCAACCATTGCCAATTAATTTTCACAGCCATCATGAATCCAAACATCATTTACCCTGGAGCCACTTTTTGGAATCCAAAAGCGCTTTACTTGACGATCGAAGGATTCGCCAAGCCAGCACCTCCCAATCATACAGCACAGCGCCACATGGAACCTGGTCTGGCAACGTCATGTGAATACTGCGCCTTGCTAATCCATTGCGCTGGTCTGATAATTGGTGATTGTCCCTACAATCCCCACATTGGGGTAAACTCAGCCTTACAATCCATGGAGAATCAGCCATGATTTAAGGAACGAAATATCCACTTTAGGCACGAATAATTCCTTCTAGAATCATTATATTTTCTTAGTTCTTGAGCTTAATCTATATTCAACGATATACAAGATGACAGACAAGAAAGACCTTGGCAAAACTGATCAAGAAATGGAGTCTTCCTCTGCAGCGCCAACAGAGCTTCCTCCTTCATATGACATCACTCTATCTCAATCTCAGTCTCTACAACAAGATCAATTACAGACCACAGAAGACTTTCCTACTCTTATTCTTGATGGCACCAAGATCTACTCCTTATACGCGCCCAATCGCATCCTCTATCAACTTAGCAATGCACCATACGAAGCCACTCGGAAAATCTATGCCATTGAGAAACTACGATACCGCATTACGAACGCCGACTCTGAACAAAGGCTAAAGTACACTGTCGACCATATATACGACTTCAGGCACGGCATCTCGATAGAAGCATACAAACAAATCACCATCCTCGGACAAACAAGTCGGAAGCGTACTTATCCCAACATGATCATGCACCGATGTCTCAATGGCTGCCATACGATCTGCCCAGGTGGCCAGGTGAAGCTCACCCCAGATTATGTGCTCAAAGCAGATTCCCCTCTGAAAGATCGGCTCAATCAAGGGAAGAACAACACAGCCATATGGAAAGACGAGAAGGGAGAGGTCGTTGCCGTCGAGACGAAGCTCCAGCGTGATGAGAATGGTAACATACAAGAGCTCCCGAGACTTGCTATCAAGGCTAGGATTGAAGAGAAGCTGTATGATCTGCTGGTCACGTCTTGGTGTGCACATGTTTGGAAGGATGCTCAAAAGGATTTGAAAGAGCCAATGAGTTGGGATAAATGTGAGCCACAATATTGTCACCAATTTTGAGGATCTTTGCTGACCAATGGTTCTAGTCAAACGGATTGCGTCGACCGTGCCTAATAAAACAGGAGGTATATACGGCGGTGCTGGATTAGGCTACAACTTCTAATTTGTCTGAAATGCCTTCATCAAAGATGTGATAATGTGACAGCGAGATTACACAATACGAAAACCCTTCGATTAAATCATTGAGTGTCCTTTTGCCTGTGATTTTGTCCGAACGATTCTTATCCGTGAGGTGCTTTGGCCTCGTCATATGGCTCGGCTTACGATATGAAATTGGTTATCTTATCACAATTAAACAGCATCGTGCCCAACAATTCTTTAATCGCCATTTGCTTATCGTGCAAATTGACGAGGCTGATAAGGTCATTTTGAGTTCAATACGCCTCTCAATCTAGCGAAAATTGATCTCGGTTAACCGCCACTGAGACTCGGCTGAGATATTTATCCTGAAGCACAAACACGACAAATCCCGCGACTTCTTCATGATACATCATTGATGCAACGTAAGCGGTGCAATTGGACTCTGAATCGAATGTCAAACGTCTCTGATCGTTCGCACGGATAAAATATAGTCGTCTAATTATGAATTATTCTTTGCTTGTGCATGGATGCATTGATATTGTTCATGATTATCGACCAGGATCCACGATTTGCATAAACACGGGCTGACCGATATAACCATATGCTATGCTTAATATAGCTCTCCACTCGTCAGAACAAGCAAAGAGCTCGTATTGTTTCGTGAAACTTCCTCACCATCTGCCAAGATAATAGTTTCCGCGCATCGTCCAAAGCCACCCGTCAAATAACCCAAGAACCAAAGGGCTCGAACAACGGGATCATACCCAAACAAACGCTCGTGGAAAGAGTCCGGTGATGCTTCCACCGGAAATGTGCCCCTTTTAGCGTACTCGTGGCGTGAGCTAGCCCAAAAAACAATTTCTCTTGGCGACGCTGGTGGTAATTTAAATGACCAGGGGTAGGGAAGCCAACAGCTCCCCTAGGCGAGATGAATAAAATGAAGGGCCACCCCTAGCTTCTTCAGCTGGATCTCAGCTGTTCTTTTGCTGGTCTTGGTCACGTTTCTGAATGAAGTCGTAGATGGAGGGCAAAGAGTCCAAGATGGCTCCGACAAGTCGCATCGCCTTTTTGGCGCTGTCATTCCTCCTTTCAGGCCATTTCGCAGCAGCTGGTAAGCAGATGAACAGCCCCTGAGATGAACAACCATTAACACGCGATTGAACGCGTTAGAATGCGACATTTCTGGCAATTACACGATTATCGCTGCACCCGACGACCAAGATGGAGTTCAATCCTGCAAAGATGTCGATGGCTCTATGTCGCTCCTCTTCGATAAGGATCCCTCTTCTTGGCCATCCAACAAGGCTTCGGTAGACCTCGGCGATATCAGCTCACTTACCGGCGACCTTGTCATTTATCCCCACCACGATTCGAAGAAGACGGTTGTTACGGCATCGAGTTTGAAGACGATTGAAGGAGCCCTTACGATATGGAACACAGGAACCGGAAAGGACCACACGATTGAGGAGTTCGACCTGGTATTCGACGCGTTGGAGGAAGTTGGCAAGGACTATGTCATCACAGAAGCTTTTGCTAAGCTGTCACTTGAGCACAAGACTGATATCACGGTGGGGGGTATGGCAAGAGTTTACGATACCGATGTGGAGGAGCTGCAGCTCAATGGAGTGTATACCGTCAACGGAGACTTCTCAATCGACTCCAACAGCAACATGAAGGAGTTGGATGTCCCCGCTCTCACCTATGCCAACAAGGGCTTTATAGTCAAGGGCAATAATGCTCTCGAGAAGGTCTCATTTGCACAGCTGAAGGGCGTCAAAGGAAACATGCAGTTCAACCAGAATGGCGCACTACAAACGATCTATCTCGCAGCCCTCGAGTCGGCTGCGACCATGGCTATCACCGCTAACGGAAACGATGCTACTGTGCTGCTCCCTTGGCTGTCGTCTATCGGAAACAGCACCACTACGGCTACCTCAGACTTCAGCGGGCTTGGAAAGATTGAGTTCTCATCTCTTCGCACGGTCAATGGCTCATTGACCTTTGAGTCTAATTCATTTGAAGACCTTACTATCCCTTTGTTGAAGGAGATGAATGGCGCTATTACTGTGGAGGACAACCCTTCTCTAACGACCTTTGCTTTACCAAGAGTTACATACGTGGAGGAACTGGATATCAGCGGCAACGACGAACTCACCAATATTACAGCCAACGCTCTCAAGTCTGCTGGCACAATTGCGATCAAGGGATCCTTTACGAACGTGGAGTTCTTCAACCTGAAGAAGGTTACGGGAGATTTCAAGGTTTCTGGTGACGAGTCTATGGACTGCAGTTGGTTTGATGCCAATATTAAGAGCATTGTTGTAGGAAAATACACCTGTGTTGGAGATCACGACAAGAAGGAGAGGAAGCCGAGTACTGGAGGCATTGAGGATACAGAGGGTAACCCCAAGGATTATATGTCATCTCCAGATGACGACGAGGGCAATGGTGCTGGCGGCGGCAGCAGTGGAAGCGGAAGCGGAAGTGACTCAGATAGTGGAAGTTCTGATGGAGACAAGGGAGGCTCGAAGGGAGGACTTTCAACAGGTGCAAAGGCCGGCATTGGAATCGGCGTTGCCATCATCGTTGTTCTTCTTATCGTCGGCGCCGTGATGTTCTGGCTCTGGCGCCGCCGTCGAACCGCAGCACCTGGCGAAAAGCGCCTCGGCAGCAGTGGCAGCGGCTCAACCAAGAAGGGCATCTTTGACGGACAGCAAATGGGTGTCCAGACAAAGATCGAAGCCACCAACCCCAGCCCATCTCCTAGCATCGGCACTTTGAATTTCGGGCGCAACTCTCTGATTGAGTCGACTGGCGGCTTTACCGAGAAGAGTCTCAATGCTTGGAAGACGATTCGAAGAGTTAGTGTCTCTTCGGGTGGTTCTTCAACTGTCAAGGAGGGAACGAGTATTCTCAAGGGTTGAAGAGAAGAGAAGAGAGGAGATAAGGGGAGAGTGTTTAAAATGCAATTCAGCGTATAGTGATACCACAGTCCTTTAATAAACATCAGCAGGAAACGGCCTGTATCTCTTTTCATAGGGTAATTTAATACTATTAGGTTAAACAGTCTATCAGAATTCACTCACTCACCTCACTCATCAGTTCACTTGTAGATAAGGGAACGTCAGCTTGGACCCTAATTAATCCGCTGGACCCTGAAATTTTCAAGAAAAAGAATGACAAAGAAGAGCTGAACCACTTTAAAAAGTCCACGCAAGACATTCCATGTGGAGATGATCTCCAACTTTTCTCACTCAATCACAAAGCTTCACATGCGCATCTGAGGCATCTGACTTGGTGAACAGAGACCCACCGCTGATTACGAGAGGTTCCAGAGCCCCTCATCAGCAGAATCCCTTACAAAGTGATCGGCGTGCGGTGAAAACACCAAAGTTGTCATTTTCATTCATCCCGACAGTCCATCTTTTTTACTTGACTTTTCTTTTGCAATTGAACCTTTTGTTGGGTATTTTGTACCGTGAAAACGCGCGTTAGCCTTATCGCAGCTAAGATGACGTATCCCCGTCCTGATTTTGAACGTAACCCACTTCGTTGGGAGTCCCTCAACGGACAATGGGATTTCCTTTTTGATGATGGCGATTCCGGCCTCAACGAGAATTGGCAGCGTACAGGCCTTCCGGAGAAGGTCAACGCCGACAACTCTGCCAGTCGCAAAGAAACTGGCCAGAGCGACAGCGTGGTACAGAAGATCATGGGTGATGCCCATTCTCTCATTCAGAACAATGTCTTTGCTTCATCGACGCAGACCACCAACTCAAAAACAAAAATCAATGTTCCTTATGTCTTCCAATCTCCCGCCTCTGGTATCAATGACCGTGGGGTTCATGAGGTTATGTGGTATGAGCGTGCCATCTCAGACTTGCGATCGGCGCAGGAGAAAGAGAAGGGTCATAAGCTGGTCTTGAGATTTGGTGCTGTTGATTATGAGGCTACTGTTTGGGTCAATGGAGAATATGTTGGCAGTCATCGAGGTGGACATGTTCCCTTCGAGATTGACATCACTGATGCTGTGGAAGCCGCTAAAGAGGCTACTACTCATCGAGTCACTCTGCGAGTCTATGATTCGGCTTATGATCTGACACAACTTCGAGGCAAGCAATACTGGGCTGCTAAGCCCGAGACTATCTTTTACACTCCGTCTGGCGGTATCTGGCAGTCTGTTTGGTTGGAGGTTGTACCCAGTGCTCGTATTGCTGATAGCTCTTATGGCACCGTTATAAAGTCCAATGACATCCACTCTGGCCAGCTTCGAAGCACCATCGCTGTCAAGGGACGACGAATTGGAAAGGACTATTCCGTCGAACTTGAAGCTAGCTTTGCTGGGATTGCTGTTGCCAAATCAGAGAAGAAAGCTCTTCCTCGAGAGACGAGCTCCGTTGGCGTTGAGCTAAACCTGCGCCTTTCCGAAGAGCAGAGGTCCAAGCTGCCCAAATCTGTCACTGAGAGTGCCCCTCTGGACAACGATTTTGCTTGGCGCGATGGTGTTGCACTCTGGTCTCCCGAGCATCCCCAACTCTATGATCTCATCATTCGCTTGTATGATGACGCAGGAAATGTCATAGACGAAGTCAAGACAACTACCGGCATGCGAAACATCAACTGGACAACAGGCGATGGCACCTGGCGACTCAACGACAAGCCCTACTTCCAAGCTCTCTGCTTAGACCAAGGCTACTGGCCCGAAACATTCATGACTCCTCCTAGCTCAGAGAGCCTCAAGCTGGATATTGAGCTCGCTAAGAAGATGGGTCTTAACGGCTGCAGAAAGCACCAGAAGGTCGAGGATCCCCTGTTCTACTACTGGGCTGACAAGCTTGGCTTCCTCGTCTGGGGCGAGATTGCGAACGCTTATGCGTTCAGTGCTGAGTATGTGGATCGATTCAACGCTGAGTGGACTGAAGCGGTTAAGCTGGTTATCAACCGTCCATCAGTCGTGACATGGACTCCTGTGAATGAAAGCTGGGCTTATCCTAACCTTGAGGATAATGTTGATCAGCGTAACCACATTCGACAGCTCTACTATCTCACCAAGTAAGCATCCTCGCTTCAATTTAAAAGCTATACTGACAGCTCCAGGGGCCTCGATGATACACGAAGTATTAATGACAACTGCGGCTGGCAGCACGTCCTTACTGACCTAACCACATTCCACGACTATAGCGATGGTCCAGAGATTGAAAAGACCTGTTCTACTCTTGAGGGCATCATTGGCCCCAAGGCTGGCCGAGGCGTCTTCCTACCACCTATTCCTGGCGTTGACGAGGGCTCTAAGCATAAACCTGGCGCTCCAGTCATGAATACCGAATTTGGAGGTGTCAACATTGCACCAGCCAAGAAGGAAGACGGTGATAGCCTCGATTGGGGTTACACCACTGCCACAAACGCTGATGATTTGGTCAAGAGAATCGAGCGTCTTGTCAATGGTGTCGTCTTGGGAGGACACTGCTGTGCTTTTGTTTATACTCAGCTGTAAGTTTGATTTGGCTTTTGTGTTGATATGAGACTAATGATCTGTAGGGCGGATATCGAGCAGGAGGTCAACGGACTGTACACCTTCAACCGAGAGGAGAAGTTGGATGCGTCCAAGGTTAAGGCTGTGATTGACAAGGCTCTCGGTGCCTACTACAACAGGGTGAAATGAATGATAGGATTGCAAAAGCTATACTCTAGATGGTCGTCGAGTTGAGGCTGGTCTCTGAATACTTAGCTCTGAAATAGATATGATACGAAAGAGACATTCTTTACATGATCGCCTGTTTTAGTCCCTCGTACCTCTTGAAAGATAGTTATAAAGATAATTACAGGTGTTTTAGCAAGCACAAGCATACTGTTTCGAGACTTGTCGAGTCTATATATGCCTGTGAAATCGATCATGGGCTGATTTATCCTTTGCGATTATTGGATTTTACAGTATCCTCGAATGTCATTGGCCTATATGTCTAATACAGATCGAAACTAACCTTTTGTCGATTGGTAATCATAGTTTCAGGCTATCAAACTCACAGCCTATATTCATTGTCCTCAAATTGATGGATCGGTCAAATTCATGAACAATCATGCTTGCTGAATAGCTCTAATTGGATGACCTATCAGGGCATCATAAGGATATTTATACAGAATGAATCGTTATGAGAATTGTAATACTGAAGTCGGCTTTGATAGTTGCATGCTGAGTTTTCATAGTTATTTCAAGCCTCGACAAAGAATCGGATGATGTTTGCTTTTGTTACACAGTGCTAGTCCTCGCTAAGAACGCAACCAAGTTTGATGATCAATTGAAAACACCAAAACAAGACAAATCTGTTATGCAAAGTGATCAAAACACTTCTTAATAATGTCTTGGAGATTCTCACATAAAATCAAATCATTTCAGCCTCGGCATTGACCATAATATCGCATCATGAGTTCATGACTGCGGGGATCGGGAAAAGAGCTGTCATATCACGTGATTTTACATGAGATCGGGTCGACTCACCAGACTTGGACCCGACGCTCCATGATGTGGCTGGGGGATCATCACCAGTTCAATCACGGCGCCAGACCCGGCTTTTTGCCCGCGGTTGGGAGCATCACTATCTTATCGCATCATCACAGTATATGATATCAGTTTTGTTTCATTAAATTGTATGCTATAGTCGCGCGCGCTCCCTCTCCCTAGCCTCGCCTCAGGCGCGATGCCTTCGACACGGCCGCCAAACGCGCAGTCGCCCATCGTCGATGTCGACGGTGCTCTCGATAACATCGACACCATCCGCATCCCCGAACCCCACGGTACATATTTACAGACACGCGGAGCCCGCGCAGCTCGTCGAATATATAAAGCCATGGGTGTCTGGCCGTGGGACATTGTTCCCGAAGCACCTCCCAAGATGTGGGCTATCAATCTACTAGAGGATCTCGCCCTTGTCGCGGACCATGTTGCCAGAAATCCAGGTGATACGCTGCAAGATCTTCAGTCAGAGCTTCGAAAGTCTCTTGCGCGCGATCGCAAACCTTCTTATGCTGGGAAATTGATGGCACAGGATGTTCACGCTGCGAAGAAGCGATTCGTTCGAACGATGCCTCAATCGCCTGATGCTCAGGACGATACTGGTGATGATGTTGGTACTGCCGAGAGGCGGTCCGGACGAAGGCGAAGAACCGCAAATTATAGCGCTCCAGACTCCCCAATTGACCCATCGCGATCGCGTCGAGACACCTCTTCAGAGGAGAGCGAAGAGCACATGGCCTCGTCTATCACCGTCGCCTCGGAATTCCCTCCATCTCCTCCTGTACCTCGCAACGTCAAACATTTAAAACGACCAGCTACAACAATACCCACACCAATTGAGAAACGTGTCCGTCACAGTTCGCCAGAAGGTTCGCGCCTCTCGGCTGCGCAGAGCCTTATGATGTTTAGCTCTCCGATGGCTACATTCCAAATGGCTACATCTTTCGGCCCAAATGCAACTGTCTGTTTGGCCAATCTACGATAAGTCTTTATGCTGATACATTGATAGGCCAATGCTACTCGTTCTCTCGAGCCGAATAACCTCCAGGAAGCGTTAAAACCTGCTACCAATAACTTTGTCGCGGCAATTGATGCGCACGTTCGGACGATACGTTCCTCGCTTGCCATTGCTCAACAGGAAATATTTCCTCATAGGTCCAGGTCCCAAGAAGCTATGAGCAAGCTTCGCGCCGCCCAAGATCGCGTGCAAGCGATCCAAGATGACATAGCGGAGTCGCAAGACAGGCTGCGACGACTTGTCGAAGAAACTGTCGCCGAGGACGCTCTAGCGCCACAGCTCCATGCACTTCAAGAAAACAACATGTCTCTACCGCCGGAAATCGCACAAGCAATACGAAGCTACGAGACTCGTCGGGCAGCTAAGAGCGAAGAGATAAAAACCCAAGAATCAGCCATCAATGCTAAACGCGATGAGCTAAAACGAGCGACTGAGGAACTCGACATGGCGGAGAAGAACTCGGGTGGCATAGAGTCCGATATAAGAGATCTCCAAGCGGCGGTGACGCGTGGAACAGAAGCAGCCCGGTTCGCCAACATGTTCAGCGTGATGGTGCAGCTGGGGCCGGAGGGATTGGCAAACATTGAACAGATATACCCAGAGATTGGCTCTCTACTTGAGTCGCTGCTTGCGTCGAGGAATAGCCCTTCGCAGCAGAACCATAACAACAATCATCATGTGCATAATGCGGTGGATGGAGACGAGGCTAATGGATTGTAGGAATTGGGCATGAGACTAACGTTAGTATAGCGATTTGAGTATTCTTTATTATGGCGAGAATAGATTTCCGCATTATCTTAAATTAATTTGACATTAGCATCAGTGGACGGCGCATCCATTGCATCTTATATTTACTCGACCGATATTTTCTGATTGAGTTTAGGGTAATGCTGAAACCCATTGTTTGGACCAACTCAATTCACCTAAACGCTGCGTATGAGCTGCTACTCTTTCGATTCTTTCATCCAGTTAGCACGGTTCCGTGGTCTAGTTGGTTATGGCATCTCGTTAACACCGAGAAGGTCCCCGGTTCGATCCCGGGCGGAACCACGTTTTTTTGGCCATGACACTTTTTTTTACCTCCTCTAGTTCGCTATCCCCGACACAGTCCCCAAGTACAGTCCCAAAGTATAGTCTCTTTATTAAATGCTTTTCAGGGCTATATCGCGGTAATTTGAAATAATTGGCCTTTGTTTTGTTGGCAACGATAGACCTGCGATAACTTCAAACAGTCACAGGCATCGACAAACAGTGTATTTTTAGCTCTTATATGAGTCTACCACTTTTTTGTTGTAAACAGCCTTTCTACCGTTGGTCTAGTGATACGTGTCATCGGAATCGCCTACAATTCAATGACCGTTCTGCCATGTCTAGAGAGTATGCTCCACAAGCTTGATCCCCCCAGCTTCGACTCTGACTCGGATAGGGTCGCAGATCTCCCGGGAGTAGGGAGCAACCACGCCAGGCTTCTTGAAGGCCGGCTCGCCGTCAAGAAGCAGCTGGGTGGCAATGCCGCAGGTCCACCCGACAGACTTGGCCATGGCCGAGTAGCCGCCAGGCTCCCCAAAGAGTTCGAGGGTAGACGTGATCGTATTCTATCACAGGTAATATTAGCTACTCTTCCTATTCGAGAAGAACAGTCGATTGACACTCACTTTAGTTCCGTCCTTCCACTCGACAACGAATTGTGCTGAAGCATTACCAGATCCCGCTCACCAGGTTGAAAGCTGCAAAGTCTTTCCAGTTGATCGGAAAGAGTGTCGAGAGGAGAATCGCGGATGGCAGCGACTTCATCCGAGAACAGTCCCATCCACTTGAGGCCGGCCAAGATCTCACTACGTTCTTCAGGGAGCGGAAACTGCAAAGCTCATCTACCTTGGCACAAGATCAACCTCAGCGGTAGAAGTTGCGCCGGTAAGCTGCTGCTGAATATGCGACCACTTCATACCCTCCTTTAACTAGGCTTTGGAGGCTGTGTCAAGCCACCCAAGGTCAATCAGAACTTTAACTAGAGCGGGGTTACCTTCATATCTGAGGGAGCCCCGGATGACGGTATGAGCTTCGGGTATTCCATAAGCTTGGCGGAATGGTACAGAGTCTCGGTTGGGATACGCAAGAAACGAGTACTCATCAAGAACGTGGTATGGAACTGCCTTGCTCATGAGATCCTTGTTGAAAATCTTAATGACCTTCCCGTCTTGGAGGAAAGTGGCAGAGTTCTGCTGCGAAAGCAAGGCGCCGCGGGGAGACCAAGAGAACTGGGAACTCAGAGGTTAGACAGAGGGTCGGTTAGAACAGGTCGACATACCTTGAAACGCAAAGGATTGTCTGATGCTTCTGGGGCAGGAAGGCCACCACGATATGTGTAGAACTCGAGAATCTAGGCTGGTCAGAATCGACAAGAACAACCGAGATTGCATCATACCTTTCCACCCTTCTCATGAACCTCGCCAATGGTTTTGATAGCGTACAGGTGGTCGATACCAGGATCGACACCAACCTCGTTCAACACGGTGATGCCAGCATTCTTTGCCTGCTCCTCGAGTTCACGAATGGCAGGAGATACATAGCTTGTGGTGACGACGTTTGTTCTGCCTTTGATAGCCGACCGAACGACAGTCGCATGGTGGACAAATGGGACGAGGGAGATAACGAGGTCGTGTTCGGCGATGCAGCGATCAAGCTCCGGTGAAGCGATGTCAAGGGCGATGGATTTGGCGGAAGGCCTTCCAGCTGCAATATTTTGGGCAGAAGAAAGAGTACGGCAGGCTAGGTAGTGTCCGGCGAGTCAGCACGTCAAAGGTCCTGGGCAAATAGTCAAGGAGAAAGATACTGACCTACTGTGAGAATGATGTTCTTGTTCCGGAGTAGGTAATCAACACATGGCTTTGCAACCATGCCGCTTCCTAGAACAAGGGTCTTCTTTTCAGGCATGATTGCGGATAATCGGCGCAATGCTGGGTGGCATTCACGAGAGTGTTGACATGTCAAGATACAAGTGTTGGACTTTGGAGAGGAATGAGAAGATGTATCAAGCCAAAACATGGAAAAGGAAAACCCAATTCCCTCCATATATTTTATGCCCTAGATAGGATACTTCAACAATGGTGGTTCCCGTAACTTCCACATGATACGCTTTGAAAATTGAGTGTCTATACATCGAAAAGAAGGACAATTGTGATTGGAGCCTTTGAGTCACATTGCTAAGCCAGAGGATAGACACTTGTCATAATTTGTGGGAGAGTGTTTTATTCCAACGATTTATACGCCCATTTTCAAGCACATATATCAGCCCCTTCCGAGTTCTATGTTGATAGACTATCACTAACCTTTAAATCACAAATCGCAGACAGCACTCACTCCTTGAATTAAGTTATGCTGGGTGAGCATAAGTTTCCAGCTCTAGGGCCCAGCTGCAAATAACGCATCAAGCTCACAACTTAGACATGATACCATGATATAAATAATCCCAGACAGCCATCACATGTACCTTTGTAACGTGATGGAACTCTGCAATTGACGCTGATTCATCCACAGAAGCCACTGGGATGCCATTAGTAATTTTCTCAGGCATGTTAATTAGACGACTCACTTGTCGCTGGACTGCAGCCAAAGATGTAAGCCGGAATACCAGCATACCGATAATGCTTACAATCTGACCCTCCCATCGAGGGGATGGGAACAGGAGCATCGGCATCTGGTCGCAGACTCTCGGCGTTGTCCTTGAGATGACCAACGATGGGATGATCAATTACAGAGTAACTGAAGGGATTACTCGCAGCACCCTGTTTCTTGATAACAATGCTCGCAGGCTCATACTGCGGAGTGATGGTGTCAATCAGCTCTAGGACCGTGTCTTCTCGCATCCCCACTGGCATGCGAATATCTAGCTCAAAGGTACATGTTTCTGGAATCATGTTGACTTTGAGCCCGCCGTTAATCGTGCCAACGTTGACGGTCGGTCGAGCAATGATGGTAGTAGTTCCGGGGCCCATTGCTTGATCGATAGCTCGCTTGACCTCTGGCTTTTCCAGATGCCTCTCCATCTCGTCTGGGAGATCGACCGGTAGCGACTCCACTGCCTCAATGACCTCATTGATGAAAGCGCTGGCTGTTCGGATTGCGCCCTTGCTGAGATGGAGATATGGTCCTAGAGCGCCTTCGGTCTTGACAGTACATGTCAATCGGAGCGTTCCCTTTTCTGCGAACCTGATAGTCTCGAGACCACCTGGCTCAGCACATAGCATGAGATCACCACCCCATCGGGGCTTGTCCTGTTCAAGAAGATACTTGGTTCCCCATTTCCCACCAGTCTCTTCGTCTGCTACAGCGCAGAGAGCAACACTACCCGAAAGGAGATGGCGACGCTCATACAAGAAAGCGTATGCAATGATCAGCGAAGCAGTCCCAGACTTCATGTCCACGACTCCACGTCCATGAAGTCTTCCATCGACAATATCGCCTGACCATGGATCTCGAGACCACCCGGCACCGTTCCCGACAGGAAAGACATCGACATGACCGTTCAGCACGACGCGTGGACCAGGACCTTTTCCGCCTTGAAAGTCGCTGATTACATTTATTTTGCCGCTCCCGTTGACGTCGACGAGTTCGTAATGAATTTTCTTGCTGGATAAATACTCTCCGATGACTGCTGTTGCTTTTATTGTGTCTCCAGGGGGGTTTGGAGAAGCGGCTTGGACGAACTTTTGAAGAAAGCTGGTTTGGTTGTGTTCATCGGCGGCGAGAGCCCGGAGAAGAGATTGCTTTTGAAGCATGGTTTAATCCGTTACTGCGAATTGGGATATTGATGGGAAGAGATGGATTATGTTTACGTTCTGTCGGGCTTACGCTGGGTTTAAATATAATTCCATTGTCGGTGATCATCGGAGAGTTTTAGAGAGGATGATTCACACCGGCTTTGGGGATAACAGAAGTAATGTCTGTTTTAGGATTATGAAAATACTTATATAAAATTTATAAAATTTATAAAATTTATAAAATTTATAAAATTTATAAAATTATGTATAAATTGTGTATTATTTCTCTATTTATTGCCTATATTTTATAATTTCATCTAAATTCTCCTAAATTAATACAATTCTTTCAAAACTCTGCATGAGACTGACCATTTCTTCTGTCACTCGAGGGACCGGGTGGCGGGGTTAGTCCTCCCATCGCTGTAACTCTAATACTGGATTTGGGGCTTTTACAGGTGCGCGATGATCTGCTGTTAATTTAGATGCAGTATTCACTGATGATTGACTTCGAGGCTTAGTCGTCCTCGATACGTCTCGTCGCATGCAAAGATGAATGGCTGTCAACCTATCATGGCACAAACTGGTACGGGCCCATCAATTGACAGTTAACGCAGAGGTAATAGCAGACAGCGACGTAGTGAAAAGCCAAGAATGCATTGCTACATATGCTAACAACTATGATACAGGGGTCTTGGTGGTATCTGTACAACTTAATTAGAATCCTTTTCTGGAATATCACTCGCCCCCTCATGTACGGGCGCACTACCTTCCTGGCCCTTGAGGACCTGCACGCCGGGCTCGAATGAACCGTCATCGTGAACAGGCGGTCCAGTAAAGTTCTTTCGAGCATAAGCAGCATACCAAACGATGGCAATAGCGGCAAAGCCAGCAAATACGGCAGAGGCGTAGTTCATGGTGCCAGGTTCAACAGGGAGAGAAACGGGCATGCAGAAGATGACGATGGAGAAGACGATCCAGACGACGCAGATGCCATTGATGATGGGGCCGAACTTGCCAAGAGGGTAGGGAGAGTGCTTAACAATCTTACGGCCTCGCACCATGTTGACAGCAACAGGGACACCATAGGAGGAAGAGAGACAGATGGTAGCGACACCAGTGAAGGAGTTGAAGGCAGCAGAAGAGCCAAAGTAGATGCATCCGAGGATGCAGTCCACGACAGTAGACAGGATGAGAGCATTGACAGGCATGTCAAGACGGTGGTTGACCTTACTCCAGAGCTTGTATCCAGGAATAGCACCATCTCTGGCGAAAGCGTAGGTGCAGCGAGATGCAGCGGTGAGAGCACCAATGCCTGCGAACATGAGAATGCCAAGAATAAGGAAGAGGAGACCGAAGCCACCAGCAGCAGAACCGGTAACAACCTTGAACAGGGTACCAATAGGCTGGGAGTTGGCGACGGAGAGAAGCATCTGAACGTCGGGAAGGACGAAGAGAATGGGGATGAGGTAAATGATTCCGGTAACACCGGCGGCAGCGACGGAGAGGACGATGGCCTTGGGGACCTCACGTTCGGGGTTCTGGACCTCTTCACACATGGCAGCGACCATGCCGTAGCCAGTGAGGACATAAGCACCTATTGGTTAGGGATTGTTAGCGACCGTTTAATTGAAAGGCTTGGCATACGTACCTTGCAGTAGTCCCACGAAGAACGACCATCCTGTAGGCCAACCACTTGCCGAGGCATCGTAGTGAGTAAAGACGAACTCAGCAGAGCGACGCGAAGGAGCCAAAGTCAGCAATGTGACGATGATGATGATGACACTCGCACCGGTCCAGTAAATGCAGACCTTGTTGATAAGGTCCAAGTACCGCGAACCAAAGGCGTTGACCAAAGCACAGACAAGCATAACAGCCCAGAAGCACAAGACAGTCTGCCATGTATTCGCGACAAAATCCTCATTGAAGATAGTAATGGCGCTAAGAATAAGCTGTGCACCAGAAAAATTGATCGACAGTGTAACGGTCCAGTTTCCCACGAGCGTGAGCCAGCCATCGACGAAGCTGACGATGGGAGCGTAACGAGGCGTGCTGAGCATGGCGCTCCAGTAATACACGCCGCCGGCCGTTGGGAACACGGCGCAGATCTCGGCGAGAGAGGCGGCGATGCACAGCGAGATGAGCGACACGAGAACCCAGCCCCAGAGAACGGTGACAGCTTGGCCGTTGGTCAAGGTGATGTACATAGTCGTCGAGAGACCAAAGGGGACGGCCATGATGGCGAAGGACAGGCCGAGGACGCTCAGCATGCTGAGGTTTCGAGGGAGTTCAGCCTTGTAGCCCAGACGGGCGAGGGCCTGATCGGCGTCGCCGCTTCTGCTGGCAGACTCCATGATGGACAGCAATTACAGATGAAGAAGCAATTAAGATAGAGTAACAAGTAGAGTGTTGTAATTATGGCGCGGTACTATGTGTACCTATGATGTGTTGTCGCGTCAATTATGATCAGGGGAAAGTGGACATTATTATCTTTTTAAAAAAGCAGACGAGAAATGAGAATCAAGGAAACGGGCCGTGAGGGGCCTAGACTCGGCGTCCTCCACGATCTAGGTCCTACTTATCTCTGTCCTGAACAGGTTAGTCCTTCTGGGGTACACGAGCATTAGTGGCTTGACATTTCGGTCACAATACCGCTGATCACACGTATTAACGCGGCTACATTCCGCCGTCTGTGCATGTGAGAGAGCGCGATCGCGGCTATTCACCTTCTCCAAATACGAGGCTCGGAATACAGCAACTTCAGCGATAACAAACCGACGTATTCTCACTTATATCTGATAACAAGGCAGCATCTCCACATGATAAGCATCGAGTCATTTCCCATTTCCCCAGATTGAGCTGATACGGATCCCAGAATCTCCTACGTAAAGACAAGCCGAACAAGGAATCGTCTGATAGCGACCCCACCACGAGATAACCGCGCACCGAGCTGACACAGCGCGTCAACTGACTTTACTGGGCAGAACCTGTCACCTACGATCCTCCGTTAATCTTCTCCGCATTCTACGTTTCGTCGGTAGTTGCCACGCTTTCCTACTTGTGGAGATATCCCTGTCTGACTCGTGAACTATCGCGTGTCACGCCTCGCGGATGGCTTGGTGGTTTAGTGATTCAGCTTTTGAGGGGTAACACCATCGTTACAAACTTAATAGACATTGCATCCGTTGATTGGATATCGTAAAGTACACTGTGCTACTGTAGTTATGGTGTTGGACTGCTGGTCATAGCTCCCAGTTTCGCAGTATAGGAGCATCAACCGCGAGCCGCGCTCTCTATCAAGACTACATGATAGCTGAAATATACTCGAATCAGCCATTTGCCGATGCATCCGGCTTGTCATTGGAAGGCGACCTTTAATTTCCATACTCATTCCTTATATGACCTTCCATCATCATAACTGCCTGCTTTATCAGTGTTACTTTATAGCTCCCTTAAACCGGGCGCGATTATGAGGGTGGCGAAGAGCTGCCCCATACAGCTTACCTACACGCGGCTACGATATTTGGGATTGCTAGACTTGACACTGCGACAACATCATAGAATGATTGCAAACCGTAAGCCACTTTCTCTTTGCGGCGATATCTGGAACCCCTGATGCGTGAAGTGATCTGTGCCTGATGCAGCGCAGATGGGCCAAGAATGCACGCTGAGGAGAATTTCCAAGTGGTGGGATATTAGAGCTTGTTTATCGACTTGAAAGTGCCTATCGTTTGACACTAGTGTCTTCTTATCACCTGGCATAATAGTAACACCCTCCTTATTGCCATCACGTTCATATGTAGCGTTGTAAGTAGAAGAAGAATGACTTATCAAAATCAGTAAACTAGCCCATTTTCCTTTTATTTCTACCCTCCCCTTATTAGGCTGCTTGAGTTGCCAGTTAATTTATACGGCAAGGAGCCCTTCATGTTCACCTCGAAGGTCGTGGACATGGCATAAATCAGGAAAACGCGCCGCAAACCCACGTCATCTTCTCAAGATGCAGTGCAATAAGACCAAAAGCCCCAGCTCTTAACTAATATTGAAGCTCAAACGCTGTAATATGCATACTGATAAGAACGTGGCTTGCAATTTGGGGTCCATTTTTGTTGTTTCAACTCAGTCATTCCGTTCGTAGCCCGCGTTTCCAATCATCACTCCTGTTACAGTCTAATACAGAATGTGAATATCGATTTGTACTATTTCCTTTCTCGCAGTTGCCTGGCCCGGGGATTTAACAGAAACAAGACCCTGATGCTGACAGCCTGCTGTCATCCTAGGCAAGGCAAATGCCTCTACCTAGCCTGACCCCTCGGTCTTCTTGCTGTGCCTCTTCTTCTTGCATGGCCTCTCGCTTGGTCTCTTTTTGAAGCTATCTCGAAGCCCAAAAGAGGGTACTTTCTTCTTCTTTTGGAGGTTATCTTCAATTTTCAAGGAGGAATTTCATAACCACCCTCCGGGGCGGGGGGCTTCCTCAAGCGGAGGGCAACCCAATCCGTCGCCTATGACTCCGGAAAGGAGGCCTCTGATTGGCTGGCCTCGCCAAAGGCTCAGTATTTCGACCTGTCTCTTGCCCTGATCTGTGAATAGCATCACTTTTGAGAAAAGACCCCATGGGGCTCTAATAAGCCAATGGCCAAACTGATCGACTAAATTTGACCAATGGCCGAAGAGCAGATTCCTTGGCAAACCTTATTGCCCTCAATTCAAAGAGGCAAAGCCAACAGGTGCCATTTTACTGCGTTCTCAAGTCACTCTTCTGTTGCGGCTTTGTCTAATAAGGGTTATATTAAGAGGTATATATCTATGAAAGATGAAAGACAATATAAAGGGGAAGAGAATGAATTGCTGTATTTATTAAGAGCCTATTTAAGCATTACATAGGCTTATGTAATAGCGTAATACAGAATATAAATGTTGATTTTAGGTTACATCTTATTCTTCAACAAAGCATCCTTACTCGCATCTCACTTGTCGACCTTCATACTACATACAGCTCGTGCATCTTTTTAAAAATGCCTGCTCTTCCAACTGTGGCAATCGCCGGTGCGACCGGTAATCTCGGTGCCAAAGTTACTGAGGGATTCCTCCAACCGCCATTTCGCGATAGGTTCTATGACATCATAGTTCTGACACGCTCCCGCTCACCCAAGGTCGAGAATCTCGTAAAACAAGGCGCATCATTGCGTCTATATGCCGAGGATAATTTGGAAGAGGCACTAGCTGGAGTTGATGTCCTGATCAACACGTACGTCTACTTTAGTCTGACTGTGACAAGACCTGACACAGCTTGTTGTTTAAATATAGTGTAGGCCCCAGTGGCCATCACTTCAAAGAAACCCTTCTTCGCAGCATTCCTGGGTCTGGCGTGAAGCTCTATTTCCCTTCCGAGTTTGGGGTCGACCATTATGTGCACGACTTTCCACACGACGAGTGGGACGCCAAGAAGGCTCACTTCCAGCTAGCATCAGAGCTCATCTCCGACATAAGCATATGTCGCGTCTATGCAGGCCTATTCCTCGAGGACTCCATCGGTCCGTGGTTTGGCTTCGATACCAAAAGGGGCAGATATGAGGCCGTAGGGGACCCTGCGCAGAAGACTTCGTACACGAGCATGTACGACGTTGGCAAGGCGCTCGCCATACTCGCATGTCAACCAGTGGGCACAATACCGCCCGAGGTGCACCTAAGCGGTGATAGCAAGTCTATGACTGAGATAGCAGAGCTTATGGAAGCGAACGGGGCTGGCCGTATACAAGTGACGAGTGTGCCGCTTGAAAGCTATAAGGCTAGTGTCCTAGCGAAGCCATCGCCTACGCCAGAGCGGTACCTACGGTTCTTGATGGGCGAGGGCAAAATTCAGCACTCTATTGATGGGATAGGTAATCAGAATGATATAGTCCAGGCAAATGGGGCCCTATCGACTTGGATGTCTATGTCGCAATTGGCAAAGGAGGCGCGTGGAAGGCCTTGGGCCGAAGCGGAATGGGAACCGGTTAACTAGTGTCAACTTGGATATCAAGAATAAGGTACTAACAGCTTATTCTTGCATAGAATAGCAAGCCACTATCACTGACGGAATAATCTAATGATATTATAGTCTGAACATTGATAATCTTGTCGAGGAGAATGCCACTTACACTTTACGCACCCCGAGCTTGTACCCATGTGACATTGATGACAGCCTGAATCCAGAATGAGCAATTAGTAAGGAAATTTAATTGCAATTAGCATCGGTCTCAGAAATGTAAATCTCTTAAGACTTTGATGACTCCCTGGTTTATCGAGGCATTTTTGTGACGCGAAGGAATACTATGCCGCAAGCTAGTATTACACCGACTGAGCCCGACTAGCTATTAATCTGTAATGACATGGGTGTATGTTGGGTTATTGGCCCGCTACATAGGCGTCGAGGCTAGATATATGTTGTATGAAGAGCATTACAGCCGTATGTTGAAGGACCTTTTGACTCTTGAGGTAGCTAGCGACTATTGCGGGTTTACTTCAGCCAATCCAAACACATGGGTATATTGAGTTGTTGGCCCTTGACATGAAGCGGATAAGTCGGCACAACACCCTGCGCATTGAAATGACAAGGTTGCAAGCTGCTGAGATCTCTTGTCTTTTTATCCCAGACGAAATGGGAGTCATGGGACACAATTGTATAGCTCTAATCTCAGCTTGGTAACCCTATCGCTGTATCTCCTCGATACTCTTCAAGGACGACAAGAAGAAGTATAAAAGGCTTCAGTTTGTCACTCATGGACATTAAATTCCTCTCATTCTTCACTTTCAGTCTCAGATTCTCCCTATACCCAAACCTCCTACATCTCAACACACCTGTTCATCATGAAATCCACAACCTCCATCCTTGTTCTGCAGTCGGTTGCTGCTTGCGCGGGTTTTACGATGCCAGAGAAATTGCCTAATGGTGTATACAGTGTACATGTGAACGCTCAAGGTCTTGAAGTCTATGATGGACTCACAGTTGACCACAGCACCACCGTGACTCCGAGAGCGCCTTCGCCTCAGCTGAGGGCTCGCCAGTGGAAAGATGAAGGTGGATGGGACCGGAGTGATCCGGAGACGTTCTGTGGATGTGGGTATGTACAAACATTGACATCTTCATCACCGTCGAGTGCATGAATAATCAATTGGTTGAATATTATAGTCTTTATATGAACCATAGAAATTGCGATACAGCAGTCGACATGCTTAAAGGACAATTTGACAGATCCGATGGCGGCGTGGGTGAGGTCACTCAAGCTTGGTATTCCATTTGGGGTGATGTGGTAAGTTGTTTTCAATCTCCGTCCTTGGATACATTTGTACTCAAGTAGGCGGGTGCAAGTCTTTGTCCAACTATTTACACCGGAATAGGTTGCATTCTGCTGTACTGACGATGTATAGCCGATGAATTCTTCCCGATACGCTGATCTTCTTGTGCATATCACCGATACATGTGGCTGGTATGTGCCAGGAACACTGGTACCGTCTTCCATCGGGTTTTCTACGATTGGCTGTGGGTACATGAACTATGCCCCTGGCCTGGACTTCTGTGCCAATTCAGACAGCGGTAAATTCATGGGCCGCAACGGACGTTGTTGAGCCTGAGCATATTCACAAGCCCTAGAACTGGCAATAGGAGCTCCTTCATACAATACCACTATCAATCATGAAACTCGCTGCTTCGTTGTTCCTATCTTGGCCGTGATACTCCATAGCAAGGTTAGACATCGACACGAGCGATCAGTGCGACTTTCTTTTAAGATACAGACTAGATCCTTTTCTTCAATACTAGCTTGCCCAATTAAATGTTGTGTTCCACAAACAAGGCTATTAAATCTAGTCATACAAGCTACTAACGACAAAGGAGTGGGAGCAAGGTAAGAATTACCAAAACCTTAATTTTACAGACTGTATATCCTCATACTAGATAAAGAACCTTAATTCTATATTTATTATTATTTTCCATACATTTCTTCCAGTTTCATTTCCAAATTTATGCGTCCTATCCGTAAGTCCATCAGTGACGAAAGCCATGAGAATGGCCACTTACCGAGCACATCGAGCTGTTGTTCGGCTTTGCGAGACAACTTCAAGTCAACCCTATTACTCAGCTGAAACAATGCCTTTCTCTATTTCTGATATGACCAGAAAAGATGAGACTAAAAAGATTCTCACTAGAGGCAAAGGCCTCGGCGCCTTCTTTTCACCAAACGGCTACGCCTTGATCTTATGCTTCCCAATCACCATCTAGCAGAATAGAAAGAACACCAAAGAGACACTGAAATAACTGCGAGAGCAAGGCAACGAGAAGCTCAGCGTATCAACGCAGAGAGATGGGAAGAAGCAAATGAGAAGGAAAAGCAGAGGCAGCGACGTCAGAGGTGTGATGCGGTGGTGAGGGGCCACAAGAGCCTCTGAGGGAGAAGAAGGTTCCCGAGACTAAGCCTTTGGATCCAAACTTGAGAGACCCTGAGAACCCGCGAGTTTGTTACTTGGAGTGTCCATCTTTTGGAAAGGGGCATTGCCCGGTTCATGATCGCAAGCCTTCATCTCGTCCAACAAGTCCAGGACTGCTGGCAATTTGAACTGTTCAGTATTGAACTTAAGTGTGGACTGGGCTAGCAAATCTGTCAATCTGGAGCTTTGAAGGTATTGTATAAAGAAACATTCACGGTCTAGTCGGGAGAAGTTTGATGCCGTGTCCATAGTTATTATATTAATATTTGTATTCCAAAAAATTAAAGAAGGTCGCAAGCGACCGCGCCATTGTTGGCGCCCAAAACGGCTGTCAACACCAAGCGATCCAGTACCCCCAAGCAGGCCCCGGCACCCATCACATACTCCAGCTCTTGATCGTCCAGCCCTGGAAGAACTTGACCCTCTCTTGCCACACACTCCAACAGCCATCGAAAGTCGTCGACCTCACCATCACTCCCACGTTCAACCACCGTCACGGCCCGAAGCCTCAGGAGATACGACATGGACGCGACAGAAGCACCTCGGAAGGGCTCTGCCACGTGGATCCGTTCGATGCATCCGTTACCGATTTCGATGAGGTCGAGTCGGACACGGAAGCCTTGAGGAACATCGAACGCGATCTTGCCGTCGGACTCGAGACTGAAGCTTTTGGCGCCAGAAGAGACACCCTCCCAGATGTCGATTAGCGCTGCGGGAGGGGCCGCAAGATCCACGTCCTCGGTTCGCTATACCGAAGAGTGGGCAATGCTGGCTGCGCCGCCTACTAGAACTAGTTGACGACGCAAGCTCTTCCGGACTAGTCGGGTGGCGGCGTCGAAGCACTCGAAGAGTGCCTCGCGCAGTGGTGCAGGGATGGTTTGGTCGGACTTCGGCATGTTGGAGGGAACAAGAGAGGTTCAGGGCCTCTGATGATTCGTTAGTATCTGGCAGTCTTATGAGAGATTTAGACTTACTGGAGTATGTTGATGGGTGCTGGGTACCTGGGGGGAGCTTGAATCGCTTGGGACACGGGTTCATATAAGTATTCATCTGAGTTTTAGTTAGCGAGACAGTCACAATAACTCCCATTACCGGGAATACAGAGGGATCATTCGGTACATACAAAAGTAAAATTTATGATGCTCTGGGGAGAAAAGAAGACTCAAGAGTCCCATTAAGGTCCCCTCTAAAGTCCTGATGAGCACTCAGCTTCGGAAGTTCCTGCCATCATACGAAGGCTATCCATAGCATCTCAAGTTTAGCAAGAGCACTAAACTTGTAGCTTCAGTCATATCTGCAATGGTGAAGGTATTGTTCTTGCCTTCATGAGCGTATGTGATGAAGAGATTTATCCGAAACTCTCTCTGGGTATCAGTGAGTGCCACATAAGGGAGTCATGGGCTCAACAAGTTTGCTATATTATTTTCGCTCACACTTTGGTACGTTGATTTTGGTGTCTTGTCAGCTCTTGAGACTGTTGATCGCTGGTATTTGAAACAACGCATGAAATTTACGAAGTTGAAAGCGTACTGAAAGGAATATATGATTAGACTGAAGATGTTCTTAGTTAGATCTCTATCCTCTATATCATTATCAAGAAGGGTGACTAATGCTAGAACGACGCAGATCTAAGAAATTCACGATCGTAGTGCTCGCAACTTGGTGATTTTGAATGTATTGTGATTTGATCCAATAGTCCAGGGATGTTCATGTTGATATTGAGGGCCTTCTACGAGAGCTACCTCTTGGAATCCTCCTTTAAATCGAGTTTTGTTTTCTTAGTTTCTCCTCCTTTGCCGAAAGCATTGCTGGCCTTTCGCTTCTCGATTTTGCGATCGTCTTCCAACACTACCACCGAGGACTGATTCGAGTTTCCATCCGCAGAGTTCCCACCGCCTCGGCAACGCTCCAGTTCAATTTCTACAAGCCATGGATACTGCGTGAGTCCCTCGCTTCCCATAAGTGCCGCATTGACGAACAAGGTCTCCTCGGGAGCCAGTTGGTCTTCGTCGCCCGGGCAACAACTGGTGACACAGAATCTTTGAGACTTATACCGCTCTGATCTTTCTTGCCGAGATTGGCTGTCTTCCGGAGACTCCCACTTGGTTCCCTTTAAACGGGGCAGACTCTCGATAACCCGCGACTTCGTATTGTCGATATCGCTGAAATGAGATGGATTTTCGGAGATCTGGGGCCGCCAAGAAACTATCTTTGCCCCCCAACTGTTATGGACATGCCCAAAACAGTGAATTCTGGGCTGTGCTTTCGCAATGGCAGAAAATAGTTGAGGGCAACCGATTCGTTGTTTCTCTGTCGTCGTATCCATTAAGCCTTGAGGCGGGCCATGTGTCACCACAATGTCAAGCCCTTTTGGAACGGCAAATTCGTGGGCCGCATTGTACTGAAAGCCCCAATCCGTGCTGCCGCCAGTAGCAGGAGTATATGGACTGGCATATACCTTCATCGAGGCGCCATTTTGAAGGCGAATCTCATGGGTTCCTTCGTTGAGGAACATAATACCATGATCTCCCTCAATGAGTAGCCGTTTAGCCTCACCATAGTCTCCATACTCATCCTTAATGCTTTGCTCGATATCCTCTTGTGCCACTCTGCTTGCTTCCGCAATTTTATTCTTGAAGACCCCATCGTCCAGAGAGAAGTCATGATTTCCTGCAATAACAATCTTGGTGGGGGCATCGAGTTCCTTGAGAAGTTGAATCGTTTCTTTGAAGCTTTCCAGCTTAGAATCTTCTGTGAGGTCACCGCAATGGATAACAACGTCGACCGGTGCTAGTGGACTTTTATCTGCTTCAAAACGTAGTCCATGAGTATCTGACAGGATTAGAACCTTTGTCTTAATCAGAGAGGACATTTTGAAAGCGTGCTTTTGTAAGGTAGTGAAATTTCGGATGAGTAGAGGATTATAAATGGTGAAACATGGCAAATATGATTGAGACTAGGAGTGGGGTCAGGCTGATATTTATACGTGTTTGATGTAACAACTTTATCCAGTGGTTTAAGCTCTCCAATGGATGGCTGGGTACCGAGATGTACTTCTAAGAAAGAGTTTCAGCCATGAGACCAACTCTCAAACTTTACATGTAGAACTTGCTTTATGACTCAACAGACAAATAAAGTTGTTTGTTGCACCATTGGTCGCCTACGACCAACACGTATGGGAGCTGACCATTTCGGCTAAAGAACGCATGACTGAGAGAAGGTTAGTTTGATTCGGATTCCTATTCTTTTTATAAGTTCAAGTTACCATGCTAACTCATGAAATTGAGTAGCGCTCATAGATACATTTGGCATTTTTCGATAGCCGGCATGTTACAAAGCAAATAAACAATCTGACATTTTTCAGTTCGTACAACAAGCACTGTAGGTTAGATCTACAGACACTCCTTGATTTCATGAGCTAGTATAGTAGATTGTCTTGTAGTGAGTACCGGTGGTTCGAGGTATAACCACAACGACCTAAGCCCAAGAAGTGCCATAATCAATAGCTAAGTTCTGTGTGGTGATTATAAGCTCTCAGTCACAGGTCTCAACTGCAAGTAACACATCTAGCTCAATATTTAGACATTATACCACAATGTCTGACCAATTGCTACAGCATAAATGCTGATAAAAAGAAAACCTAGATCAATAGCAATTAGGGGTAACTTACCTATATTGCCCCCTCTGAAAGTATAAATACAATTTCTCCGAGTTCAAAAATCCTCCATTTAATGTTTATAAACTCGTCGTGCGCTTTGGCAACTGACGTCTAGCTAATCATAAAGAGGACTTGTCGTTTGGACTAGATTAAGAAATTTTAAAGAAAAGTCAACTTCTTCACGCTTGTGATTCTTAAATGATTTAACTTTCCAGTAAAGTCTCAGGTATCATCATTTTGAAATCCTTCATAGTATTCGAGCAAAAACTTCGGCGAACTCTATACTGAAAGTTAACTGCGCCTGAGTATATAAGAGCACGAAGTTCCCCCCTGTCGACTAGATACAGTTCACCCAGGAGTGGTCACCGATCTCGTCAACACCTTAACCGACAGCAGACAAAATGAGTCTTTTCAACATCATAAGCCGAGCCTTTCCTCCCCCACGCCCTCCACAAGCCGAAGAGTCTTCATCCTCACGGCTTCCTTCAACTCATACCAACGCAGCTGCCTCTGCAGACGTCACTGGAACCACTGTCGCTCAAAACCCTCCTCCTTCCTACCGAGAAGTCACGGCGCCCAAGTTATGGAAGGTGGATCTCTGGTTTGGATCTGACCCCGAATTGTTAAGGGAGGCAATCCCGCAAATGAAACTGGACACCGGCTGGGAAGCCCACCTCGAGCTTTCCACGACAGATATTGTCGGCTTGATGAGAGAAGGACTGCACGTGTCTCAGGGCAATGTAAATGTGCAGGAGAGTTGCTTGACCATGCGTCCTGACCCGCAGGAATGCCAGATGTACTGCTATGACCGCCATTTTACTCTTTCCGGCCCTAGTTGGAAAGGGAATTTGGTGGTCACAACACTGAGCCTCCCTATTGCAAATAACTTCCGCGTCGAGCATCTTTCGGCGGATCAAGTATTTCGCTCTCTTGCATGTGATGTTTCTAAGGGGGAAAACTGGGTATACATCTTCTTGATAGACAAAAGCGAGGACAACGCAAACTACATCTTGGACGACACTCCTTTGGAAGGTTTATGGCCATGGCCTCGTAAGGAACATATCATCCAAGGAATGAAGCAAGAAGAGGAAGCGGTTCAAGAGGAAATAAGAGAAGGCGAGATCCTTGACCTGCTCTGAGTGTTATGGTCGAACTTGCTCAAGTTTCTCAAGGACTCAGGGGCAGTTCTTTCCCTTTCAGATAGACGAGCATCAATATAGCTGATTTCATCTCGCCAGTCTCCTTTTTCTTTTTCTTTTCCTTTTCTTTTCAAGGATATCAAAATGCCTGATTCGTACGTATCCCTCCTATCTACCTTATTCGTGATTCAGACACTCCACATCCTGACTCACACTCTCACACTCTATATTCCGATTTACAGACCATTCAAGTCCTGATTAAGGGCGAGGCTTAGGATGTGATTCACTGACGCTAACCTTATGTGATTCACAGACTACTTTTCAACATCGAAGTCACTATGACCCCAGGGTCAATCCCGGAACTACTACCACAGCTCTTACGGGGCCGCCCCAGCCCGCCCATCCATACTTCCCAACCCACACAGCGCCCTCCTTCCTCCAAACCTCCCCAGAAGACCGCCGGGCGGACCAACACCGCGGCGGCATCCCGGACGACTCAGACCGATCCGTAAGTCAGGCCTATCCTCTTCCTGTAAACTCAAGCTAATTAAAACACCCATAGAAGCTCATCGGTGTCGTCAGGGGATGCCGTCGTCACAATGCCCGGCGGGGACACTTCTGAGGTCGGTGGAGGCAAGGAGAGGCCGTGGGTTGGGAAGGTCAATATCACCATGGGCGAGGCTGGGTGCAAGGTCCTGTCGTGTGGTGGTTGGTTCTGGTGGCGATCCTGGGTTATATAATTATCAGCGCTGGACATGCTTGGAAAGAATAATTACAACAACGCTACAAACATAAATAAAACGGCGTCATGACACACTATACTGTTCTTGCGTGATTCACTCACTCTTCCTAAGCTCCTTTATGAATGTTCTGGAAGGTTGAGTAAACTTTAGGCAGCCAACACAGGCTGAAAGAGTATAGGTAGACATCAAGATAATTTACTCGTCTTCATGAGTAAAACCAAGCATTCACTTGTTCGTGAATATCACTTGGGCTTCTTCTTTCAATGGCCAAAAGCTGGAACTTATGGCACACCGTTCATTGTCATCTTCTTTTTCTCACCTTTAGAAGTATCTAATTGCCAGATACCCAGATATTACCATGATTCACCATGCTCAGATTTGTAATTTTGCCACAAAATCAGACTCGCAGGCTCAATTGCGCACACAACCTTAACCCCGACGTCAGGCGACTATCTGAAGAGGCTATCAAATAATCAATACCCGTTGACCCGTTCCACAGGCCGTGATACAGCCCGGTTACTTTCCATAGTAATAGATAGTCTCTTGCTGATTGGAATAAATGGACATTAAAGACCTTCATACGGGCTGTCTTCAAGCAATGTTCTGAGCACTGCACCGGAAATCCAGCCAATCACGACCCCCTGCCCAATCATACCTGGGGGAGGCAAGAAAACCTAAGACTTTTATCCTAAGTGACAAAAAGACCTAGGTAAGTTTAGTATAGATTAGTGGACTTTTAGACTAGTCTTTTTTTTTGGTACCTTAATGCCCGGCCAGAAGTTTTCTTGCTGCCTGAGGTCTACCTCTTGGTCTCACAGCCTGGATGACAATCAGTCCATGTCTGCCACAGGCTGAATGCATTTATGCACATGTTTCAGATTATCACTGTCCAAGTGCGATTCGCCAGCTTATCATAATGATGCGAGTCCTGATAATGCAGGTAAGACGACTTTCCTCAAAAGGCGGTCCGCCCTCGCAGCCTGATGACAAGATTCTCACAGTCACCTTCGCCGCGAATATCTGAATACTGGATGTCGAACACATCGAGACAAGGTTTCATCATCACAAAATGCCTACGAAAAGCCCAGATAATCGCCGCATACCTACACTACAAACTTCGGCGATAGATTATATCCGGGGCTTTCAACAGTATCATATGAACTTTTGGCTCTGCACGCTTCTCTTATTCCTCGTGGAGCTCGGCTGCGCAATCCTTGCTGCTCCTTCACCAATGCTGCTAGAGACAGCTGTCTGTCGGTATCATTTTGAGAAAGACAGACAGCTTCTTAACGGAGAGCCAACAGATGAGTTTTGCAGAAGTAAGGAGGTACAGGTGCATTTCGCATTCGTGATAACTGTGCTGTCAACGCTATCGACATTGGCTGGTATGCAAAATCACATCAGTTCCTCAAGACGACGGCTGACAGTGGCAAGCGACTATGATGCAAATCCCGATGGGAATACTTGGGGACGAAGGCGGCATCCGTCTTGCTCTTATGCTGAATGTTACCAGTACTATCTTCTACTGGGGATGCATAGCAGTCATAGGTATGATGTCTCACATCGCACCTGGAGGATGCGACTCACCTTGACAGGATCTCAACAACACTTTCCGCTCTGGGGCTTCTATCTCTCACCGATATTTATACTCTTCGGAGGTGGGCCATGGGTAACCGGTACGCTTGTTTTCGCTGCCATTAACGACAGTGTCAAGCCAGAACAAAGGCATGCCTTGACTCTCATCATTCCAAACCTCATAACTGACATGAAGGGTACAGAACCACGGCTTTCTCGATCATGGAGGCGATATCAGGGATCGCGGACCTCCTCGGGCCAATTATTGGCACAATGACGATGACTGCTCACCTCGGGATTCCGTTCGCTCTCGCCCTCGCAGTTTTCTCTCTGATGTTCATTCCAGCCAGCCATCTTCGCGAGAACACAGCGAACGATATAGAGTGTGTTGGATCGTCACCAGCTGAGACCGAGTCACTTCTCAGTGTTGAAAGCGCTTCGGATCGCGAAGATACTGACTCACGGCATATCCATAGGGAAATAATCCCCCCACGAGCCGTCATATTCGGCATATGTTTTGCCTGCCTTTTTTTCTTCCAGGTAGCAAGGGACTCCACGAATTATTTGATCCCTTGGGTCTCTTTGCACTTTGGAGAAACCATGGCCCAGGTATGTTCGCTGGTTTAACAATAATGCTTAGCAACTAACTATCTCACAGGCCGGACTCTTGTTCTCTCTACGAGCAATCATGTCATCTCTTCTATACTTTGTTATCTTGCCGCTTGCCACTTCTTGGCTAGATCAGACTTGGCAAATTGTCAACAGAGATCTTGTCCTCTCTGCATCTGGTGCTTTCTGTTGCACAGTAGGTACTCTCATCGTCGCAACTGCACCAAACCTTGCGACAGTTGCTTTTGGATTTGCACTGTCCGTTCTGGGATCAAGTATGACCGTTACATTACGATCCTTCCTTGCTTCCAATGTCCAGACAGCCTTTTCAGGGCGGTTATTCGCGGGCATCTCTATGACAGGGACTATTGGTAGCCTCGTTGGCATGCCCGTCATGGGAGCTGCATATTCTTTGGGTATCAACCACGACATTGGGCTTCCTTTCCTGGTTTCAGTAGTAAGTTGCTACGGGCCAGTAATTCATTGATTCGTGGCGAGCTGACATTACTTCAGGTATCGTATTCACTTGTCCTTGGGCTTCTTGTCTGGCTTGCATTGAAGATCTGACGTGGTGAGGGTCCAAGGGAATCAGAGGGCAAGTCGCGAGAAAGGGTTGCTAGCCTCAAGACAATTATGCGTGGATATGAAACAACCAAGCACTCAATTGGGGCCCACGTTGAAGTTGCAATGGATATGTCCTAACTACCTCTGGCTACATATTTCTCATCATACCAGTCTCTGAAACCGAACTCGAGGGCGACACTTAATAATGCTTTGGGCAGACCCAACAAGCCCGTGCAAGTTTGATTGTGGCATCATTCAGCCCGCTCTTGCAATCAAAAGACCACACAGACGGACTATGGGTCGGAGTCAGGTCAATGCTAAGGTCCTCGGGCCTAGAAGCAGGCACTGTGAAGTTGACACGACCTCGATTCTTCTCGATGCGGCCGATGATCTCATCTTCACCAATGACACAGATGCCTAGTACATCCTGGAGATTTGTCTCCGTCAAAAAGGCACGCAGCCGTTCAACAAAGCCAGCAGGTAAGGGGACGTCCTTGTACTCTTCCTGGCCTGGATGATTGAAGCCAAACTCATATGGCTCCAGCCCATCACCCCAAAACCTCCAGGACCGTGGGACTAGGTAGCCTCCAGCCATTCTGCCATCTGGAGGAACGGGCCAAGGGGTTGAAACATGGCCGAATTCCACAACACGCTCGCCTTCCTCAATGGAGAAGTGTTTGTGAAGAAGAGCGAGGCCAACCGAGTTTGTAACCTCGAAATGTTGAAAAATGTCTCTGTGCCGAACATGAGAAGGGGGGTTTCGCGATATGAATATTCAAAGGGCCTCACCTGAGTTCTGCAAGGTCGGCCCTGTCTCCAAGCTTGGCTAAACGTTCACTCAGAAGTTTGTTGGACTCGCTCAGTGTAGACAAGCTGTTGAAGACGTCGATATGCCACATCTTTCCAAGTCGCTAAGCAAATAGAAAATACGGTTACTTTCGGGAACTCTGGAGTCAGCAGTTGATTCGGTTTAGCTACCGTCGAGACTTTTCAGATAGCGTTAGAAAGAGGGCCTCGATACATCATATTTTATGGCCTCAGCCTACGAGGCTCTCAGCCTGAACCTTCGACACCTCCAGTGTAAGCCATGTACAGTTGTCCAGTGCATTAGCACTTTGCGCACCCAATTCTATTGATAGCCCCCCATGCAACAGTAAATTACCGGTTACACATTGTATTGCGACCATTCCTATCCATTCACTATCTCCGGTGCCCAACTTGAGGCCTACCCGACCCATGCCTCGTATGACCTCGAGGTCCATGCGGAGCCTCAAGCTGAAACATGTCGTGTATCTGGGGACCGGGAAACTGGTCGAAGATGGATGTGACTTGGCCGCTTTACCTCGGGTCATGGGGCTCAAGATCGATTTATGCATGATACATATACCTTGGCCTGGGGGAGCAAGAAAGCTTCTGACATTAGCAGGGTGCCAGAATAAACTGGTCTAAAGGCCTACTAAGATCTACTAAAATTACCTAAGTCTTTTCGTCGCTTAGGAAAAAGTACGAAGTTGCTAGCCTCCCATAGCCGGGTCAACGGGTACATGTACAAAAGAATGATGGGGTAATGGGCGTGCCATTTATCCTGGTTCCAGGCTGATCCATGCAGCGCTCCCCTGCACACCGACTGCGGACAATATGCCCGTGTCAGTTTTGGGTGAGTGGCTTGGTACAGCCCTGTTTCGGAGCGGGCAACATATGCACGCTGGCATCATCATTGTTTGGGGTTCCGATGTTTGTTGTTTCTGCATGCTTTAATCCTTTTACTAGCAAGGTTCTAGCATGAACCTCAAACCTCAAATAGAACAGACATAAGAGAGGAGCCTTAGGTTTTCTAGGTCTTCTCTGGCCCTTAGCACTGGGCTGACAGTTTGGAAAGGTGTCATCACTTCACCCTGTCTGTGTAACCCACCAAGAGAACATGTTGCTTAATTTAGCTTGTTGCAGCTCTCCAACGGATTTGTTCAATGTGCAAAAGCCATGTCACATGCAACAGGCCGTCTTGTGACAAGCCTACCGCTTATCTCTCAACCAGACGGAGGATTTGCTCCCTTCGATCATGTTCTGCAAGTGAGCAGCCTTCGTAAGTTGTCCGACCTGACGCTGACACGCCTCTCCATTTTCTCTCGGACATTAATGAATCTAGAATCATCACATGGTAAAAAGAAATGTTGTGAAAGATCACTGAAAGGTCTGCGATCGCAGTGAGTGCTATCAACCGTGGTACCATGTGCAAAGCCTTTACAGGCATGTTTCATAGACTTTGTCTAACTGTCACACAATCTTCTCATTCAAACCTACCATAAATTCGCCATGTCACATCGCTATTCACCCAAATCTAGTACATACTCCGTTCCCGGTGGGGATACTCGATTGGCGAGTGACGTATACGATGAATCTGGACCAGATAACCACGCAAATGGCGATTCCCGCCGAGGTCACGTCCACTTTGCCGCTGAATTGGGCAGCGCAGTTGAAGGAATTGTTACGTCGATGGTAGCAAGACATGGAGGCTCTGGCGTCGACAAGAGCCTTGCCTGGGAAGCCATTCAGAGCCTGGCAAGGTCACAGCTTGATGGACTTACAGGGAGCTTGATCGCACAAGGGTACCAGAGCCCTCACCCTCCGCTGTTCAATGTATGTACCAGTCAAACTTCATGCAATACAATGATCCAACTCTATGCCAGAATTCTATCCTCGCTGCTGAAAATTTCTTTCTTTTCGAAGGAGATGCTGGCCATATGGGCCATGATGTACCGTCGATGCCAGACTTGAATGCTTTCTTCCAGGAAGAACAGCCTCCTGGCTTAGAAAATGTTCAGAACTTTGACGTACCAGAATTAGGACATATCATGTATGATGACGGTCCCTTTTCGTTATTGCAAATGCCTGTTCCGAGTCCGTCATCTGGAACGATTACTATGCCGACCAATAGTCCATCCTTACAAGAGCCATGGCCCGATGGAAACTCCATCGACTCTTCTACGACAGGTAGCACACGGACTATTACAGCCGATCCTGTCCATAGACGCCATGAAACAGCTTCCAAACAGCCGGGGCAAAGACTCGCGGCTCCTCAAACACGGCACGACGATTCTTGGCCTGAGAGAAGCTTCAGACCCTCTTCCAAGCGTTCCATAACTCGAGCTGATCGCTTGATGCAAATTGATATGGCAAAACTACCTAATAAGAGATCCAGGCGCGGAAGACCGAGTGAACGACCTAGTTGCGCTCGTTGCAAGATTCAGAAAAGAAGAGTGAGTTAGGAACCCTCGAGATAAATGTGAGAGCTTACAAGCGTCAAAGTGCTATGGAAACTCTAAGGCTTGTGAGTCTTGTGACATGTCACCCGTATATCGGGAGCTCTGCATTCCCGCAGACATTAAAGGATCGCGAACTCTCCTTCACAGTGAGTTATCAAGTCTAGCAGACATTTCGGTGCTAAGATATCATAGGTTTATACCAAACACGAATTCAATCGTTACTCAACAACGTCGCTGAATGGCTCCCGGTAGAACCTTGCAAGGCGGTAGCTATTGAAATCTCAAATGGCTTTAAACCGATACTGCAGGTCACAGTAAGACCATACGTTCCTTTCAACCAAGACGCTCTTACTCACGTCCTGTTCCGTGGGACCGAGGCCGGCATGATTACTCCGCGGGCAGAGAGTACAGCATTTTCTCTGGAGGATGGCACCCTATCAATACAAAAGATTGATGCCTATTGCGATAATCTTGCGTTCGACCTAGCACTGAGTGAAGGAAAACAGGCCACAGACAGGAACAGGCTTGCACGTCATATTCTCATGTTTGCCACGACACAATGTGCAGGACTTCAGGAAGGGCCGAATCTAGAAGGGGTATGTAACTAGTTTGTTTGTTACCCCGGACCGAATCTTGAGGATAGCTCACCAACTGACTCGACATGTAGATCGGCTTGGTAAGACTTGCGTTACGGTTCTGGGCCATGCAGGCTGTCTTTTTCAAGTATCCCTGGACAATAGTGAAAGGTGCTTCGCAGATAGGAATGTCTCCGCTGCGTATCCCCGGATGCTGGTTTGGAAAGACACTACTCCCACGACTCGTCAACCAACAACTCGACAAAGCCTTTGAGACCCGCATGGATGAACTTGAGCGAGAGATCCTTGAACAACTTCAAGACCTGATCCTCCGCCGCGAACGAAGCACGTACTGGTGTGCCATTTTTCTAACAACCTTTATACTGTTACATAGTCTCGAGAAAGACTCATGGAACATGCACGCCTGGGAGTATGAGAAAAACCGCAGTGGTGGAACTCGTTGGCCTTTGAGAAGAGACCCGTGTGATTACTATGGTCAGAACAAACATATCGCAGATACCTTGACGACATACTTCCATATCGTGACAAATGGCCATGCGCCGTTTGCCATAGACTGGGCGAAATCTTCAAACCAAGGGCTTCTTGGTGAAGGTTCACCTGCTCGAATGCTGATCGAGAGCATACAGAAAGATCTACAGAACCCCCAGTCTAGTAAGTAAATATCTCGCGGATACGAGATGCCAGATACTGACCATATAAAAGGTTACGGGGAGGAGTTATATGCCTCGAAAAAGTTCCGAAGGGACGATGTTGAGAGCTTGAACTATTACTACACAAAGAGATTGATTTTGGGTTAGACCAAGATACGGTGCTAGTTCTATGAATGTCCCGGTTACAAAGTTATCACCTAAAGCGAATCTGTCCTGCATAAATCATCCTTGCCAGCCGGGTGCCCGCCTATGATACGTTCATCCAGCCGTAATCAACAGGTACGTACATGTACATAATACCCTGTAAATCTAAATCTGTGGCAATAACTTATCGGGTGGATTCTGCGGGTAACCGATCTTAGTTCAGGGGCAAGGCAGAATTCGCTATGAGAACTTACAGGTATAGATTCAGTCCTTCAGCCGGGTATCTTTTCGCGATAAATTCAAGCTCAACCCAACTTTTTTGCGGTCAATATCCATTCTCTCTTTCTTCGCATGAGGTGGCCTCAGCACCCCAGCTGAGAGTTGGTGGCTGGTAAGACACTCACAGCCTGACTCTAACAATGTTGTCATCTGTGCTTCGGTGGCGCCCATAGGGGAATGGGTCGTCGCAGCTTCGGAGCCACATAGCGATTGAGGTATCTTGCCCCGTGAGTGACTTCAGGCTGTGTAACGCGACGTGTTTGATCTTCTCCTTCGGAGTTTGGGTGTCAGGCTGCGCTAATGGTCAGTATGACTGGCTACACAAACGGATGAGTGCTGCTGACTTGGTCACTGGCACATTTAGTTGTCTCATCCATTTTTTTTTTTTTTTGACGTATCGAGTGATAGGTATGGAAAGCTAGTAGGCCAGGTACAAGCAGTTGTGTTGGTGATTCAGAAATGTTTTAATTATTGCTTCTTTAAGCAAGGGAGTCAGCTACTTAGCTCTCCTTATACCTCTATTTCTCTTCATACCCATCGCCCGGTCAAAGTTCTAATTCCTTTAGCGTCGGAAAGTATCAAAGATCTAAGGATTCGCGTCTTTTCCGATCGACTTTCCGCTTTTTTCGAAGCTGTGTGATTGAGGCCATTACTAGCAGAGTTGCGGAAAGTTGGCTTGTAGACTAGTACAGCCTGATTGACGCATTGGTCCTGTGATTCGCCTGGTTTAGCCAACTTGCATATTTCAATGTGACATAGGCCAACGTGGTACGCCCATTCATTTTGCAGCAGGATTCCTTGTCGTGTGACATCCTTTTCGAACATGTCTTGCCCAAAGCCCGTTCCTTCGCTGCATTTGCTGCCCATGGGTAAGCAAGGGTGGCCTCGTAACCTCCTTCATACCCCGAGGTCATGGCCCAATTACCGGTCCCTTCTTGTTTCCCCCTTTTCTCCGATTTCGGGATTCTCGCCCGGTAAATATACAAGAATGCCTTGCGATCAATTCCACGTCTTGCTAGCACCCTGACCCTGCCGTAAACATGATGCAGTCTAATACGAAATCTGCCTGCTTGGCATTGCTCTTCTTGGGTCTCATGACTTTTGCCGATTCCGCGACTGACAGCCTCCTACCAGCTCTTGCCGATGACGTTCACACTCAACCCGGGCGCTGGAACTTAGGGACTGCGGCTCTCATTCTCAGAGGCGTGTCCGGTAAGTTTGGCGCTTCATCTCTAACGACGTTATTTCTGACAGACCCTAGATCTTATAGGCCAATCTGTGATTGGCTATCTTCTCACTACCCAGCCTAAGCATTATGCAATGAATATAAACACCACAAGTATTCTTGCCGCCACTACTTTCACACTGTTGAGCTGTATGCGAGTATCAAGCATATAATTCCCATAAGCTCCAAACTAATAGTAGTAGTATTTTACGACCATCAATGGCCTGTCTTAGTTGCCATAGGAGGTCCTCTAGTAAGATGTATCGGAGGAGGATCCCATGCCTCGACATTCCTGATACTAGCCATACTACATGATCAGAATCCCACTCAACATCGGTCTGATCCCTGATATTCCACCTTGATGATCATGCCTCTATACTAACGGTTTTTGAGGTCCGCGTACTACTATTGGACGGGAGCTATGTCGGTGTTGGCTCAAGCTTTCGGTCCATTTGTTACCTCTATCCTCGTTGATTACAGTCACTTCTTGCCTGGGGTCCTGTCCGCAATCTGTTCCCTCATCTGCTTTGGGATCGTTGATTCATTGAAACGTCCGCTATACGAGAGCAATAGTTCTAGCCATGATGAGTTCACTTCCTTGTTGCCCAACCACCAAAACGACGCTGAGCTTAAGAGCCTCAGCATACCGGTTACAGGGTATTTGGCTAGATGCTTTGGCAAGAAGTCTTTGATCAGAGGCTCGAGTCTAATATTTCTGCCGCAAGTCTTTTTTCTCATGGCTATTTGTAAATCAACCCGGCCACTTTTCAAAACCTACATTCAGCACAGAGACGATGTTAGTCCCACAGAGGTGCGTAGTCCCATGTCTGTTTCAAACCCACGATCACTTACTTCGATTCTCTATCTAGGCCGAGGGTTTATGGCTTCTACGTAGTGTTATGAGCTTTGTGGTTTTTGGCATCGTCCTACCAGCCATTGTTTTGGGCACTGCACCAAAGATGTCATCCCCTAACAGCATCAACCTTCATGTCACCAGAATCAGCGTTGTATTCATTTCGACCGGTGCCTTCATGATAGGTCTTTCCGGTTCTCTACATTCCATCACCACAGGTTTGTTTCACCTAGATACCGAAGATATCACTGTCTGAAACCAGATTGAAGCCCTCGTAATAAATACTCTCGGTGTAGCAACGGATCTCAGCCTACTTGCCTTTGCATCGTGTTACTTTAACAGCACAGAGGCAGGAACTGTCATGATGACCTTGGCATCGATCGAGAGCCTGGGAACATTGCTCGGAATCGGGGTGCTATACCCAATCTATCAATGGAGTATGAACGAAGACCTACCGTTCCTCGCTGGAGGTGTTCCTTACTACATATGCGGGGTGAGTATATGCAGCTCAAGTTTCTATGTAGCTTACCTTCTTATCTCAACTTTAGTCTCTATACGCAGCCACTGCAGGCGTTATGTGGTCTTTGAAAACCAGAAGACAAGCTACTGAGTCATGAGCTGTGGTATGTTGGAACATCCCTGCAATACCTATACTAATAGACGTTTCATTGCTGTAGGGGATCAAATGAGTCTCACAAGCATTAGCAAAGCATTTCAAGTCTCATCTCAGTATCATGGCGAAGCTGTTGACCATCACCATGCTGAGACCATGGCGGGTCTTCGGTGCCGCATTATCTAGAAAGCCCCTAACTTGGGGTCAGGATACATGAGAAGCTGAGTTGGGCATTTGGGCGGCCAACCAAAAATGGCAGTTTGATGGGGTACAAAATTTGTAAAAAATACAGGAATGCAGGTCGAGGTATTTGGAGTCTCCTTTTCTCCCCGTGAAGTTACAGAAGCCGGTGCGAGTCCTCCTCGTCCAGTACCACGTCACCGGCTATAGGCAATATGAGAGGGTAAAGTAGCCTTTCCTGGAATTCAACTGGCTGAAATTGTTTTGCTGGTACTTTGGACCTAGCCGGTGATACGTTTTACTTGACTGCCGGTCTTGGCGGCCCTAGGCCTTTTCCCCGTTATCTCGTCATATCTCGCTAAGCTATATCATAAGCTTCATGTCATCAGATGGAGCTTGGCCATTCGAAGAGCCAGGTGAGCGGCCTCCAATACTTCGGACTCCTTCTATCTCAACATCAATCAAGAAATCCGTAGAAATAGCAGTTATGAATGGCTCGGGCTGTGCGTGAAGTCCGCGGAACCTGCTCATATAGACGCTCAGTCACAGACTGCAACCCAACCTGAGACAATTCTTATGCACTGGGCCAACCAAGATGCAACTGTTTCCAAAAAATGCACCATGAATCCCCGTATTTCAAGTGTGAGTATTCGGAAAACTGCTCGAGACTGGTCGATTGTCGCCAAACGAATACGACGGGTCCACAACGGTCATGCCCGTGCACATAAATTGTCATGATCAAGATGGTCTTCTCTCCACTGTATTGCATGCATATGCGTCGATATCGTTACATCACCCACTAAACCGAGTCATTCAACCGGAGGATATTTGTTTCAAAGAGTAATTTCGCCAAGCCTTTACGAAATATCCGCTTGAGATGCATCGGTAGTTGGCAGTGGCCTCGGGGTCGGGCCCTTGAAGGTCCCCGTCATATGAACTTCGGGCCTTCGGGCGGCACTAACTGCAGATCATCTACGCCACTACAGATTCAGTTCTGTCGATCATATATCAGATCTTGAAGTATAAAATTTGTACATCATGAGAAGGACATCTATTCATCAAGCTTAGGACAGGATAGTTCTACAGTGATCTCTCATGTCGTCCTATCTAGATCTCCTTCTGGGCAGCCCCCAGTATGCCATCTTTTGCGGTGTCACTTTATTCACTCTCTTCGTCATAAGATACTCTTTACTCGGCCATGTTACAAAGTTTCCGGTCTTGAATCCGAAAAAGTCACTCGAGCTCACAAGCAACCGTGTAACTCAGGACTTCATTGCCGACAGCAAAAATATTCTCACAAATGGCAGGGCTATATACAAGGACCAGCCATATAGAGCTTATACGGACTGGGGGAAAGTCGTCGTGATTCCTCCTAAGTTTCTCGATGCGCTGAAAAGCCATAAGCAGCTAGACTTTACAATTCCTGCTGAAGATGTAAGTTCTTTTCTTATACTGGCTTGGTAGTCGCAGTGACTGATTCAGCAGGACTCTCACGCATATGTTCCAGGATTTGATCCTTTTGTTTCTGACCCAAACATTACGAAAGTTGTTACCAAGTACTTGACCAAATCTTTAAGTTGGTTTCCGTTTACCCTTGGCTTTTGACATACTGACTCTTTTGGCTTAGCCAAGCTCACATCACCACTCTCGGAGGAGGCATCTTTGGCCTTCCGTCAAGTTCTTACGGACTCCACTGGTACATATACTCCTTAAATACCTCCAGGGTCTAAAAAAGATTAACCTTGGGGAACGTTTTAGAATGGCATGAAATGCACCCTCAACATGATATCGTCCGTATCGTATCGCGTATGTCATCACGAGTATTCATGGGCGAATCCCTCTGCCGCGACGACGAATGGGTCAGAGCCAGCGGTGACTATACCGTTCAATCCTTCAAGACGGGCGACATTCTGCGGACATATCCTCGATGGTCACGACCCTTTGTACATTGGTTTCTTCCATCTTGCTGGACACTGCGCAAGAAATTGGCTGAAGCAATCCAATGTCTAAAACCTCATCTTGAACGTCGCAGCGTTATTTCAGCAGAGGCCGAAGCACAGGGAAAGCCCTCGCCGTTCGACGATTCAATTGAATGGTACAAGAAAGAAGGCTCTACACGCAACCCGGCACTCCTACAAATCTCGTTGTCACTCGTGGCTATTCACACAACGTCAGATTTATTGATGGAAACGCTTTTCAATATTGCTCAGCATCCTGATTTATTCCAACCTCTTCGCGAAGAAATCACGAATGTGTTGAACACAGAGGGTCTCAAGAAGACAGCCCTATATAACTTGAAGCTCATGGACAGTGTCATCAAAGAGTCTCAGAGATTGAGACCAGTCTTACTAGGTAAGTAGCTCAACGAGTATCCTCTATCATCCGTCTAACCACTTTCCAAGGCTCCTTCAGGAGGCAGGCTATGGCAGACATCACCCTTCCAAATGGCGATGTGATCAAAAAAGGAGAAAAGATTGTCTGCGATACAACTCACATGTGGAACGGCGATTACTATGAAGAAGCTGCAAAATTCGACGGCTATCGGTTCTTGCGAATGCGGGAGGCATCTGAGCAGGACAAGCATCCGCATCTTGTCAGCACTAGCTTTGATCACTTAGGATTTGGCCATGGCAATCATGCGTGCCCAGGACGATTCTTCGCGGCGAATGAGATCAAGATCGCGCTGTGTCATATGCTCTTGAAGTATGATTGGAAGTTGGCCGATGGTGTAGTTCCTAAGCCATCAGGTTTTGGGATGGCTTATTTGCCTGATCTCCAAGCTAAGCTACTTATCAGACGACGGACTGAGGAGTTGAATATTGATTCTATCGAGACTTATTAGAGTGTTGCGAGCTCGAGGCTGGTTACTCTTTAAGTTGATTATATGAGGACAAAGGCAACAAATGGGCTTTATCCTCATGGAATGCTTTTTGCAGGAATACGAGTTTTTCATACAATAATTGTTCAATATGTTGCGTTATTGTGAACCAAGCTATATCATTATCAACATGGTTCTGGGTAGTCATCTCTGTCATATTCTCCAGTCCGCCGTGAATAAGAACGAAACATGCGTCTGGGTTTCGAAACACTTCCTCTGTCTCCTTGTTCTGCCAGCCTTGTCTGGCTGTCTACTCCTTGAGCATCTTCTAGATGATATGTCCCGTTGCTAACCGTACTCGAAAATGTGCCTTCTGCTATGATGCCGCAATGTTTGTCGCGTGCGATCTTTCCGATGAGATCTGCCATGGACATTTCGATGTGTAATTTTACAGTGTATGCTAATGGATGAAACTGCATGTATCTGTGAACAGTTAGCACGTCCGTTCTTGATGGGCTGGGGGCATGGACGTACACAAAGGTATTTCCTAAACTCATCATGGCAATGATAAGGACATCCATACTCAAGGAAAACCCAATGATAAACATATTGAAATGCGTCAACCTCTTATACTTTGTAAGGCCGTGAATGATAAGATTTTCACGAACAATGTGGATGAAGTAAAAGTTCAAACAGCCGTCAACAATAAGATATATGACTTTTTCGCATCGATCCCACCAGTCGTTGATGTGGATATATCGTTCGGATACTTGCAATCGCGCCGGAATCCATATGCAGTAGACGGAAATATTAACGGCAGTTATAAGTGTGCCGATTAGGACTTTGAGGCGGTAGGCTTTGTTTTTGTTGGTGAGGAGGATACCGCAGCGGTTGACTATGATTTGGAGAAGGAATTGGACCTATCGGGTGAGGATTAATTTTGGCGGTTCGCGCGGATGACTTTGAAATTCGTACCTGAAGAGCCCATGTCGTGACTGGGAAGCGGTCAGTAAATTCTCTCTCTCGAGAAGGCTGAGGACTTACGAATTGTAAAATAAAATGCAAAGCTGTAGTTGCTGTCAGTCGACGTACGTTCTCATCTCCCAGCATGGGACAAACAACTCACCTTGGGGGTATAACGTCTAGTAAATGCAAGATACAAATAACCATAAAAATCGTACAGACTGTCAACTCCCCCCAGACCATTATAATATACGCATTTCGAAATACCCGACGTCCATGGCGCTGATAAACCTGCCAGGTCTGCCTAATGGCCTTGTAGACAGTCAACCATCCAAAACCAATCGTGAAGCCCAACGCCGTCGAGGCGATGACAAGGTCACCTCTCGTAACCTCCTGGGCTTTGTAGTGGGGGGAGAGGAGGGTTAACATAGCATATCAGATGGGAAATCATTTGGGCGTGATATCTTTGGTGATGTTTTCCATGGTAGAGGAAGTGGAGATGCATAAGAGGGAAGAAAATTTAAGAGGCATCATAGACTAGAGGTGAGAAAAGCAAAGATTTGGTGGAGGGCACATGCAGGGCGATATGTAGCGGCGGGCTAATGATTGGGAGTTGTTGAGATGCTAATTGAAGCCTCTTCATGCACGCCGGATCAGAATGTATCATTGACGTAACTCGATCAGCGATGTCTGAGCGTGAACAAGTACCGTCTACTGTAGCATCACCCAATGGGGAGAATCTCCAAAGTAGTTCAAGCCTTTCCCCGCGCCGGCAGATTCCAGACCAAAAGAGGCGTCTTCACTGCCGTCAGCCGTCAAGAACCGTGCTGCGCTGTAGTTTCCGAGTCGTGCCCATGGCTTTGCTTTGCTATGTGCTGCTTTTCTTGGAATATTGGGTAACAAGATCTGCGTGCCAAGTGACGTTCTGCGTTGCTAACAAGTGACCTATCGATTAAAGGGTTGCGCATCAACCAATTGGTGGTTGTGAGTGGCTGGAGATCGGCGGTTATGTGGTGAGGCTGAGACTTTTGAACGAGTCAAGCAGGGAGAGTTTGAGGGAGCAGTGTCTAGAATGCGTCCAATTGCATTATAGTTAATTGATTCATTTCGTGGCAAGCCAGCCTCTTCGCCCCCTCACGATCAAGCGGTAGACATCACTCAAAACTCTATCGGTGGTCTTCGAGAAGCCTTTTCGTATCGTGGCATCTTCATTTTGCCAACGAAGCCACTCTTCTCACCGCTCTTCAGCATCTTCGCAATATTCACATAGAAAAACGAAAAGAAACGTAATTAGGTTATGGCGCAGGTCACCTGTCTTCCCAACGATTCGGTTCGTCACCCGATTTCCTAAGTATAAACCCTCCCCGCTAACAACCGGATCGTCAAGCCACAGCTACCGTTAGCATAACCAAAAGACTGGGATCTTCCATTCCGATGAGGATACTTCTTTCAGCTTTGCCGCGCTGCACAGTAGCTGAGTCAGGATGGAAACGAATCGGGTGCGGCTCGTGCCGAGACCCATGACTCCAAATTGATGAGTCGGCCTTACCACCTGAGGCGATCCCTCTGAAATGTCGCTTATACCAGTGCTGAAATCGACACTAGCGGGTGTTGTTGAGTTCCCCGTTAAAGGGCCAGGGATGAACTGTCAGCTGGACTGTGTATCCAGCCTTTGGTAGCTGATGGCTGAGCTAAAGAGAGTGCTGAAGTGCTTCTCATGACTCGACACCTCTCAATGTGGCTTCGGTTTGGCGAAGAGTATTTCCGGCGTGGCATACTTGCGAAAACACTTCAAAGTGATAGAACGATTTGTAGATAAGCACTGTAGCATCTGTAAAGCCGTGGCGAGTTCAGCAATGTGTAGCATCAATTTAATGTAACATGGTCGACCCTGAAGCCAATCGTTCCCCGCAAATTCGAGCTGGGTGATCAGCCTCTAATTGGAGCCGGTGCAGATGAAACGGCACTCATGACACTAACTAGTACAGGAGACGTAAAAAAGGGTCTGTGCAAAGATCGATCATCGCAGTACCGGTTTTAGAACTGTTAAGTGCGACGATCAGGTTTCAATAAGGCTGATGTCGATGAGAAGAATGCCATGTCGAGGTAGCTGTTCGCCGATGGGGCCCTATCTGACTCAACTACCCTAAAGCTAGTGTAAATGTTGAAACGGTCAACACTGGTAGGCCATAGGGCCCAATGCTGTGAAGCACCAGATTTTGATATATTTAAGAATGACATTCGAAGGTTTGGAAGGCCTTTTCCTTTTGCGGGGCGGTCTGCCACATTCTAGGTCCTCAACTGAATTGGACCATTAGCATCCTAAATGCTTGTTCATTCAATATCAACCGCTGGAGCAACCCGTAGCTGAGCCTCACATTCATCAACCATCCTTGCCAAGGTTTATTTATAAATGTTTCTATTAAGAATCGTATATACTAAGAAGCTGCTGATCTCTTTCATAGTGGGGAATGCATCTTCTCCGCGACCTGGACTTATCTCTGCACTCTATTTGCAGTTCGTTCCGCCGTGAACAAAAGTACCATCGGAGTTCTCACAACCACATGTTCCGTCATTGGGATCCTTGATACAGGTTGTACCAACACCAGAGGACTCGCCATTGTCGCTAGCAAACGTCAGATCCACATCATCAGCATTATTCAGAAGACTCACTTCCAGAAAAAGGTCCAGTAGTCCGCATCAGCAGTGAGCTCGCTAGAAGTGGGAGCATCACACTCGTAAGCTTCACAGGTGCCGTAAGGGGCGCCGTTATTGGCATCATATTGGTGATCGACCTTGAAGATGGCAAAGGTCTGCTGGCCAGAGACACGGGTGTTGTAGGCACACTCAGCGGCCTGGATAGCGTTGGAGGTCTTGGAAGCTTTTGGAATCGTTAGTACATGAAAGGTCTGGGATGATTGGGTTGACGCACGAGAGCATGAAGGGTTCTTGGGGTATTTGCCCTTGGTGTTGCTCTGAGCAGGCTCAAGAGTAGCAGTAACGGCGCCTGCAATGGCAAGCAGCGAAGCCAGAGTAGTGAGAGGATACATGATGAATGATATGAAGTCCGACTTCTTGGCGGCTAGAAATGGATAGTCTGGCAGTGTCAAGACAGGATTCTAGCTCTAAAGGCATTCGCAGACCTTATATACGAGAATTTCTCTCCTTTGTTCCAAGCAAATTGAAGCCTTGTTTTCGAAACATGCCATAGTGGAGATTCTCATGATTCTCCTGGTGGAGCGCTCGCCCCTTGGCCAATTCTAGCAAGGATAAAGTGGCTCAAGCCCAACGGCAGCTGTCGTATTTATACGCGGCCTAAAACATGCATGGATATCATCTGGGTCCGTCAGTGTTGTTTGGATGAAACAGCAGGTTTTGAGGGTTGCAACTGGTGGAGATATTTGGCCAACCAAGCCGATAATCCGATGGTGAGGTTTCGGAGATATTGTCAACTGGGGTATGTTTCCTTTGGATTGAGTAGCTGAGTTGGCCTTCATTGTATTTATTGCCCACATTCCGTGATTCTCATATACAGTGTTCCATGTTTGACTTATCTCTGCATACTGGGTCGACCTGAGAGCTTGACTTTTGATTGGAACAAGTCTAGAAGAAGGCAGGAAGTTGTCCGTTATCCCGAACTATTCCCTGGACGGATAACGTTGAAAAGAACGATCGAGAACAGGTAAACTGCATTTGACAGGCCACTGGTTTTCAAGTAAAGTATGTGATTACATACGGAATTTATTAAAAGGTTATCTAAGCTAAGGTGAGGAGTGCTGAACTAAGCTAAAGGTCCTCCACATCCGCAGCGGTATGCGGATGAAACGTCTCAAAGTTAAAAATCGCTTTCTTGGTCTCCCCCTTAGGTTCATACAACACCAGCTCTGGACAATCATCCAAGTCCCCGAATGCTCCCGAGTCAGTGAAGAAGCCATCTTGCAGGGTCCCTGTAACATTGAAGTGATACCCAATTTCTCGTAGTCTTTGTCCAGCACAGCGAAGTGACACGCGGGAGCCATGGTGGTCCTCTAGTGTATCTTGGATGTCTGAGAGCCGATAAAACATGGAATACGAAGGGATAATGCCATCGTCACGAAGCCACTCATATGTGGGTAACCTCTTGTGGAGAGACATGGCTTTTTGGAAGTACGGGACTGCTTCTTCGGAGACTTCATAGTCGCTGAAGCACTCCGGGCTTAAGGTACTAAAGCATGTGCCATACTTAGCCCATTGATCTTGCCAGAGCTCGTCGTTGTCTCCATCGGGCGACTCCCAGAGGTTGTTCATCTCGTCAATGGTCTCTTCAGCACCGGCATGGTAGAGAATCCGTGTGATGTTTGTATATGTACGGTTGGTGTCGCAGTTGGTAGGGAGGGAGCCGTCGTTATGGATTGGCCAGAGTCCACCAACCGTCCATGAGTCTGAGGAAGAGGTTAGGTACAGCTTACTTGTTTGTGCGGGGACAGTGACTCACCTAAAGGTCCAGTGACTGGTCGTGTATCCCAGACTTGAGTCTGAATTAGTCTCGCAGGTGATGAATAGCAGCATGTATTGTCAGCTGCATTATCATCATAGCATGAGCCTCGGCGGCCACTGGCGTAGACATTTGGTGTCCCAGCGAGTGCTACAACAGAAGTAGCTGCTGTAATGAGAGACAAAATCTGAAACGAAGTCATTTTGCTGCTATCTCAAGGTACTGCAGTCTTCACTTGAGTTACTTTGAAATCACTTAGTTTTGCAACGATGTGGCCCCTGACTTTATAATTCTCAATGGCACCCCTTTCACCATAACATGGGTGATTTCTGTACCCTCCAGATTGTACGATCAACCACTCGTAAGCCGTGACTGACAGCATCATAGAACTGTTGGTCTGGGGCTGATACAAAACCTAAATTGGCAAAGTATATATCCTAATCACCAATCACAGACCAAACCGCGTCAGCTACAATCCGAAAACGTTCAGCCTCGTCTTGGGGCTATGTAGAGTTTGCGGAAGTAAACTGACACGATACCAAATGCGGACCATAAAAGACAGACAACGAGTGATACTTTTGCCGATCCATACCAATTCACCAATTCACTTTTGAAATTCTTGGTTTTTCGTTCATGAAAGGTACTGAGATCGTTATTTCTTTTTATTCAAATCCTGATTTTCTTGGACCTGCAGGCCGTTTGGTTTCAGTTGAAGCCACGATGATCACAATTTCTTCTCATGATGATAACACCAAGGCTGGAATGCGGACCGGTCCGTAAAACTGCAGCTGCAGTGGTTGGACGGGTGATGATGTATACCTTTGGCCCAAGCTCCTCAGCCATGAGCTTACGTTGGAGAAGTTGAAACTATTTGATCCGTCATTCCAGAGATCACGAGGGAAAAGTTATTATCGGAAGATTAAGGATTGCCATGCTGTGGTTCTAAGAATAGGATTGGGTCTGCGTGACTGCCAAGGTCCAAGAGATTCTGGATCATTGCTGTCAGCTTCAGGGCTGGCTGAGCTTTACAGGTGAGACAGACACCGATCCTCAGATGGTAGTCTGCGATTAGATGAGATAATGTCTCAGATGCGTGCAACGGGATATCTACCCGGATTTAGTAGACCCATAAGATCGGAACTGAGACGTAAGCATATCTCTTCTTCCAAACCACTCAACACCATCTCTGATTTTCTTCCAACTCTTCAAAATATAGCAGCAGTCTTGGCCGAACTCAAATAGTTTCCCGGCCAGCCCAACAAAAGGACCATAAACTCTCACCATAATAGAAACCTGATTGTCGGAATGTGATATTTAGAGTTTTACCTGTCAAAGACTGGGCCGCCGCCACAAACACGAGGACAACGGCGAGAATGCCACGGAGCATATGCAAGCTTCAAACGATGATTGATATCCAGCTTGACTCGTGCGAGAAGTGTAACCCGGCTGCGCGGACTAGGCACGGCCCCAGAATTTAGGCTATTTGAGCTTGTGTGGAGCATGAAACGTCATGATGTTGATGGACTGGAATGTCGATCGATCACTCGATCAACCTGGTCTTTGGGGCTTGCATGGGAGTTTCGCTGCTTAATTGATATGTCGTTGAAGTCAATTCAGTTGGTGAGGCTTCCCAACGGCCTGTATTCACATTGAATGTTCCATTTGATGGTTGATGATAACTTCAGAGAATATTCCAAGATTCGCTTCGTATTACACCGAGGTCGATCAAGGATGACATTCCTGCTCGGACCGATACAGGTTTTCGGTTAGTAAAGAGGGGAAAGAACAATGTCATCAAGAACAAGATAGTCTATAAAACCGTCATCAATTACAATCTCCGTTTCTTCTCCGCATATTCTTATCATGATACGCTCGTCAAAATGAAAGTTTTCAGTGTCATCGCGTGTCTTTACGCATCCTCATTGGCTTCAAAGCCGCCTCAGTTTCACAATTCAGCAAACCATCCTGGAGCCGATCCTCATGTGATCTACGACTACAAGACAGGCCAATATTATGCTTACTCTACAGAGGGGGCAGACCCCGGCAGCCTGTTTGCAATCTACAGCAGTCCAGATCTGTCGACTTGGCATAAACACCCCGGTGGTGTGCTGAGAGCGTGCTACGATGATGACATGAACCGCATCGAAGCTGGCCAAGCCTGTTGGGCGCGTGACTGGTACTGGGCTCCCGAGACATATTACAACGAGAAAACCGGGTGGTACTTTTTCTTCTTTGCTGGCCGGTTGCGGGAGGACTTGGCAAAGGATTACTTCCGATACTCGGACTTTGAAGAGCCGTCTAAAATTGGCGTGGCTGTTTCTCGTTCGCCGACAGGGCCGTTTAGGGAAATTGAGTCTAAGCCGATTGACTACTATCCTTTCGATCCGGACTACCACGATGTTAACCTCATCATGGACGAAAAGCAGATGCTGCCTCCTCAGAGTCTTGCGGAGGGTAGGACAGCGCCGCAGGGAACATATATCCCTACCATTGATGTCAACATCTTCTTCGACCAGGATGAGCGCATTTATCTGTATCTCTCACGGAATGCATATAGAAACTGGAATTGGGATAAGAAGTTGGGCAAGTATATCGAGGAGTCTAATATCATCGTTGTGGAGATGGAACGAGATTGGTGGGATGATCCAAAGGCATCGACCATGCCAGAAATCATCGCCTCGCAGAGGAACATTCATGCAAAGGATGCGCCAAAGCTTCCCTCGAACATCACTTCTTACAATGGCACTGGTGAGATTGGATCACCACCTCGCAAAGACGGCTGGAAGACTGTTATTTCCTATGGCGCTGATCCTCAAGAATGGGAGAATTTTCACGTCGACGACTATAAGAAGTACAACGGCACGAAGAAAGATCGTCGTTGGGCTGAAGGGAGCACTACCATCACAAGACCAGGCAAGGATGGAAAGCCTATTTACCTTCTAACGTACAGCGCCAATAACTACGAGGCGTCGAATTACGGTGTTGGTTTCGCCACGGCAAGGTCCCCATTTGGTCCATTCCGAAAATCTTCGAAAAATCCCATCCTTTCGCAAAAGCCTGACGCTGAAATTCCGATCTACTCAACTGGCCACGGTAGCATTGTTGCTTCACCTGCTAAGCATAACAAGAAAGTTGGCGCACAGGAAGTCACGCTACGAACACCTCCTGGTGCTGAGCTGTTTTATGTGCATCATGCCCGCAACAGCACCGAGCATGATCGTTCTATTTACACGACTCGAATGACACTCGATGAGTCTGCCGTTTACTTCGGGTCTAATGATGCTCTAAGCATGGATCTTACACCACTGGATCAGCCTTTGCCGAAGAACACATATCCCATTGGGCTGGAAGCTAGGTGCTCTGATTCGAAGAAGAGAGGGTGTGAATATCACGTTCGTGTTGAGTCCAAGCCAGGAGCTCCTTTTGATATTGTTGAGGAAACGAACAGAGTTGTTGGACTGCCTGTAAATACAGTAGCAACGTCTGTGAAAGCTGACAAGCGTGAAGGCTCGTTTATCTTGTCTTTCGGCAACAAGTTTGTGAAAGAATTGGCTTACCAGCGCTTGAGTGTTGATGGAAGTTGGTCAACAGTCACAAAGAAGAGAGCCACCTGCAAATAGCGATCCACTCATACTAACGAGTTACTCGCTGTTAGGAAATGCTAAATAATCCAAATTTCAGAGTCCTTTCTCAGAAATGCGTGCAAATACAGGCGAGGGATCTATGAAAACTTCCATCTTGTACGACTTCAAGGTTCCGTCCTTGTCCTTCTTCATAAGCATCGTAGCAAGTGCTGGGACTTTGATTTCTTGTGTTTTGGGATCGTCCCCCTTGACAAGATACCGAACGTTACAACGATGATAGATGCAGGGGCTCACATAATCTAATCCTGTGAGAACTTGCAGAGAGAATATGTGCGGTGTGATAACTTACCAACGTGGATAATATCATGCTCTAACCCATCGAACTTGGCCCATATACTTTTAAACATCTAATATCTCATCAACGTGAGGAAAGGAATTGGTTCTGAGTTTTGCGGCCTACTTCTCTAGCATCTGCGACGGATCGCGCCGGGCTGTTTGCGTATTGGATTGTGGCGTCTTCCGTATAGAACCTATCCAGCCATATGTCCACGTCCATTGTGGCACTATGGGCGTTGTTCTATGATGAGAAGTGTGTCAATATTTAACAAAGTTTAAGGTGGGAAAGATAGACTTACATCAACCAGCCAAGCCACAGCCTCTTCTTTTGTGAGCTTAAGATCTGAAGACATTTCGGATCTCACTTTGAGTTTGTTTTTGCTTAACTTGTTTTCGCAGTTGTTCTAATTTGGAACAGTCCGGACGCGTTTTCATGTATCTTGAAATTTATACCCCCTCACTAATCGAGTCAGTTGGTGGATAAGGTTGACCGCTACACTGACTAAGCCCGCAACTCCCGGACCACCTAGTTAGGAATCCCAGATAGTTAAGATAGCGATCATATTATGGGGAACTTTCCAAACAGTTGGTCATCCCGGCTTTGGATTCTAGTGTTTTAACAGAGGTCAATCACATAGGCTGCGAGGATGAATGACTGGGCATACCCGTCAACATGAGAGAGGGCCAGAACTATGAACATGTATCTTAAGATCTGAGGCTAGAGTATCCAGTAAAGGTTTGCGAAAGGTTGTATTCAAAAGTTTAGTACAGACTATCTCGTACCCACATAGTACTAATTGTCGAGCTCCCTCTCTACTCCCTATTTGTGATCCAAGAAAACCGGTATGCAGGGATTAATTCTAAACAAAGACAACCCTGGTAACGGTGGGAGTAGGCGCCGCAACAGTAACAACAGAAGCACCCGCACACGAACAAGCAGTAAGATAGCGAGGCTCCCCAGAGCAAGCGCTAGCATAGGTAGGAATAGACTTGGTAACATAAACAGTGCTAGAACTCATTAGTCAAAGGTCACAATGAGGGTTGAGTACTTGTGGCTTACCTTGCATCAGGAGTAGTAGTGACCTGAAGATAAGCGTCACACTCAGCCTTGTAAGAAGCAACAACGGCAGGGCCACGGAAGCCAGGGACAACGGCTCGGGCGCAGTTATCACCGCATCCGCTACGCTCTTGAAGTTCCTTGGGGATGTTGATGGCCAGGACAGGGACGATGAGAGCGGTGATGAGAGTGAACTTCATGGTGAAGATATTGGGTTAATTTCGTCAAAGAGTAAGTTCAAAGGCTTCGTTGAGCGTTTTCTGGTAGAATTGAGTGAAGAATGTACTGGAAATGATGAGGATACGGGATATTAAGGTGCCCTTTATACACGACTTCTTCACCTCAGCTGAATCCCAACTCCGCTCTGAACATAACCTTCCCCTGAAACCCCTTATCACACCGATAAAAAAAAAAAGTCCAACGGTTTTAATAAAAAGAACACCTAGCGCCACGAGTTTATCGCCATCATCCATCGTTTACCCATGTTGTCTTCAAGTAGCGCACCGTTGGCAGCTCCTAGCCAGACCCTAAACGCCACAGACTCAACCGTCAAAGGGGTATGAGCTGTTAACGACGCGATCTAGATCGCACTAATCACAAGCACATGTCCATTAGAGGTAAAGTTGAACGGTCTTTTACAGTGTTTGTTGGGCCCCGTGATAGTTTCGGCAATAGAAGTGGAAAATAAGGGGGGAGACTATTTAAAGTCTTGGTCTATGAGTTCCGGATTGGGAATTTAGCTGGATTAAGGGTCTTGATAAGAGGAGCTGAGATACTGAATGGGGGAAGGCTTCACGGAGAATGGGATAATAGGATAGGGTTGAGTCACTGTCAGGGGGTGCTTGGCGAGATATTGCTTCTGCGGCGAGGGGGGCATATGCAATCAACAGGGAGACTGACATCACGGAGTTGTTGGGCAACAGCACATCGACGTTTGAGCCGAAAAGTTCATAAAACAGGGTAAATACTTATTAATCATAGATAGAAAAATATCTGGACAACATAAATAATGGTGCTTCACTTCAGTCAAGCATCCGAGACCAAGCTCTATTACAGTCGCAGTAAGCTTGAACTATTAGCCAACCTTGCCTCTCATCATAAATACAATCTGTCAATTCAGACCACTTGGTCTATCCAAGGAAAAGGAATAATACCTATCCTCCTTTCAGCCATCCATGCCATCGCGGATACGCAAGAAGTTGGCATACCGCTCCAGTGTCCAGCGGCGCGACGCCTTGCCCCAAATAGCCATGGGCAGCGACGACATGATAATGACAAAGCTAAGAACACCAAGCTCAATGAAGGTGTTCTGCAGACCGGTATCAATCCAGTAGCTGCACACGAATGTGAAGATGGTAGCGAGGGTGTTGTTGATGACGGCGACACCAACCATGCCCTCTAGAACCATGTCGGGATAGCTGTCGGCCAGGTACGTGATGCTTAGATCACCAGCGCAACCGTAGCCGAAGCCAATGAAGCCCAGCGCGACGTAGGGAACAGGCCAGTCCCAGCCATGCGCTGATCCGATACCGAATAGCCACATACCCAAGGGGAAGATGATCACGCAGAGAGCCATGAGGTAAAGACGGAACTCAGCCTCCATGATGCCGTTGTTGCGCTTGGCCTTCCAGAGAATGAACTTGTCGCTGCAGTATCCGCCGTAGAAACAGCCAATGACACTTCCAATCAGACACGGAATGTTCATGTTGGCGACAGCAGAGTCACTGTAGTTGTACGGCTCGTTCACCCAGTAATCTTCCTCAACGGTGAGGTAGAAGGACAATGCAATGTTCTGCATTCCCCACTGCAGACCAGCGAACCAGACTGCGGGAAAGGAAAAGATGCGCATCGTATGCCACAGGCGGTGAACATACTGCGTCAACCCTAATCCGCGCAGATTGGACGCTGGTGTGATAAGAGCAATGCGCTGCCAGTAAGACTTCTTGCGCGCGAACGAGGCCTCGAGTCTATTGCGCTCAACCTCCTCTCGTCGCACAGCAGATGCGGTTTGAGTGATCGCCGCCTCTTCGTCTACTGGGGGCGAAAGGTTCTTCTCCTCGGCATCCTTGGTAATGACATGGTCGCCAGTAGGCGCAGGAATGCCCTCGACGTTACCACGACTAGCGTCGCGCTCATCAGCCTGATGGAGATTGAGGTAGCGATTGCGCTCAAAAGCCGTCTCCTCAAGACCGAAGTAAAAGAGGACAAGGGTAAAGCCAGAGGCAATTGCGCCCATGTGGCCAATCCAGCGCCACCCAACATTCTCTGCCAAATGGCCTCCGATCAAAGGACCAACATAGGTTCCGACCGTAGTGGCAAGGGTATACATACCCAGCGAAGTACCATTCTGGTGCTCGAACCAAATGTCCAGCAGAGACAGCTGCACAACTGCCTCAGCGACAGACTCGGACGCCCCGACAAAGAGCTGGGACCAAATCGTGTCGCTCGTGTTCTTCAAATGGCCGAACCAAATGTTGCCAATGAGACCCCATACCGTTCCTACCAAGTATAGAATTCGTCGTCCGTAAAGATGCGTCGCAGGCGAACTGAGAAGCGTCCAGTATCCGATCGCGACAAAGAGCACACCAGCACCTGTATTGAAGACATCGTAGCTAATCCCGTATTGCTCATTGACACCTACGCTCGCAGCGCCGGCGACATTGGACGTAGCGGCAGTCAAGGCGACAATGTAGCACACGAGAAACGAGTGCCAGGTCTTGCGCGCAAGACTCCAGTTCAATGGATCATTGGGAGACTTCGTCGGAGAGGGAACGAGGATGACATCGCCGTGCTTTTCGATACTGGCATCGCCGGAGGCGACGCTGGCGTGTTCGTCGGTGAAGAGACGTCGTGTGCCCGGGAGGACTTCATCGAGATCGCGAGCAGACGGAACGGCCATCCGCGTCGATTTGCAGTGGTACTTGGTAGTGGGGTCTTGTTAAGTCGTCTTGGAGCAAACGGCTCCTTGGAGCCGCATTCACACGCGTTAAGGAGGGTAGGTATGGGTATGCAGGATATCGATCGAGAGTCAGCAAGACATTGTTTGTATGTGATGGTGATTTCCTAGCAAGTTAGAACAGAGTAGCGATCGCATAAAGAGGAGGAGGGGAGGAAATTTTTTATATTATGCCCAAGGATCCATATCTTTCGGACCAGTCCCCCACCAGAAGGTTCATTCCCTTGTCGGGCCGCAATGGGGAAACCGGAGCGATTCCACAAAGGGCAGTGCGTCTGACAATTTGTGGTACGTTTGGCTGGGTAGAATTGAACGGGTTTAAGCTGTTGATGTCATGGTGTGGAAGACGGCACACCACTTCCGTGATGGAGAGATAAGGTCGCGTGCGTGTTTTGCGCTGGTATTGGACGGATGATCCCTGGGGTAAGTTGCCATCTTTTTTGTCAACGGTCTTCCCCGAAGAGGTTCGGCGATCACTGTCAGTTTGAAGAGTAGTATTCTGAGTATAATTGAAGCGATGCAACGCACACAATAAAACGTTCAGACAAGTTGAGGTTGACGTTGCTGGTACTGTCTGTTCGCGAAAAATGTCCACTGCTGCAGCAATTGACAAATAGGCTCGGCCGACTGATTAGTCACCGGCCGACTTCCGTCTTAAGATACGGGGTACAACACTCAACGGTAACAACGAAATGAGATTTACCATTAAGTTCACTCCATAGAACTTTTACTTGCCCCTTATTGAACTCGACAGCTCGGTCCAATATCGCGATCATGATGCAACCGCATGCTTCCCCTTTTCTAGCCATGAAGAAAAAAAAAACGCATGGTCCAAGCCTTCCAAAAGCCAGGTCAAGGGCAAGGATTACTGGAGCCTAACAGCTTATCAAGCCAGCAACATGATTCAAGGTTTCTGTTAAAATTTTCATTCATGGGATAAAGTGCCTTGCGGAAATGTCATGTCAAACATATCTGCATCGCTCTCATAAATAGTTGCCATACATCGTTGCTGTGGTATCAAAATGTCCTGTTTTCCATGATCCCATCTCAGTGCCGAACCTAAACCATCAAGAAGTCCATGTTCAAATCCTTGAGTTTCTGCAACCAATTCATACATCCATCATCCCCATTCTCATGCTTCCACAAAATCTGCAACGTATCAATTGCAGAGTATAAGAATCCCCACGGGTTGATTTGCGCTACCGCCTTTAATCGATCCATAACCCACGCCCGGCTCTCCGGAGTCGTTGCCGTTGTTCCATAAATAAAGGTGGGCCAGCCTGTGGCTTTGAAGTTTGGGTCTTCGTCAGGCTGTGGTAGGAGCGTCTCGTAAAGATCCTGGATGAGGGTTTTGCAAACTTGGTCTGGCATCCTGGCTCGTAGTGCGGGAGCTGCTTGGATGATGTAGAGGCATGTTGCCAGTCTGTGCGCGGAACCAGTTCGAGCGCTGCTCCATAGAGCGGCTTTACTGGCATCTGGCATTCTGTCCTTTGCCCATTTGAGAACGTCGAGGCGTTGTACGCGGTCTAGTAGGTTCGTGAATTCGATAAGCGCTTCATTGCTGGAGACGTTCCCTTGAGCTTCGGCATGCAAAAGTTGTGCTGTCTCACGGAGGATGTCGAGAACTTCAGGTGGGCAACAGAAAAAAGAGTTGTTGGTTCGTGATAATGTTGCTTTGACTTGACTTGGTGCAAATGAAGCTGCTTGGGTGCCTGGTTGTGATGGGTTGAAAGATAAGCTCAATGTGCAATACCTACATGAGTCAGTTAGCATCGAGTCAGCCTTGAATCATAGTATCTCCACTTACACGTAACAGTCCGCAACGATATAGTCTCTCAGAGTTGTGTCGGAACCAGTATATGGTTCTATCATATTCAAAAGCTTCTTCGCACCTTCGAGATGAGGCCGCCAGCTTTGCCAACCAGACTCGATGAGCTCTGAGTTGATAAGAAACAAAACAGTTGCAAGAATCACATCGGCTCCAATGGTGTCAATATTCCGTAACGCATCTGGCATCATTTGTAGTCCTTTTTGTTTGGCGACGAGAGCGTCCATGAGCAACTTTTTTGGTGCCTCTTCTCTTTCATATGAGTTAGGGCCTAGCCATGATCTTGATAAATTGCACATATGAGATGCAGAAACTGCGATGATAATTTGTTGTAGAAAGGAATGCTCATTTGTGAGTTGCAAAAGGTTTAGATACGGGTTCCTGCTACCGTTGGTTTGATCATCACCAACGAGATCCAGGCTAACTCGAGTTGAATCTGAGTTGAGGGTCAGCATCATGAAAGACCAATGTCTTGAGAAGTCATACAATAATTCAAATACCATCTCTGGGAATGTGTCATGTCCTGAAATAATGGATCGACCAGTGTCCACGGAGAGTTTGATGATGTTGGTGAAGGGGGTGAAGGAGGGGACCATGGCTTAGTTTTGTTCGGGACAAAGAGTTGATTTTCCTGAGGCGACACTAAGCCCCATGCACCTGGCTCAAAGCCTTGAGTATCGAAGGATCCCATTTGCATATCGGAAGATTGAACATCGGATGGCACATCAACAGTCATGTCCGATTCACCTTGTTTGGGTAAACGACACACGGAGGCACTAGAACTCTGCCCGGCCAATTTCCCGCGCGTGGCTACTGAGCCAGTCCATAGAAATAGGCGGCCATAGCCTAGGCATTCAACCCCCCTGGAAGCGCATTTGGTGCAGTGCGGGATAGACCTATCGCAGCGAAGTCTCGCACGGCGACAGCTGTGACAGGCTTTCTTGGCTACTTGGATGGTGGTTGATGAGATACTGTCGCTGTCGGGGGGCGAAGTTGACATCGGATAAAATACGTGAGATGAGAGAGATTGAGGCCTCAAATTGTAGCCTTGCCTTCTTGCTTATTAAGATAACCAGAAACAAGGGCGATTAGCGAGAAAAGTAGATGAGTGAGACAAAAACAATGGCACGTCGTGGGTAGGGTCTCCTTGATGGTAGAAATGGATAGACTTCTGTTGATCCTGGGATCCTGGCACTTGGTTTGTAAGATGTTTGGTTGATTTTGTTAATTCCGAAGCCCAGGCTGGGGAACGTCAAAGAATCGAGGTTCATGAGTTGGTGCCTCGATTTCGAGGCGGCAATCTCGGCTTAAGCGGAGCAATGCCAGGCATAGCCACGGGGAGGGTCTGGAACAGTCTATACCTAGATCAGCTAGAGCCGCGTACCTCCGCATGCTATCATCATCAGCTGAGGGAGGCTTTGATTTAAACACCTGCCAAATAGGATAAATTCACTTGCTTGAAGAGAGTTCGACACGAGATAAAGGGAACTATCGAAAGTCTAAAGATAGATATCATATCTCATATCTGTCCAGAGCTATCAATTTGCAACTACTTGAGATACACTAGATATGCAGATGCGTAAAATCACAACGCAACAGTTGCAAATCAGTTATAATTCGTTGTGTGAGGGCCTTATTAACAGACCTTTTTTGTCCTGTCTGAACGCATGTGATTCTCTGTCATGGGTTGCGATTATGAGACAGAAACTGTCTTTGTGAAACACGAAAATTTCTATCTTTGAGGGGATGCCTCAAGTCAGTTATGTCTATGCAAAGACCAACTGCGATTGACAAGCCAGTTGATTGGCTCAAGTGATGCACCATGTTGCTCTGAACCAACACTCAAACCAACTTCCTTCACTGCCTTGTCGCCAACCTCTACACTGATTCTAATAATGGAGAAGGTACAGAAAAACTCCAATGTGAGAATGCTTGCATGCCTCCTCGATGGAGACGACATTGTCCAGAGCGATTATCGTTTTCTTGTCGATGGAAGCCTCGTAAAATACGTTATCACGGCGCCAGGCACATTTCTCAACGATCATGAAGGCCGCGCTTTCGAGCCCATCCTTCTTGGCAACCTATTCCCTCAATTCCCTGCTGGAGACTGGAATAATGGGCATGTTGCTCGAGACCCCGCTACAGGGGAACCTTCATTCGTTAAGACTGAGATCGTGCAGTTCCCTGGAGTGCAATATCGCTGAAGTTCAATGACCTGGAATTTACCCAACGAGAGCGATTGAGACAGCGTGTCCACGTTTCAACACACCCTAACATCAATGGTGGCAAGCCTGCGCTTGTCAAATTTGCTGTTTGGCCCTGGGAGATTGACTATGTCGAGGCTGAGGCTGCAGCTTATCAATGGCTTCAAAACAGCAAGGTTAGCCCCAAATTTCTTGGTCACGTCACGGAAGGCAAAGATGGACGAGTCATTGGATTTGTCACGGAGTTCATTGAGGGTGCAAGGCCCGCGGAGCCAATGGACATTGAGGGATGCGAAAAGGCTCTGAAGAAGCTACATAGACTCGGTATTAAGATTGGTGATACAAACAAGTTCAATTTTCTGGTTCGCGATGGCCAGGATATCATCATAGTTGATCTGGAGACAGCTAAGCAAGGATGTTCACCTGAGGAACTTGAAGAAGAGATAAAGGGTCTCAAAGCCTGTCTCGAGGACACATCTTTCCTAGGTGGGGAGTATGTTGTAGAAGAATAAACAATCTCGCTTCTCTGTAAATGCTCTCTATATGTGAATGCCTAACACTTCTTACCAACATCGCAATTCGACTCGCTACCATCCTCAGAGCCATCCATATATCGGCCAAAAGCATAAAGCTCAACATCAGTAATATCCTTTCGAAACTCCTTCGCCACTGTGCGCCGGAAATAAACTCGTTTAGCCCATTTATAGCCCTCTGCTCCGGCAAAGAAAACGCCAACCGCAATGAATATAACAGCCCATTCCCAAGTAATGGGACTATGCATAAAGACAACATGGTTGATGACAGGGATATAGAGTGTTGGTGGGATGAGAACGGTGCTCATAGTAACGGACCAGAAGAGGAAGGGATTCTTCCAAAGACGCTTCGTCCAGGCCTTGAAACTGCCACCCTTTTCGAAGATCTCAGCAAAGAATGAGCGACGGAAGTCAACGAGTTGCCAAGCGAAGAGTAGAAAGTCCCATGTCATGGTGGTGAAGGCTGTTGATCTGGCGGTAAAGACTGTTTTGCAGGAGGCAGAATATTCGCTGTTACAGTCATGTCCTAAGCCTTGATCGTTGAAGCCGTAGAGGACGATAACTGAAGAACCGAGGATACTGATGAGCATGAGGATACCATAGACCACGAGGTCAACTAGGAACTCCGGGGTGAAAACACCGTACTTGAGCTATCGAGTGCGTTAGTGACAGGAACGTGGAAATCAGGTGAAATTTTGACTTACACTGTGAGGTGGCCGACGAAGGATATCAGGACTCGCTTGCTCGAATCCAAGGCCAGTCTCAGTAAACGCTCCAGCAACAAGCAACATCCAAATAATCTCAACCGGTGTCAAGACAAAGATAGAAACACCGTTGTCATCTTTGAAAGACAATCCTACCAGAAGACAGATGACGAAAGCGACGTTAGCGGCCAAGACATGAAGGATGAACTTCTGAATATTGTCAAAAATCCGGCGACCCTCTTCAATGGCATTAAGGATAGAAGCGAAGTTATCGTCGGTCAGGATAATATCAGAAGACTCCTTTGCGACATCCGAACCGTTGAGACCCATCGCAATACCGACGTCAGCGTGCTTCAAGCTAGGACTGTCATTGACTCCATCACCAGTCATGGCAACGTAGCGACCACGGCGGTGCAAAGCCTCGATCATCCGAACCTTCGTAGTCGGAGAGCAACGGGCTACAACAAGCGGCAACTCCGGCATAGCGTCAAGATCGGCATCTGAAAGGTGGTCGAAATCATGAGCTGCCATAACCATCGTCTCGGCGATATCCCTCCTGACCATCCTCATTCGTTCAGGGGACGGGATGATGGCGACTTCAGCGGCGATGGCTCGTGCAGTTTCGGGATGGTCGCCAGTCAGCATGTGCACGCTGATCCCAGCTTTCTGGCACATCTGCACACTATCGCGAGTTTCGGGGCGTGGAGGATCGTAGATGCCGATAAGTCCGCAGAATACCAGATCCTTCTCAAACTCGGATCTGTCGATGGCTGATGAGAGATCTTCGGGGAGACCAGTGACGGGAGATCGACCAGCGAGGGCGAGAACTCGAAGGCCAAGACGGGCAAATGCCTCCATATTGGCCAGAATGGTTTGCTTTGCTGGTTCATCGAGAGGCTGAATTCTGCCAGACTCTTCCATTGATACACAGCTGCTGAGAACCCGCTCGACTGCGCCTTTGGTGAAGATATGCGTCTCATTAGAAAGAGTGTCTTGGAACACTACCGACATCTTCTTAACCTCTGAGTCGAAAGGAAATTCAGCGAGTTGCTTCCATCGCGGATTCTGACCAGAAGATAAGGACATGCGGTTCCAGTTAAAACGAGTAACGAAGACTTGAATGGCTATCTCCGTAGGATCACCTTGTACAAGCCATTCTTCTGGACCATCTTCCCTGTGTCCTTTCTCCACGACTGCGAGGTTGGCGAGGGAAGCTATGTCCAGGTAATGCTTGAGTGCTTCGTTGGTAGCAGGCTCATCTTGAGGGTTGATGGTGTGTGACTTTTCTTCTTCGCCTTGTGCTGGTAGATCTGTAGGCTGTACAGGAACAAAGTTGATGTCGCCAGCTTGGGGGTTGTAGGGCTCGTTTGTCGATTCCACTGAGTAAGTACCATGTCCTGGAAGCCATGCCATTCTTACTACCATCTTGCCTTGGGTCAGTGTGCCTGTCTTGTCAGAGCAGATGTCTAGTTCACTCGTTAGCTCCTATAGTCATCGCCGCCATAAAAACACATAAGACTTACTGGTGACTCCTCCAAGTGCTTCTAAACTCTGCATATTCCTCACAACAACCTTACGGCTCACCATCTGCTTCGTTCCAGCTGCCATAGTTATAGTCAAGACCAAGATCAAAGAAACAGGTAGTGTTCCCACGGCTGTAGCAACAGCGTAGATGATAACATCTTTCCGTGGGTCGAATTTGTTCGCTGCAAGTACAATGATGGCGCAGACGATTGCAAAGCCGAAGACGTAGAGGAATAGTTGCGATAGCTTCCTCTGCAGGGGAGTCCCAACGTTAACGCCCAGAAACTCTCCAATAACATCGTAAGTTGTAAGCAACCATTTTGTGAGATGAGATACAAATGATGCTTTGCCGTTCTCGTCTCGCTTAACTTCCCGCCTCTTTCGTCCAGTGTCTTTTAGAGCAGCTGCAATAGCGCCTATCTCGGTGTAAGCCCCAGTAGCAAACACAACACCTCTACCACGACCCTTAGTGACAATAGTAGAGCTGTAGCAGACGTTGAGACGATCGCCGGGTCCAGTATCATCATCGAACTGCATCGTAGGATTCTTGCGCACAGGAAGCGACTCTCCCGTGAGCAATGCCTCGTTTGTCTCGAAGTTGGAAACTTCGAAGAGACGGATATCAGCGGGGACAGAGTCGCCCATCTTAAGATCGATAATGTCGCCCGGTATGATTTCGCTCGTCTGGATTGTGATCGTCTTCCCATCGCGGAATACATTTGCCGTTGGGAGACTGAGAGACTTGAGAGAGTGGACGGTTCGAGCGGCTTGTAGGTCTTGGAAGAAACCTATGACGATGTTGAGGAGGATGATGAGAGCAAGAGCACCGCCTTCGATCCAAGCTTGTATACCGAAACTTGCTGCAAGGGCTAGAATGAGAACCTTATGCATGTTAGTCATCGATAAATAATCTCATGTCGGAGAGTATCAGCATTACCAAGGTCATGCAGTTGCAGATCTGCTCAATGAAGATCTTGATGGGCTTCACGCCCTCTTCTTCGCCAAGATCATTGGGACCATACTCGACAAGTCGTTGCGATGCCTCAGAAGCACTCAATCCAGTAGCCGGGGTCGTGTTGAGTTCTTGAATGACTGTATCAGCTGGTAAAGCATGCGCTGGGCGCGACAGCGGCTTGTTGGATTGACCAGAAACATGATGCTCCATGTCTGGGGGAGTTGATTTGGGAGACATTGTCGCCGCTATTGAAGGAGAGTGATAACTTGAGACGAGAAGCGTAACCAGAGGGATTCCATTCTCAAGTCCTTGGCCAGGCAGCCTGACCTTATATACTTTGAGGTTGACATGGCGACTTTCATCAATCGCACCTTGTGGAGAAAGCCAAGAAACGGTGCAGCCCTCACGACTAGACCAACCGAAGCAACTTTGGCCGTTGTCTTTCTGGCAGCTTCGTCAACCGTCCAGTCGTAGCAAATTTCATGACAGAAACGGGGCTTTGTCTTGGCCTCCACGGGCCCCGAAAGTTCCACCACCCGGATCAAACTGTAGATCTACCGATTTTAAGTCTTAATATTCCGGTTCTAAGTCTTAAATGCCCGATTTGATGTCGTGTCAAGAGTCATAGTGGCAGAAAACGATTCGAGATTGGCTGGCGGGAATATTTACGCTTATAACGAGTCTAAACTGTAATAGTGAGCCAAGACTCCAATGCATTAGCGTATACGCTATCAACGTCATTGGTCAGCCAATGTTTCCTCGGCCAGAGATCCATCGAGATGCGCTGTGAATTACCTAAAGCGGTATTTGACAGCGGTTGATGGAGATTCGCCAAGAGCTGTGTTCGTTTATCCTTATTCACGTTATCTCGAATTCATGGCTATTTCTGCCTCTTGAGTCAGAAATTCGATGAAAAGTGGGCAATCTCCATTTCTTATTAATTCCTGTGACTCTTGGTCTTTTGGAGTCATATAAGTGAGTTCGGGTATAGGTTATGAAGCTCCATTATCCCATCGTTGGTCTATCATTATTCCAGCGAGATCACGACCTAATAGCGAGAATATCCCAAGGATTCTGTTCCTAATGACTTTCACAATCACTGTGTAATATTATAAGTCACACTTTCTGAATTCTTGCCAAGATAGTTCCTAAAATATTTGGTTTGAAGCCGTAGTATCACATGTGTTACATGCAGTGAGGCACTCGTTAGTTGTCATACAAGATTTGATCTATCAATGAGCTATTTTTGTCGTCAGTTAATAAGAAGAAGCTCATACCGGAAGTTTTTGTACTACCACAGTCATAGTTTTCGCTTCACATACGTGATGCAGTGACGAAGGTCACTTATCCATGATTGCTACCCTGATTGACATAAGCGCAGCCAATACTGCTTAATAATGCGCTCAATGTCAGATTTACGCCCTTTGAACTTCTCCCTGTATTTATCTTAGCACTTCTCTTTGCCCTTCGACTTTACCAAACCCAAAAAATTAGAAATTAATCTAAACTACTATTCCTTGATCTTGCTCCACACAAGAAAACATCATCATGGTCAAGCTCCCGTCACCATTCGCCGAGATTCCTCGGGTCCAGTTGCTCTTCGACCGACCCTCGGACATCGAGCGATTATCGCGCCTCAGCTCATCTATAGATGGGGGTGCGAACTTATGGATAGCTCGAGAGGACCGCAACTCAGGTCTTGCTTTTGCCGGCAATAAAGTTCGCAAGCTGGAGTACGTCCTAGCGGATGCCCTTGCACAAGGTGCTGATACTCTTGTGACCACGGGCGGACTCCAGTCGAACCATATGTGCCAAACTTCTGCTGCTGCGGCTCGACTTGGTCTCAAGGTGCATTGAAAACCCCGCCTCTTGAAAAATTCTAACTGTTTAGAAAGGTTGCTCTCTATCCGGCCAATCGTGTTGCTTCCGAAGATGCTGAGTACAAGTATTTGGGCAACATCCAAGCAAACTCAATTCTAGGTGCCGAGACCTTCTCCCCGGACACAAGCGAGGAGACTGCTATCCAAATTCTCAAAGAACGTGGGCAAAAGCCTTATTCAATTCCCGCTGGCGCGAGTACACATCCTCTTGGTGGTTTGGGTTACGCACGCTGGGCATTTGAGCTTCTTGAGCAGGAAACAAAGCTCGGCGTCACATTTGACGTCATCACCCTTGTTGCGGGTTCTTGTTCCACGCTGGGAGGTATACTCGCAGGGCTCAAACTGGCGCAAAAAGAGGGGATCAAAGGGTCGAAGAAACATCTTATTGGATTTTCGGTTTTGTATCCGAAGAGAGAGGATGTTGTTGAAAAGGTGTTGAGTATAGCAAAGAACGCAGCGTCAAAAATTGGCGTGTCTCCGGATGAGATCACGGAAGACGATTTCGATATCGATACTTCTTATATCGGGGAAGGGTATGGGCAGGTGAATGAAAGCACCGCTGATGGAATGAAGGAGCTGGCAAGAGTGGAGGGTATCTTGACGGATCCTGTTTATACGGGTAAGGCTTTTAATGGACTGCTTCATACGGCGAAGAGTGGCGGACTTCGTGGCAAGGATGTTCTCTTTGTTCATACAGGAGGACAGGCGGTTCTTGGAGCTTATCCACAGTTAAGATAGCCAGCTCAAGTGGAAGCGTTATAGAGACAATCGAGATAGAAACTTCTAGTTAATCATACTCAACGTTGTTAAATCATTATCTAACAGAGTAACCCATGATCTAATCTATCACAAGAGATTCCACTCATTCACGAGATCTAAAGCCATTAAAATTCATTAACATTATTCAGCCTTCTTGCCACTACTCTAAATACATTCATACAGTGATATCCATCTATCCCTCGAAACACAACCCCATGTCTTTCAATAGATCCTCTGCCCGTATATCAATTCCGCCCGTTCTCACGTCCTCAACGCCAAAGCCTAGGAATAATTCGTCACCAATGAATCCATGATACTTCTGTTCACGACTCTTCCAACTCATAGACGTTACATAAAACATGTCTGAAGTCTCCTTCTCGGGATACCTCTTTCTGCCATGAATCCAAATTGGCTTTCGAGACATAGCATGGATTTCAAAAGGAGCCTGTTGCTTGAATAGCATGACATATGGTTCGTAAACGCTATGGTAGTTGAAATAGGACTTATGCTGGTATATCACCATGATGAAAGTGTTGCTGTCGTCAGGAACACAAGAGGGTTCGTCTCGACGACACATGGTGACTTTGAGGGAATTGGTGGTTTGGTGAATAGACTCGAGGTCGGTTTGGAGTTTAGGGAGATATTTGGCCAGACATTGCTCGTCTCCTGCCGCGGCTGGTGCAAGATCAGGACCGGCTGAGCCATCGGGATTCATTTGAGCAAACACTCTCTTTGGCTGGATGTCGTAATGGGTATACATATTACCGTTAGAATCCCAGAAGAGGAACCAATTCTTCTCAACAAGATGCCATGGCAGTGGTCTTTGAAGTTCGGTGCCAACTCTGAACTCACCCAGGTTTTCCATATCGCCCGACCAGCCCGTTAGTGTGCGGAAATCCTGAACGAACTGGCCAAAGCAGGTGAATATAGAGTTTGAGCCATACGTCGCGTAAGGCTTATCAGGGCCAAAGAACACGCGTGCATCGTGCGGACCCATGTTCATATGGAAATATGCCATGTCACCTTGACATTTGTCTCCTCCTACAGTTGCAGTAACGGGGAGAGTAGTTGGTGAGTGAAGACATCGAAGGACACCGTCTTTGAATGCAGCATTGCAAACAAGCTCAGCAAACCAGAGTGAGTTACCGCCTTCTTGAAGCCATTGAGCGACGACGATCCATGTGTTTTCCAGGGTAGGATGGGGGATGAGGTTGGGGTTGAGAGCAGTGAATTCCCGGAAGTCAATCTCGAAGAACTTCTTGTCTTTGGTAGACAATGAGAAGACTTCAATGTGCGTTGCGCTGACATCTTGAGGAATGATACCCTCGCCGAAAGGTTTATCCTCTGGGACGTCTGTCTTGGCAGCCGGTGTCGATTGAACTGGTGACGCTTTTGTTATGGATGGTTCTTCGTCAGCCAAGAGTTCTTGTTCCTCCGCAGGCGACTTCTTCAGCTGTGATGGAACCCATCCTTGAACATGAGCAGGAAAAGATGATGGATCAAGATAAAGCTTGAGAGCAAAGACAACAAGAAGAAAGACTGGTATCACGAATAGCACCAGCTTTCGAGAATCTCGGACGAGCATCTTGAAGCATTCAATGCACGTCGTAAAGGAGCGAATGTGTCGGAGAATGGAGTTTGACGCAGGCGGGGTCCGGTGAAGCCCTTGAACGATAACAATGCAGCTCTGGTTGTGACTGTGACTGCGCCGTACGCCATTTAACTAATCCTTATTTGAACCACACTCCGTGGACAGGGGCATCGTAAGAGGAGCTGAGAGATTATTCACGCGGGAGATGCGGAGTCTGGAGATGGTGATATTCATGCCGCCACGGCAATTGGCTTTTACTGAAAGGCCAATGATAATTCAAGGACCCTACGCAGCTGAAGATAAGTTTACGGGGAAAACCTGGCAGGTTGTGACATTCAATGTCGCCGCAATTCGACGTCGACACATTTTTCATATGCATGCCGAGGCTGCTGAGGTACTTTTGCGGGGTGACATTGCACTAGTCGACGGCGCATGTTCCTGAACAGGGGACGTTCTTTTCTGATCGTGGAGGTGTGCAGATCTTAGTCGCGGGAGCGGGGATTAGCGTAATGAGAAGAGGTTGGGGTTCCTGACATGGCTTGGTAATACGAAGCCATTGCCATCTTCAACGGCAATCTCATGCAGGTGACCCTCCATCACTTGGCGGTGAGCCGAGAATCACAAGCAAAAAGAGCATGCGGCATTATCCCCAGATCGATCTGGCACAGAGGTCTGAGGGTAGATATCCTCAGATCTAACGGTGGCAGAGCTGAGACTAGCATAGCAATGACACATGTGATGTTACCGAAAAGAATTAAGCTTGATTTCATTCTGCATCAAGATCTATACTACGCTTTGGCCTGCTTGCTAATTGGATCTCCTAACGCCTTCTTATAGAACCACGCTGCAAACTTAACGCTGGGCGTGTCGATAAACCTCGTCACAACGTCAGCTAGCCCGAACGTCAAGGGCACGAGGATCAGCTGAGGGAGGAGAAATGAGATCTCCAATCCCAAGGGTCCAGACATTGGCAGGGCGAGCTTGTTTGCCCAATGGGGAATGTTTTTCATGATCTCTTCGTTCTGCCATCCCGCTGCCACGTAGAGTCTCTCACCAATAGTCCATAGCACTGGACCGTGGACAAGATATAGAGCGAACGAGATACGTCCAAGCCACTGGCAGAATCTCGTCTCAAAGAAGCTCTTCAGCCAGAAGATTCGAGGGATGGAGGCAACTAGAAAGACAGCTGCGTAGAAGAGGTAGAACCATTTGTAGTCAAACACAGCTTGAGGCTTGAACCATGATAGGTAGTAGAAACCCCTGTTCTTGGCAAGCTGCTCGACATTCCGGTTCTCAGATGGTACTCCACCAAGGAACAAGCTGAATATCAGGAGATGGTAAAAGATAAACTCCTTGGCAGGTTCCAGGCGTGCCATCCAACGGGGAAGGTCGCCCTTGCTGGCGAGAAGGTCCAAATCGCAAAGAAGCATACCAGCCGTAAACATGGAGTAGAATGAGCCATCTGCGATGTACATAAAGTAGAAGATCAAACCCGCCTCACACCAAAGACGAGCATTCTTTGAGCATCGAGAAAATGCCATCTGTGCTGTAAAGATAACGACGGAGCCCTTGAACTCAATGGGGATAGACCATAAGTGACGATTATACGTCAGCCAGGGCTCACCACCTTCTTTGAAGACGAAACTAAAGTTCTTGAACTCATAGTAAAAAGCCCAAAGTTCGTCGTACCAGGTCTTTTGCTGTGTCATAATTCGCACCCAGACACCAAACATGTGTAATAATGTGATGTAGACGAGCATAGACATGATGAGGGGGAGATAGAGGCGAATCCAGCGCCTGAAGAGCGAAGATGCTATGACATCGCCCAATTGCGCATGCTCTCCAGACTGGATGAGTCCCATTGGCTTCAGCGATAGAACATAGCCTGAGATGATGAAGAATGTCGATACTGCGTAATGACCGCCTGTGAAGAAATGCCGTATGAAGGGAAATGATGCAAAGTAATGCTTTCCTCCATAGCCGAAAGCATTTTCGAGGATGGCGTTCTGGCCCACGACGTCGTGCACCCAAAGTTCATGATGGTGGAAGTACACGAGAAGAGCTGCGAAACCACGAAGACCGTCCAAGTAAGCGGTTGGGCGGAGGTTCTCTAGAGGTCGTGTTCTGGCGCGAATGGCAGCTCTGATGGTATTGATGATGTGTTTTAATTTGCCGCCTGCAGCCGCTGGTTTCCAGGATGAGTAGGACTTTGCAAGTGTCCAGTCTGAGCTTGAGTCCGTCTTGACTTCATCCCAGTCGTCGCTATCGAGAAGACCACTTGTTCGAGGCGACATTTTGAAATGGTTTGAGGCTTTGGAACAGAGACCTTGACAACTCAAGATTGTTGTCTGTTCAATTGATGAAGACGAGGGACCTGATGTACTCCGCAACTCCCGATATGCGATTCGGAGAAAAGCCCCAACTAAGGATCACAAGCCGAGGAAAGCATGTGTAAAAATATGACAAAAACAAAAAAACAAGGCCCTTGAAGATGGGGTAATTATCACGAAGCAGGGATTGGAACTTTTGGTGTGCGGAGACCAACGGCGTGAAAAGAAAATCATCATCTCGATGGAGGCATATCTTCGCTCTCATGACGTTGCACCGCGGTGATGTAACATGGGGGCCAGCGTTACAGAATCCTTCCGTAAAAGCGCCTTTAGGACAGCAACCAACGGAAATTCGGCAGCCACAGTGAGTAATTAGCTCAACCAACAATGGATGAGAATCCATGGGTTGGGGTGGGAGGCTCGTATGATAAGGGAATGGTTCGCGTGCAGGGATTGGAGACAGGGGTTATATCCGAGGCTCGTTCCCCGGATCACAAGCCAAGACGGGAGTTGTATGCCTAGTATCAGAACGGATTCTATGGGTGGCTTGACATTAGACTTCTGCAAGGCACGTTAAAGCCACAATGTCTGTGGTATGATGATCTTGATACTGCCAATTACAGCTTATACACACGTGCGACCTATTCTTAGAGTGTTTCGCTACTGGTATAGCTGAAGATCAAGACAGCACTTCACAACCAACAACTCCCTTTCTGATGCATCACCAACTCGGCCAGTTAATTACCCCATGCCCCATGCCATCCCCCAGAAGCACGGCCTCGTACCCCAGGCCGCTTCAACCCACCTCCACGATCCCCCCCATCCCACGGAGGAGCTGCCTTTCCTGGAAGTTCTCTACTCGACCCCTGCCGAGATGCACAACAATCACATGGGATCATCCATGGGTTCTCTCTCCACAATCCTTCTTCGGTCCTCTTCCGCAGCTGCAAGACGGTAATTTGATAAGAAAACGTCTCTCTCGTCTTGTAAAGGTCCGTAGTTCTTTTCTTGGTAAAAGCTTGGTTACGTCGAGTTCCACTTAAGGGTTCTAGGGCTCAGCTGCATGTTGCATTTTCCATCTGCAGATAACTCTTTTTTCTCCCCTCGTTCAGTGTCTGTTCTGCTTTGTCTGCAGAGAAGCTTCTTGCCTGTGAATACGTCTACTGGTCATGGCGAGTGGCCCTCGTCGAAATATCCCGTCTAATCTTCGTATCCCTCCTACCACCGTTGAGTGGACCGTTACAAAGACCGACAGCTACGATACAAAGATGGGCACTCCATTGGGCTCGCCAACTCTAGCAGCCTCAACAGCAAAGTTCAGAAACAAAGTCCCAGCCCAGATGCAAAGATGTATACCACTATACATGGCATGTGTCATCGTCCTCTTCATCATCCTTAACTTCGACATCTTCTACTCTATACCCAGCCCCCTCGGCGTGTTCCGGAAAGAAAAGGAGATTGTATCAACACCATCACGCTTTAGCACGTTTCCACAAAAGATCTGGCAAACGTGGAAAGTCGATCCATTAAACTTTGAGGATCGTGACTTGATTACTTCAAGGACGTGGGTTAATAAGAACCCTGGAATGCGATATGAAGTTCTCACAGACGACAATGAGCTTGCGTTTGTGGAGGAGCACTTTGGTGCGGGGAGTGCGATAAATCGACCGGATATTGTCAGATTTTACAAGAGTATCAACTTGCATATTATCAAGGCTGATCTATTGAGATACATGATCATGTATGCTCAAGGAGGTGTCTACGCAGACATTGACGTCGAAGCGCTGAGGCCTGTGCATCGTTTTATACCCGAGCGATACGACGAACATGACATTGACTTGATTGTTGGTGTCGAGATTGATCAGCCTGAGTTCAGCGATCACCCAATCCTAGGCAAGAAGTCAAAGTCTTTCTGCCAATGGACTATCATTGCAAAGCCTCACCAACCAGTCATGCTCCACCTTATCGAGCATATCATGGTCTGGCTCAAGGCTGAGGCAAAGAAGCAAAAGGTTGCTCTTGGAGACATCGAGCTTACCTTTGACCAAGTCATCAGCGGCACTGGTCCTTCAGCTTTTACAGGAGCTTTGCTGGAGCAAATGCGCAAGAATCATCGTGGTGGAAAGGTCACATGGGATCTATTCCATAACCTGGATGAATCCAGAGTCGTCGGTCGAGTTCTTGTTCTCAACGTCGAGGCTTTCTGTGCAGGACAAGGCCACTCCGACTCCGGTAACCACGACTCTCGTGGAGCTTTGGTAAAGCATCACTATCACGCTTCCAACTGGCCTAGCAAGCATCCTCGCTATCGTCACCCAGCATACGGCCAGGTCGAAGACTGCAACTGGAACGTAGAGTGCGTGAGGCTCTGGGACGAGAACGTCGCTGAGTGGGACAAGCTCTCGGAGGAAGAAAAGAAGTTAAAGATCGAGCAGGCCAAGAAGCCTGATCTTGGTCTATGAGCCCAAGAGATTGATATTTAGAAGTGCTCTGGTGATCGGCGTTGAGTTTGAATTTCGGAACCCGGATACCTGAGATCGTATATACGCGTAATTGATGAATGAAACCAAGTAAACTTTATAACCGTCTGATCAGGCCATTATCCAATTATTGTATCCCGTGTGAAGTGCCGTGTCTATCTTCAAGTCTTGCATTCCTTGCATCTGCTACTGTGGCTTGGCGCATGTTCTATGAACCGAGGCATTGACTAGGGTCTCCCAACTCTATTCAGGCTGATCCAACCCCGCGCGTCCCGAACCTCCGTATTCATATTCTGCGCGTCTGCGCCTCTTCTTTCTCTTTTCAAAAACATAATCTCTCAATTTTATCATGGCTTCTCAAGAGAAACAACCCGTCATCATCGTCGGCGCTGGCCTGGCTGGCCTCGTCGCAGCTTTTGAACTTTCAGAGCGTAAAGTCCCCGTTCTGTTGGTCGATCAAGAAAATGAAAACAACATTGGCGGACAAGCTTTTTGGTCCCTGGGTGGTCTGTTCATGGTCGATTCCTCGTATCAGCGAAGAATGGGAATTAAAGACTCGAAGGAGCTGGCGTACAGAGATTGGATGGGCTCAGCGAGGTTTGATCGTGAACAGGACGACTACTGGCCGCGTAAGTGGGCCAGAGCGTTCGTGGACTTTGCCACCGATGAGATGGAGGATTATGTCAGGGCGAGAGGCCTCGGCTTTTTGATGAATGTTGGATGGGCTGAAAGAGGTGATGGTACTGCAGATGGTCATGGAAATTCTGTTCCAAGGTTCCATGTTAGCTGGGGTACAGGACCAGAGGTTGTCAAGGTCTTTGCAGACCCTGTCAAGAAAGCTGCAGAAAAGGGCATCGTCACCTTCAAGTTCAGACACAGGGTTGATGAACTGATCATCGACGACAACGGACGTGCTGTCGGAGTGCGAGGCACGATTCTGGAAGACGATGATGCTGCCCGTGGCGTCAAGTCGAACCGAGTCGAAAAGGACAAGTTTGAAATTTACGGCTCAGCAGTTGTCGTTTCTTCAGGCGGTATTGGCGGAAATGTCGATGCTGTCAAGGCTGCATGGCCCGTTGACAGATTAGGTCCTAAAGTCCCAGAGAGCTTTGTCATTGGTGTTCCTCACCATGTTGATGGACGCATGATCGCTATATCCGAAGATGCCGGCGCGAATGTTATCAACCGCGACCGAATGTGGCATTATACCGAGGGTCTTCAGAACTGGAACCCCATCTGGCCAGATCACGGTATTCGAGTCCTGCCTGCCCCTTCATCTCTCTGGCTCGATGCAACTGGCAAGCGACTGCCACCATTCCTCTACCCAGGTTCTGATACCCTTGCGACGTTGAAGTATATCTGCAGCACAGGGTATGACTACACATGGTTCATCCTCGACCAGAGCATCATCGCTCGAGAATTCGCCCTCTCTGGCTCAGAGCAGAATCCCGATATCACGAATAAGAGCATCTGGTTGCTCCTCACTCGAATCTTCGGCAAGAAAGGCACTGTCCCAGTTCAGAACTTTCAAAAGCACGGCAAGGACTTCGTCGTCCGTGATAACCTGGAAGATTTAGTAGTTGGTATGAACGAACTCGCCAAGAAGCGCAACGGTCCTCTACTGGAATTCGATGCTATCAAAGAGGTCGTCGAAACAAGAGACAGCCAGTTCGACAACCCATACTCGAAGGACGCGCAAGCAATGCTTATCAACAATGCGCGAACATACTGGCCTGATCGTCGAAGCAGAGTTGCCCCGCCTCATAGACTGCTCGATAAGGCCCATGGCCCGTTGATCGCTGTGCAGATGAATATTCTTACGCGCAAGACATTGGGCGGTATTGAGACGAATCTGGATAGCAATGTCATGCGAGCAGATGGTACACCTTTCCCAGGATTATACGCAGCTGGTGAAGTTGCGGGCTTTGGCGGTGGAGGCGTTCATGGGTATAATTCTCTTGAGGGAACGTTTGTTGGAGGATGTATCTTCTCGGGACGGGCGGCTGGAAGGGCTCTTGTTCGCGAGATGCTGGGTGAGAATGATTCCGATGGGGGAGAGCTGAAGAAGGTGAACTCTCGACTCTGAGCTCGTGATCGGAAGGTTTTTCTTGGTTTGACTTGATTTTTAGCGCATGTTGCTAGTAGAGATACGTTTGACGTTGATATAAGATCTGATATGAGTAAGACGATATGACAATCCTTTATGTTGCCAAAGATGGTTGCCCCGATATGCACATGCCGTGAGATCAGCGTTTCATTCTTCTGCAAGGAACAGAACAGCTGTCGTGATGCTGTAAGCATTTTATTTACGAATGCAACAGTGTTGCATTAAACACGTAAGGATCAATTGAGTACCCTTATTACATTCCATAGTTCTCGTCCTCTTTTCTATCGCCTCAGGGTAGTCAACATCTGATTCTCTGGCTGAAACAATAACGGCCGGCATGGCCCTACCCGAAGCCAAGCCTCGGAGTGGCGTTTGCACCCATGGATATCCATGGCTAAGGCTGACGGGATCATCAGGCGTCTAAACTTGAACTTGGGCCTGGCTAGCTTGGATCGCGTGGCTTGGTAAAATTATCCCTCAATGGCGGTGATTGTTTATTATTATACAATACGGTTGATTTTAAGATTTAAACGTGAAGATGAGATGTAATTACAGTATAAACACATCTATACAGGGGAGACTTGGTTAGAGGCTAAACTCGTTGACCCGAGAACTTAGTTTATCGAGTATCTTGACATATCCGTGCTATCGCCACTAACGCGACCTCAATTTCCCGTCAGTGCAGCCTCAGTCGGAGTCTCTTATAAATCCGCTCCTAATCCACGCCATTAGATTAATTTTGGTATCAGAAGGATCCGAACTAGTGGTCTCGAGTGTAAGAAAGCGGAACTCCTACCTATAATCTCACCATCTCACTGGACAACACCCCGGCCCCCAAAATTTCCCCTTCAACGCTAAGACATGGATCTTCGCCCATCGGGGCTGAGTGATGAAACAGAGACTGAGCAACTGAGCGTGGTGTCTCCCCTTCTACTGTTTTTTTCTCTTCTTCTTTTATCGTCTTGGTCTGCTGAGACTGGGTGACCAACAATAACTCGTGACAGCCTCTTCTTCAAGACCGTGAGGCTGAAGTTCTGATATTCTTTGAGGGAAGCTCGTTAACGACATAATGCTCGCTATCTTACCCTTCACCGTACTGCTGGGCAGCTTTGCCGGCAAAGTCGCTGCTGACACCAGTTTTATTACCCCTGGAGGATCTGGTTCTTCGGGATGGAAGAATAACCCAACTTACGATGTCGATGATAGTATGAACGTGGAATGGAACACGGATCTTGAAGAGACCAACCTGTTGCTCTGGCAGGATTATCCTCCCGCTGGCGGCGGTACTCAGTACTTCGTACAACTCAAAGGTAGGCGCGCGCGCGTACACTCACCGAGATTCTTGTCAACTAACATCTGATGGCTAGAAAACACAACATCGACAAGTTATATCTGGACAGTCAACTTTAACGGTTTCTCTTTAGAAGTTGGTGACAACCGAGACGCTGTTTTCCACTACGCCCTCTTTAAATCCGGCACAAACGATATGGTCGCCGTCTCAGCTGCGTTCAACGTTACCGTTCCCAAGGACGAGACGACATCTGCTTCCCTTGCTCCAACAACTGCCTCCCCAATTCCTTCATCAACTGCCGGTCTCTCTAAGACAACAACGACCGAAGCTGCGACCGAGACAACAACAGACACTTCCTCCAACAAAGATGATGGAGGTCTCTCCACTGGTGCTGTAGCCGGCGTGGCGGTCGGCGCGACAATTGGCGGCATTGCCCTGCTCGCCGGTGCTGGCTTTCTTCTCTGGAGACATTTCCGAAAGGGTAAAGGTGCTACTGCTGGAGGATACGCGCCGCCTAGTGAGATGCCTGCTGGTGCGCAGAACCAGCCTGTGCAGGAGTACTACAAACCCCCTACGCAGCAGGCTCCGGCTGAAATGGCTGGTCAGCCATGGACTCACCCATCACAGAACGGATACCAGGGACCTGGTGGTCTTCACGAGGCGCCTTAGTTCATGGATAAGATGGATGTAGAGGGGGATTGCGAATAACCTAAGGGTAAAAAGGTTTTAAGATGTTGTATAGCAAAGCATGGAGTTGATTGAATCAACCGGTTATATGTTTCTTAATTACCCATTTCAATACCAAGAATTTTATTATCAATATCCTCATTTCATTGGAGCAACAACGAGTGATGACCAGTAGCGACTGTGACATGTAAGCAACCTTCAGCATGATGCCTCACTCCAAAGTGAGGAATCAATGTCAATGCTCACAAAAACTTGTGGCAAGGATAGCCTGACATCCCTTTCTTACTTTGATTCATTGCTCTTCTCCAGATCCTTGGCGAGTTTCTTCTCCCTCTCCCTCACATCATCCGTCACACTATCCCCAAAGTCATCCAACTCCGCAATTTTCCTGACAGTAACCTCACCCTCCTTGAAAGGGATCTTCTTCGCCCAGCCAACAGCTTCCTCACCATCTGTTGTCTTAAGAATCCACCAGCCACAAACATGCTCTTCCTTCTCAACGTCAAAAGGACCCTTGGTGACCTGTGCAAGACCATCCTTGGAGTATGTAACACGGTAGCCATCTTTGGTTGGGCTGAGACCATCGGCTGAGAGAAGAACGCCAGCCGCATGAAGCTCTTCGTTGAAGGTTGTCATTTCTTCGAAGATCTCGGGGCCAGTGGAAGTTGGGTTTTCAGCTTCTGGAGAAGCTTTGATCAGGATCATATATCGAGGCATGATATCTGCGTGCTCAAAATGGCAGCTACGAGGTTTAAGAGCTGATAAAATAATTGTGAGAAAACGGTTCTTTGACTTGCTGATTCAACGGGAGCTCGCCCTTCTTTGTACATGTTGAGCTTCAGCCCTGCTTTTCAGACTTGGTAAGCTGAGGCGCTTTTGGACCAAGACTACTGGTGAAGCTTCGTCAATCGTCACCGTGGCGCTTATTCGAAGTTAAAACAACACTAAACTAAACTCAGTGGCGTTCATGATCCAATGACAACAAGGTAATAGCCAGTTGCTGCCTGTTGCGAGGACGAAACCGAATATGAATAGTAATTGCATGACAGCCGAGTTTCTTGTTAGATGCAAAACCGGCATGTTTTTGATCCGTAGCAAACTGTCGTGAGCATGTTCAGCGAGCCATGGACACTTTCTTCACGGGCATCGTGAAGTTTGGGAAATAATACTCAAACGCCACAGACGTACTGGGCTTCGTAGTCCGACATATGAAACTTATTAAACCGACTCAGTGGTAATTTGATATATTGTGAAAGGTATTATCTCCCTATTAAAAGTTCATGTGCATGTGATGTTTATTTTGGAACTCATGATAGCATTAGCATGCCGCAGGTTGAACATTTCTTGTGACACATTATATATGGAATACTTGATTAAACTACAATATACCTACCTCATAGCATTAGTTGAAGGTCATTATTGTTGTATTAGTTGCAACTTAATGGCCTAATCACGTTGCGAATTGATAGTGTAAATAGACTTTTGCAGTATATACTGTCTCTGACAAACTCTGGTTCTGGTAGGGCATTGAGAGTCTGAAGTCCTCTCTATCAACCCGTATCTTTTGCATGAAGAATTTGAATAAGCCGTGTAATCTTTCCTCGCACCATTCAGCTCTCAATGACGTGCTTGGCCCAGCTTCAGATAATGGGTCGACATGTCGATTTGAGTGGGCATGATAAACCAAGATAGGAAGCTGGAGCGATTATCCTTGATAAATCACTCCACACAACGTGGGACCTGTTGGCTTCAAGTGCTTAGAATGCGATGTCGACATTTTTTTTTTTTCATCAAATCAAGGATATATATACAACGCCTCACCACCGCATCACCATGGCGCTCGTTTTTCATACAAATTCACCTACTCTCCTACTGAGCTATGGCAGATGACAAGGCTATCGAGCCAGCTCCCGTTGGAGCTGATGAACCAAGATCTTCTGACAACTCGATCAAAAGTCCTCCTGATGATGTAACTGATATCCCAAAGCATGACCATCATGCTCACAAGGATGGAGCAGATGCTGCTCTGGACTTATTGAACGAAACCGGTGGAGTTAGTCAACCATTCGATGCCAAAGCTAACAAGCGACTCATCCGCCGCATCGATACTCATATCATGCCTTTGATTTGCACAGTCTATTTCCTTCAGTACATCGACAAGACTGCAGTCTCTTACGCAAGCGTCACTGGCATCCAACAATCCACTGGTCTCAAGGGAAATGAGTTCAACTGGGTCGCTTCGATTTTCTTCTTCGGTCAACTCGGCTTCCAGTTCCCTACTGTTCGGCTGCTCCAAGTGTTCCCTCTAGCGAAGTACGTCTCGGTCAACGTCACACTCTGGGGTGTGACGCTCGCTTGTATGGCTGCGTGCCATAACTTCAGCGGCCTTCTCGCTTGTCGATTCTTCCTTGGTGCCCTCGAAGCCGCCATCGTTCCAGCTTGGGTTCTTTTCACATCTCAATGGTACACGAAAGAAGAACAAGCTTTTCGAGTTGGTATTTGGTTTTCAGTCTGTGGTGCCGCTCAGATGTTTGGCGGATACTTCGCTTACGGTGTTGCAACGCACGTTGGAAAAGACCCAAATGCTGCTTTGCGAGGATGGCAGGTCATCTTCCTGGTTCTTGGACTTCTCACTGTCGTGGTTGGGATTAGTTTCTGGTTCATCATGCCAGACTCTCCCGCCGTGGCTGGGTTTCTGGACAAGGAGAAGAAAGCCATGCATCTTGAGCGTATTCGAGGAAATGTGCAGGGGATCGGAACTCAGACTTTTAAATGGGCCCATGTTAAGGAGGCTTTGACTGATAGCATGACTTGGCTATATGCCTTTTGGGTCTTTGCTGCTAACATTCCCAACTCTATTGCTACAAGTTTCGGAAATATTCTTGTTAAGGGTATGGGATACACCAACGAAGAGTCTTTGTTGCTGGTCACTCCCCTCGGAGCTTGGGAGATTGTCTTCCTGATTGGCCTGACTTACGGAGCCATGAAGACAAGACAGCGGCTGTTCTTTTGCATTGCTGGTCATATTCCTGCTATCATCGGAGCCATCTTAATGGCAACCACGGAAAAGGTTCCCGCTCTCGTTGGATACTACACAACTGGAGGCATCCCCATTGGTTGGACCACCATTCTTGGACTACAAAGCTCCAATGTCGCTGGCTCTACCAAGAAAATCACCGTCTCATGTATCGGAACTATCGCTTACACAGTTGGAAATATCATCTCACCTCACACCTTTCAAGCCCGCGATGGACCACGATATCTCCCCGCAAAGATTTCTATCTGCATCATCTACTTCCTTTGTACGGTTGACTTGCTGGTTATGAGATGGGTCTTTGATCGAAGGAATAAGAAGAGGGATGCCGAGAAGGCTGCACTAGGTGATCAGTACAAGGTGGAAGAAAACCATGAGTTTCTGGACTTGACGGACTTGGAGAATAAGGAGTTCCGTTATGAGCTGTAGAGAAGATTTGCCAAGACGTCAAGCTTTTCTGTCCCCTTCGTCCTTCTTCCTACGAGGCAGTACAGGTACCAGAATCTAAAGCAGGAAAGCTCTGCCTCTTCTTAAAAATGAGACCACCTGAAGACTCTGCAGCCCCTCAACCATTAGGCTTAGCAACGAAAAATCACCAAAGTGATATGATTATGGTACTATATTAGAAAATAGTTCATGAGCTCAACCTATTTTATCCAGAAGGGATTCAAGGCACACGGGTGGTTTGATCGCTCTACTACACTGGGTTGTTACGCAAGATTTCCTTTTCATAATCCTATTTCAACTACTTTTGAGACTATATCCAGCAGACCTACTGTGGAATCTTATGTTCGCTTGCGGGTACGCCAGCAGCCCACCGGTACTTGGAAGCAGTATGCTCCTCAAGAGGATACTTCTGACCAGGTAGGCCATAGAAATTCTCTCGGTAGCTACCACCGGGCACCGCGTAATCATCCCAGAAAAGTCCCCGTGATCGAAGTTCAGGAAGTAGTAGTTCGATGATATCTTTGAATGTGCCAGGGAACAGGACATATCCCTTCCCATTGTCAGTAACGGTTCGAGACGGCAAGTATATGGACTTACAAAGTTGAATCCATCGACGTCTGCCTCATCAATCCATACTTGGAGGCTATCCGCTACCTGGGAGGGTGTACCGACGAATAGAGGCCCGTTGCCTCCAAGACTGACATGCTCGGCGACAGTATGCTTCGTCCACTTTGAGTTCGCCGGGGAGAACTTGGCATAGCCTTCTACAGTTGATCTGAAGAGCCATGTTAGTAGAGACACTTTGGTGTTATGAGGACGAAACTTACCGAACAGCGTTACTTTCAACCTGTCGAAGTTCCTCATCATCACCGTACTGGTTCAAGTCCATGCCCGTCCATCCACCGAACAGCGACAAAGCACCCTCTGTCGAAGCATACTTCCTCGCTTCATCATACTTAGCCCGAGCTTCCTCCTCAGTCCTACCAAGGATAGGCGTGACAAGAGCGAGGACCTTGATGTTATTTGGGTCTCGGCCAAACTGCTCTTTCGCAACTTGTCGAATCTCCGCAATGTTCTTCTTACACACCGCAGGTGCATGTGCAGAAGTGAAGATAGCCTCAGCATGCTGAGCTGCAAAGGCTTTACCTGGCTTGCTGGCTCCTGCTTGAAGAAGCAGTGGTGTTCGCTGTGGGCTGGGATCCACGACGTGAGGACCGGGAACGTTGAAGTATTTGCCGTTATGGTCGATTTGACGAACAAGGGCGGGGTCTGTGTAGATACCTCGCTCGCGGTCTAGTTTCACGGCGTCGTCACGCCAGGAAGAGTTGAAGAGCTTGTACATGACTTCCATGTACTCTTCAGCCTGGGCATAGCGTTCATCGTGCTAATCATTATCAGAAGCTGCATTGTTACTTTGAGGAGATCAAACTTACGGCGAGTTGAACTGGATGGCCTAGGTTGCGAGCAGCGGAGTCTAGGTAACCAGTGACAATCTGTACGTCTCATTAGTGGTGAATTTGGTTTGAGACTCGACATCCTTACGTTCCAGCCCAAACTGTTGGAAGCGTTAGTTGATTCTTCCATTGAATAATAGAAAACTTACCGGCCCTTTGTTAGGTGATCAACTGTTGATAACCGCCGAGCAAGATGATATGGCTGCTCATAGGTAACAGAAACAGTGGCACCAAATCCAATGTTCTTAGTCGCAGCAGCCATGGCAGGTATAACGGCCAGTGGCTCTGTAAGAGGCCATTGAGCGCCAGAGATAATAGCAGGTTCCAAGGACTTCTTGTAAACATCGTAGCCTCCTGTTACAGTCGTTAGAACTCTGAAAGCTACCTGCTCATGATTCAAGTCTCTTACCTAGCACGTCAGCGATGAAGATGCCATGAAACTTGGCATCTTCTAGCAACTTGGCCAACTCGACCCAGTGCTCAGTGTCTTTGAACCTCCAAGACTCATCTTCAGGGTGTCTCCATAATCCCGGCGATTGATGACCACTGCCTAAAATCTTGTAAGTATATCTTGTCTAACCGGGATGAGGGGGCACCAACACATCATGACAAAGGCATTGACGATAAGGCTCTTCTTTTTGCCCTGCTGGGCTGCTTGGTCCTGAGAAGCCATGACGTTGACTGTCAAAAGCGGAACTAATCTGATTGGATTGTGCCTGACTTCGTTGTTTAGGTGGTGATGTACTGGTTCCCAGCTTATTCTTCTTTTAAGACGCTCCGGATATCGGTGCCGATACAGGACTTCTAGACGATTATTGCGTGATTCTCGAGACCATGACTGAATTATGCAAGTGATAGCTCTAGACAGGGTATCCTTAGGCTATAGATATAAGACCTTGGCGTGTAAGAGCGTTTTGGTGGACTAACCGATGGCGCAATCATCACTGAGTCTTGCTCATGAAAATTGCCGATCGAACCCCTCAATTTCCACACGATAAACTCGGGGAACTTCCACAAATGGGTAAAAGATTGGACATTTCCATCAGGGTTGTTTTTTCCCGGGTGCTTCTAGCTCGGAAGTTTCATGTCAGAGTGCCGAGTTGTCGGGAGTGGCATATCACGCCCACGTGGAGTACACGCGTTGAGGCTTGCAGAGGCGCAGAATCTGCAATCTTCCGAGACAATGGTTAGTCTAGAAGGAGTTGGTCATCAGCTTTTCATTTATGTACAAGAAATTTGGAAGGGTGACGAAAGGCTTGATATCGTCTGTTTTTCATCTTCACTCAGAAGACATCGCAAAGGTGCACGGCTTCAACAACTCTCAAATAAATATTCTAGATTCGATATATGTAGAACTTTCTAAACTCATGAGTTCTTGAGTCATTACCTCTCAAACCATTTTCAACAATACTCCTGCCCAGTTCATCAATAAGCCAACCCCCGTGTCTAGTGCTTCTTAATATCACTCTCCTCGCCAGAGTTAGACCCAAAGTTCTGGCTATCAACCTCTTGAACGGGGCTCTCGAGTGAAGGAGGGGCACGAGAACCGAAATCCTTGAGAACCAACCAAGCAGGGAATATAGAAAGACCCCAAAGTGCGAAGTTGAAGTAAACTCCACCAACCTCAGCGAAAAGAGGCAAGGAAGTGATGCCATAGCTGAGAGCTTGCCAGGCGGACTCAGTACCTCGGAGGAGGGCAGAGAAACGGATGATCTCGTCCTGAGTATTGGCTAGATGATGGATAACGAAGTAACTAGAGAATCATTAGATCAGGGTCGTGTAACGTGCGTTCATGGTTACTCACAGGAAGAGGTAGTTAAGCTGGAATGACAAAGTTAGGAACAAGAAGATGGCGAACGAATGGCCGAATCCTGAATCGACCCAATCGTAGGTTGGTCTTGTCTCCCGGAATCGAGTAACCAAGACTGTGGCCCAGATCCAGCAAGCACCTTGGAGAGTAGCAAGAAAGGCGAAAGAAGATCGGGTGCGGAATCGGAGAGAGACCTTTGTACGGTCGAGCCAAGCCTATGATGACACTGTCAGCAATAAGGGAATAATGGGCGGCCTAGAGACTTACACCTAGAATATTGCCAGCAGTAACAGCAACGATACCACCCAAGAAGGATCCAAGAGCACGGGATCGAACAGAGAACCATACTGTCTCTATGTTAGTAGTGCTCAAAAAGCTAGAGCCAGAGGATCTTACAGGCAAGATAAGTAAAGAAGACAGATTCCGCAAAGACAGCCTGTCCAATGAACAGAACGACCAAAAGGAACTTCTTCGTAAAGAAAAGCCTGGCAGTCTCCTTGAGCTCAAAGCTAGGAAGCTTATCAATCTCCAACTTCACGGTAACACCATCTTTCCTCTGAACCTGATGCGGCTTGCTGAGGAGCAGAGCAACGAAAGGACCAACAGCTTGAAGAGCGATGAAGATGAGGTACACAGTATAAGAGACCTTTCCAGCCTCGTTACGGTCGGCATTGAGACCAAGGTTGATGGCACCACCGAGAATTTGACCGGATAGACGGTAGGTGAGCCAGTAGCCTAGAGCTTTGCCGCGGTTCCAAGGCTCAGGGTATGCGATGGCGATGGCGGCTTCAGCCATCCAGAAGACACCTGCTGAGATACCGCAGAGAGCAGCGCCGACAAGGACGAGCCATTCTGTTCCGAAGCGGTTGTTGGTGTAAAGGCCTGCTGCATAAGGTGCATATCCAAGACTGAATTCCATCAGCAGTGTTCAAGAGTATGTTCAGTAGGAGTATACATACGTTCCAAAGATCAAAGCACCCTTGATACCAATGTATCGAACCATAGCACTGGAGAAGTAACAAGAAACCACCATAAGACAGAACGTCAAGGCATTGGCAGCGTTGATGAGCTTAGGCGAGGCTGCACCACCGGCACCAAGCGAGTTCATGGCTACCCAGATACCCGGCGCAGACAAGTTACACAAGCCAAGGACTGTGATGTTGAAGAATGTGGAGCGATACCACTTGACTTGGCAGTGTTAGTAGAAGACGTGCATATTGGGGATAAATCTTACCGGGAAGAAGCTGGTCCTTGGGAGGAGGAGCAACCTCACTGTCCGCATGTCGGTTTTCCACCGTCATCTTGTCTTACTACTCAGAATGATCTGTATAAACTGAAGAAAGTTGAAACAAGCGAGACACGGCTGCAAAATGTTCTGCAAAAGTAGGTACAAGATCAGCATTTATATTTCCCTTCCCATCATGAAACCACTGCCAACACGATAGCACCAGCACGCAATCCAACCCTTGACCGCACCTACAGCTCAACTGCCGAAGTCCCAGCCCTTTGGGCATTAATTCTTCTAGCGCAAACGTATATCTGTGGCGGCATTGCGTTTACCAGAATCTCGGTATCTATCCGGTTCGAGACTCTAATTGTTTTTCCTCGCTAACATAGTCTCGTCGTTCGACTTCTTCTCGGTTACGCTCAAGTGTCAGTCTACGTACGTGGAGGGAGGATCTGAGATCAACTCCCCGAGAAAGATGGTCCCATTAATGAAGCTAATGCAAGGGTGTTTAGCGGCTCCGATGCTTTAGTGCAGTCGTGATAGATTAGACGGGCTCTCCACGTGGAGATGCGGCCGAGTCGCGCGATTACGTGCGTGGGACCATGTCATGACGAGATCTTGCCCAAAAGCTGATCTTCACTTTATTGTCAAAGTAACTAACTTTCTATGGAATACTCCACCACTTCTCGTGAATATCCCGCAAATCGATCGTATCTGGCCTTTGAAGATACGGCGTTTGATCAGCCTCTACATCCGTCTCTCTCTTGGTCCATCCGTTGCCCAAATAATGAGCAAAACGATTCTTAGAATCGCCGATATACTTGTACTCCCAATCTTCCCATCTAGGTTCCTGTCGTACGAACGTGATGTGCCCTGCACTTCCAGGCCAGAGCCCGTGGATTCTGGCACCAGGTCTGCCTCCGTTGTACCATGAACTGCATTTATCTGTAAGAACTGTCTTGGCGAAAAAGGCGTCCGAGTACTCGACAAAGTCATCTGCTGCTTGTTTGGATGGGCTCAGAGACTTGATGCCCTCTCGCGAAGCCTTGCGGAGGACTTTGGAGAAGTATGTCAATTGCGTTTCAACGCTGTGAGGGACTGTTCCCGATGGACCTGTTGCTTGCGGTCCATGGACGAAGAGTAGGTTAGGGAAACCAGGCGTTCCAAGTCCAAAATATGTATAAGGATAGCCATACGTGCCATCAGCTTTCCACAGGTTACTTAGTTCCTGTCCATGCGCGCGGATGGGGAATGCGGGAACCATGTCAACGTTCGCGCCAGTCGCGCAAATGACAGCATCGACATCTCTCTGCTTGCCATCCTCAGTCTCAATACCCGACTCCGTGAAGCGCTTAATCCGTGTGCGGATGTACTCCACGTTATCTTCAGTGATAGCCTCAAGATATCCTGGCCCTGGTGTCAGACGTCGACAATTCGGCGAGAAGTCTGGGACAATGTGCTCAAGAAGTTCTGGCTTCTTCACCAGGCGCTTCTTCATAATGTCGATGAACGCTTCGCGAAGCTTCTGATTAGACTCGCTGTTTCGGAAGAACGAGTCAAATCTGGTCCAGTATAGACCCTCGAGATCCTTTCGGAAGGCCAAGTATGCGTCGGGGTCTTCTGCCCATTTCTTCTTCTCTTCTTCAGTATATGGCTGGGCCTCGATCTTTCGCTCTTCACCAGCCCAGGATGCTGCAATCCATGTTTTGTTTCGGGCATAATGATCAAGTCGCTTGACGATGGGTTGGAGATTTGCTGTGACTTGGATACCGCTCGCTCCGTTGCCAATGACCGCGACCGTCTTGTCCTTGGGATCAAAATCCGTGCTCCAATTGGAGGCATGGCGAAGGTGTCCTTTGTACTCAGATATTCCAGGGTAGTCGGGCAATTTCCAGTCATTGAATCGTCCGATACTGGTCAAGATGAACTCATTCTTCTCGACCGTCTCTTCGCCTGTCTTCACGTTCCGCAGCTTTGTGATCCATACACCTTCTTCGTCATCCCAGGTTGTTCCCTCGACTCTAGTATTGAGCTTGACGTATTTGTAAACGTCAAACTTTCGCGCGACCGATTGCCAATATTCGCGGATCTCGTGGCCGGGTGCGTACTTGTCCGACCAGTCTGTCTTGGGCGCGAATGTGCTTTGGTAGACGTGCGATGCAATATCGCATCGTACACCAGGGTAAACGTTCTCAAACCATGTCCCTGCCTACACAAATGTCAGTTTGTAAATTTTCAAGCCATTTGGTGTTTTGACGTACGACATCGGCGTTCTTCTCGTAAATGGTAAGCTTGATGCCAGGGACTTTGGCTGGTAGAAGAATGCCTGCTGTGATACCGGCCAGGCCAGCGCCAATGACACCAACTCTTAGCGGACGTGGTTCGTCAACGAATCTATCGATCAAAGTAAGGCGAGGGTTGTAATAAGGTGATGTCTCGTCTACGTCTGGTCCATCGCGTACGGTTGTTGGTGCGCTGTCCTTGGTCTGGATAATTGGGGTTGACTTCTCGGCTGGTGCATTCTCTACAGCGGCGTGCGATAAGTCTGGCTCTCTATTATTGAAGCCATTAATTGCTCCGTTAATTACAGCTGCGGTTGCCATTGTTAATTGACAGGAATATCGTGCTCGGGAATGATGGTGAAGGTTCAATTGCCGATGAGAGCTCTCCAAGCGACAGGCCTGGGATTCCCAATACCTTGAGCTATTCTTCTATCCTTATCGCATCTTCTCCGCGAGCACGTTAGCTAGCTCTTCTGTTACATCATGTCGTAATCCAATCACTCTGCATGGCCATTCGCCATCGCAATTCCTGATCCTCTTTCACCATATTGCGTCTTTGTTAGTCTCAATCACGCTTGTGCCCCACGCTCTTACACCATCACCACCCTGTCACTTCAGGATGAGACCCTGAAATCTGTGTCCAATCAACTCCAAATAAATGAATTACAATCGGTTCCGATATGCGGAGTGAACTTGAAGTATTACCCGAGGTTGGAAGGTTTTCATCCAGTAGGCCGTGATCTGGGCCCTGGCTTGAGCTGTCTCAACAACGCCAGAAGATAAGAAACCTCGACTCTTTTACTCTTAGTTCCTCGAGCCGTAGTCTTAGGTCACTCATAGGCATGAACTCTTATAATTCATTTATTTTGGAACACTTGTTAGACTAATTCATATTGCAAATGCCTGGCCTCTGTAAAGAAATCATCGAATCTCATCCATGTTGATCTAATATCAACATATCCTTTCCCCCATATCCTTTCCCCCATATCCTATATAGTAATTAAATACCCCATGGTTTTATTTGTCGAGTGCAAACTGCTCGCCAGTCCACCCATAAGTTTGATAAAGTCTTCGGCCATGGCGTCTAGTAATGACGAAGGGCACTTTATTATGCGGGTGAGGTTCGTGAAAATGAATACTCCCATTAGCTTCCAGAGTATATGGCGAGAATTGCCAGACGGACCCGTATAACTTCTTGGCAGCAAGACCAACGGAAGCCAACGCATGCAAAAAGTCGTTCCATGGAACTTCACCAGGGGTAGAAGTGACATCTGGATCGTAAAAGAGGATGCGGAACGTCTTGAGTGCTCGTCGGTCGACCTTGAATATCGGCTTTGGATCCTCAAGCGTGATTTCGGCCATGGCTTCGGCTGGGGCATCATCAGTCTCCGTAGTTTTGGTCGCAGTCCCTCTTGTCTTGAGTTTGGTCTTGGCTGATTTCAATGAAAGACGAGGTGACGCCTTAGTGTCTGGATTGTCACTGTATAAACCAAAGAAAAAGGACGACAAGGGTTGTTCAATGTCGAGGACTCTCTTCTTCTCTTTCGTGGGTTCAATCCATTCAGGTGTCCGCTGCAGGGCACGAGGACTTTTGAGCAGTCCTATCAAGATACTTTTATCCTTGTCCTTCGTTCGTTTGTAGAGATACTGATCTGCTCTGGCCCAGAAGGCATCCTCGATGAGCTTCTGTGAAGATCTCGACCATTGTGTACGCATTAGTCAAAACGCCAGCAATGGCTGCTCCCCATTTGCTTGTGTGTTTTCTTCTGTAGCCTATGAGTTGCACATGCTCGTGCATATCGCTGATTTGTTCCACAAAGTAATTGGGATCCTCACGCATCGCCCATGCATGATCCTCTGCAGCCGCGACTTTGGCTGCAAACAGCTTCTCAAGGTTGGCAAAGTCAAGCCGAGTTGGAACACGGTAGGGGGCTTCGACAGTCATCTCAAGGAGGGAGGTTTGTAATCCCTGGGTCTGGGTACCCAGGGGGAGTTCTGGCTCAGGCTGAATAGGATAAATATCACTGAACAGATTATCTGGCTCAATGTCATGAGGACTTTGATAGCAACATTTGACAAGGAAGTCCATTAAGCGCTCCTGTATCTCCAGAACGACCACGCCGGATAGATTACGAAATTGATCTAGAGGCCACTTCTTGCCATATAAGTTAGATGTAGGCCAGTCATAGTCTTGTATTGCCAAATCAAGCCAAGTTCCCGGGTTAACTTGTGGCATTTTTCTCAGAGTTCCATAAACGTCGCCAGAGGAAATGCCCCGGAGGATTAATTGCATGTCAGCCGTGGGGTACGGCAGGCTATCCACTACCATACCGGCCAATTGTGCTCTGTTGTAGTATTGTGAATCGGTGTCGAGGAAGAAGGGAGGCGGGTGACGGGCTCTGGAATTGAGAAGTAAAAGGAGCGGTGTGGGTTTCCCAAGGGATTCCCTGTTGATGAAGGGCAACAAGATGGAACTGTTATGTTTGACCTTGACCGTGGCGTCCGTCTCAACTTGGCGCCAATAGTCATAGAAAGGTCGATGGGTTGGTGGCATGTTTAACCATGCAGTAAGAAGAATCTGGAGCCGCTGCTTTCTATTCTTCTTAAGCCCTCGTTTCTGTATGCTTTCTTCATGTCGCTCGAGAAACTTTCCGGGAATTTCATGGTTTTAAAAAATACTTTCCCCTCTTCTCATTGACTCAGCTTCAACTTCCTCTGCTGGGGTGTTCTTCAATAGGAAAGGGTAGGAATGTCTCTCTTGCGGTCCACTGTTATGTCTGACCACACGAGAGGCAGAACTTCCATCATGAGACATTTTCTTTCAGAGTATGGCCGCCGTATGAGATTCTACGACTTGGTTGTACTGTTGTTTACCCGATGTGGACGTTTTGAGACACATCCAACATCATCGGAAGTGAACGGTCATACAATATTCCGTCCCACGCTTAGATCAGCAGTTGCGCCAGGCTGTCATAAGGGCAGAAGTATGGGCTATACTTGGGCTAGTACTTAGGTAGGTAGGTCAAGTTACAGAGGGCAACGTTAGTACCGGTACCTAAACAGTACTCTCTTATTAGCTGCTAAGGTTCTAATTGGCTGGCCTGTGTCTGTTCTGCCGATGAAGGAATATCCATAGCCATTTATTGAGTGGAACATGCTCTATACAGTATGTTTTGCAATAGTAAACTATTAAGCTACAGAAAAATCGGCCCTCTCTCGGTTGGAATGGCTTAGCCTATATAAGCTATAGCTTATCAGATCATCTTTTGGAACGGCAAAATGTTTAACGCGATACCAACTCCATTACTCTAATGACCTCAATTATCATTTCCCCATACCCCGCGTTTGTCACTTCAACGGGTCTGGGGTAAACATTTTGGCGATACCAGTGAGTCACAAAGAGCCGATACCAAGGTATAAATTGCGTAGAAGATCATGTCAGTTGTGAGCATCAGAGAACATAGCTCACTTCAATTCAATTCAATGTCTCCTGAACCCATTACATTCGCCATCATAGGCGTCGGCCTAATTGGCCCGCGTCACGCCCAAACTGTGATCAAGAACGAACAAGCAAAGCTGGTAGCTGTTGTCGACCTCATGCCAAATGGCGAACAACTAGCTCAGGAGCTTGGAGCTGCCTACTTCAAGTCCGTGGCCGATATGTTGCAATCGTCAAATAAGCCTCAAGCAGCCATCATCTGCACGCCCAATCACACTCACGTCCCTCTGGCTCGCGAGTTATCCTCAGCGGGTATTCATATCCTCATTGAAAAGCCTTTCTGTACAGATATTCAGAGTGGAAAGGATTTGGTGGACCATCTTGATACATTAGACATCAAGGCTTTGGTGGCGCATCATCGACGATTCAACCCCTATATGATGACTGCAAAAGAGACTGTTGGTTCTGGTTCTCTTGGGAAAATCATTGCGGTAAATGGCATCTGGGCAACGTATAAACCAATGGATTACTTTGACCCGCCCCGGGAATGGCGAAGAGAGAATACGGGAGGCGTTGTTCTCATCAATCTTGTCCATGAGATTGATCTGTTGCACTATCTCTTTGGTCCCATTACACGGGTTCATGCCGAGAAGACGACATCTCAACGTGGCTTCGAGGCTGAGGAGGGTGCAGTTCTGACACTTCGCTTCAAATCTGGTGCTGTTGGAAGCTTCCTGTTCTCAGATAATGTCCCGTCACCACATAACTTTGAGTCCGGCACGGGAGAGAACCCTCTGATTCCTAAAACTGGAAAAGACTTTTACCGAATCTTTGGCACCGATGCATCATTGAGTGTACCAGACATGACTCTGTCTTCTTATACTGAAGGTCAAAAGTCATGGCACCAGGAGCTTGTTCAGAAGAACGTGCCTGTTGCAGATGGCGTGCCTTTCGAGCTACAGTTAGATCACTTCATCAAGGTGATTCGTGGTGAGGCGAGTCCGAGTTGCACACCAAGAGATGGCCTAGCTGCACTTGTTGTCTGCCAGGCTGTGAAAGAGGCGTTAAAGGAGAACAAGACAGTGGACATCGACACTTCTGATTTTGGACTCTGATTGAGGGGTGTTTTAGACTCTTGAAGCTTTCTGAAAATTCACAGACGGATTAGGGGGTATTATTAAATAGTCATAGTATACAGAGGTTCTCTGGGTTGTACTTTGAAACGCGATAATAGACAAAAACTATTTGATTCTCTGAACAACCATTAGTCCCAAATTTACCATTCTCGTAAAATTCTATCTGATCAATAAGTTTCCATGATCAAAAGAGTCCCCTGAGTTCCACTTCCATCAGATAAAATTTGACAAGGGACATGGCTTATGTTCGCAGCAGCAAGCTACATCATGCAATGTCCCGCAACATGTGAACTCCCCATGTAAACCCAAAGGCCGTTACGAAACGACCATATACCGGCTTCTGAGAGTTATCTCAATCGTCAAAAAGAAGATCAAACAGTCAGACAAGCAAAAACAGGGCCTGACCGGGGATTGAACCCGGGACCTCTCGCAAACTATAGTTCTTTATATACAGAACTGAGATGTCACTCCCGAAGCAAGAATCATACCGCTAGACCATCAGGCCAGATACTAGATCCTGGGGGTATCAGTGCGGCCAGAACCAGGTGCCTATAGACATGCCAACTCCAGAAAGGACGTTACTGCAGGATTACGGAGTTCTTAGGCATTTATTTCATGTCCTAAATGTCTCAAGTCAGATTATTCTTTAGCATCAAGTCTAAACTCGGAGGCTCGCTATTTGCAACCTATTTCCCATAGAGCGTGATGGTTACCGGTGACTCGTCCATGAGAGGCTAGCAGACGGCACGGCTCGCAGGATCTATAGCACTAGCCCGTGATGGATGAGAACCCATGAGAACTTACAAGAGTATTGGATTGCAGTACGGAAACCAGCTATGGTCATTGTAACACTATGTTGATATCTTTGTGTTTCAATGGTCAAATTCAGAATATGACGTTGGAGGGTCGAGTTCACTCCGGCACCGAAGGGCGGGAAGGCTGGCTTAAGATCGTGGTTCTTCTATGGATTCACAAAAATCTGTTTCCTCTATTAAGGACTGATGTACTTTCTATAACAGACCTCATTCTATCGTCGAGGTAAGTCTAATATGCCGGCGACCTGAGCTATGCTTGACCTGATTATGACAGTGATGCAAATTGCAAAGATTGGCTGTTTCCTGCCCTTAATCCCTTTTCTTGCCAATTCTTGGGAGACATAGCCAGAGACCCAGCAATGCAGTCAAGAAAGCCAGGATGATCGGCTGGAGAGTCCTAACACCCTTGGCTTGAGCAATAGCACCCACGGCAAAAGGCAGAATCGCGGCACCACTACCACCAAAAGCAGCTGCAAAACCAATAGTACTGACATGCAAGTGCTTGGGCAACATCTTTGTAGTAGCAACGACAACTGCCGGGAATAAAGGACCGAGAAAGAACCCTTGGAGTGCTACTGTCACGGCCGAAACATAAAAGCTCGGAACCAGCCAGAAGATTAGCTGCAGCGCCATAGCAGCAGGCAGATACAGAGATACTGCAACTTTGACACCAAGTAGTGGCGTCACAAATCCCAGGATAGCACGGCCAACGGCGAGACCCAACCAGAAGCCCATAGAGGTCATACCGGCTGGGTAATTCTCAGCCTTTCGAACGCGAATCATGAACTGAACGATCCAACCACCGACAGAAACCTCAACACCAACGTAGCAGAGGAGGAATGCGGCACAAATCCAGGTGACACGAGCGAATGGGAGCTTGAATAGAGCCTCCTTCATACCCTGATTGTCCTCGTTACTTGCATCCATGGTTCGGCGATAGACTTCTGGGCCATTGGGCAAGAATGCCCATGAGCAAGTAACAAGTTCAATAGTGGCCAGCCCGATCTGAGTACAGCAGTCAGAATATTATCCTTGTGATACAAAGGACAGCATGTACGACTCACCATGACATAGTAAAATGTATACCAAGGCAAGTTGGCCTTTGCGATCATGTTCGTAGCAATGAGAGGACTGATAACTCCTCCAACACCGTAAAAGGCATGAAGGAAGCCAAGAGTCTCATTGGCCTTATCGAGGTTACCGACCCAGGCATTCCAAGCAGCATCACTGATTCCGTTTCCGAAGCCGGCGAGACAGTACGCAAGAACCAAGACAGGATACGGAGGGTGAACGGCGATGATGATATAGGCGAGAATATGGCAAATTCCGCAAGTAATACCGATTCCTCGCTGCCCAATCCGTCGATGTAGGGTGTTGTTTAAGACCGCTGCTAGGATATATCCAACAAAAGGTGAGAGGAAAACAAGAGACACTATGATGTAACTCAAGTTGTAATATTCTTCTAGCTGCGAACTGTTAGTAACACAACCCTCGGAAGAGCACGGTTTCACGTACATATGGGATCAAGGCCTGTCACTTTAATGTCAGAAATGCTATCAAACAAGGGACTTCACAGGGATCATACGCCGTATGCAGCATCGTTTGCTCCGGAGGTCAGAAGACTCCAAAAGGCCGCTCCGGTCCTGTAAATATTCTGACGGGGATATTTCCAGCTCTCCGCAACCTCCGCGGTCGCATTTTGCACCGCGACACTCTCAACACCACCGTCTGAGTAATCTTCACCGTAGCGAGAGCCAAGCCTCCGAGTTTCATCAAAAACACCCGATCCCTCGCGGGCCGCAGCGACAGGGGGCTCGTTGATTGCACGAGATGTCAGCTCGTAGGAGCCAATTGTGGCTGTTGAAGAGGCAGCCATAGTGGGGATGTGCTGACAGGAACGGAGGTTTAGGTTAAATTTAAACGCCGTCTATAAAGGAAGTGAGAAACAGGAGAAGGATCCTCAGAGAGATTATGAGATTTATGTCTTTTAAACTTGGTTGTTGACGACATCATGTGGATCTTGAATCCGGATAATTGTTCAGCATTTGACGATGAGTTGACAGTATAACCAGATCAGGAATGGATTCACGAGACCCAAGACGGTTCGTCGGACCGTAGAGGAAGAGCCTCGGGTAACAAAAAAGGGGCTAACATTTTAAGTTAGGTATGCTTATTCCTCTTACGATTGTGAATCATAACTTCGTATGCTCTACCGCAAGAAGTGACAGTAACAGTAACAGTAAGCAGCGTACATACGCAACGTACAGTAAAAATTCTGTCCCGGCTCACATGCAGAATCAGCATCAGCCAGTATGCATCAGATCAGCGTTGGATCGCATCGGCATCGGCCTTTGCCAAGACACCCGCCAGCGGGTTCGACGCGTGGTAATCTCCATATGTAATTTGGGTACCACCTTAGCAGCTAATGCCGCCCTGGACTCTCACTATATCACAGTGGCAGTGGCGGAGGCAGGGGGGCTTAGTACCAGTCAGCAAGCGCAAGCTTCTTCAAAAGTCCAGACCACGTTGGCGTGAGACCATTGGACTCTGTGGCTTTCTGCTCTCCCTCAGCTGCTTGCCCAGGAAGCCAATCAACGAAATACCAGCCCTACCAGGAACCCAGCCATGCCACCCCGACAGAACCAAAAAGCTCAGCCCTGAACGGTGGCATTGCAGAGATGGGTTTAGTGCTGAATCCAACAAGGCTGGAAATGGGTGGGAAATGCCGTGGTCTCTTCTTTTAACCCTTCAGGGTCTTTTTCTTCTTCTCATCCTCCCTTAGATAATCACCTGCGAATAAAGTCTCAATTTGTTGCCAAGCAAAGGCCGAACTGCTCCCGCTTTTAAGCTCAGGGCACTGCGGGGAACTGATCGGGCCGCTAGGGCCTCTCCAAACCATAACTCAATTTACCTACAGCTCCAGCTGCAGTTGAGTTCCAGCTCTTCCCGTCACCATGGAGCTGAGGGATTACCCTGATCGCGATCCCTCTTCACAACACGCGCAATCGGATTGGGAACTCACGAGTCCTTCTATCGCTAGGAAACCTATCGGGTCCGTCAAGCAAACCTCGCCGTATACTTCCCCCGACTATTCGACCTCGTCCTTTGCCCAGCGCGCAACTCATCACCCGTATCTACAACGGCAGACCACGACCGATACGGCCTACTATGGCGCTTTGACACCGTTGGGAATATGGGAGCCTGCATACCCTCACACGCCAGGTACCGGTCGACCTCAGAACTATAGGGAGGACAGCAACGCTTCGCTCTTGATGGCTGGCGATCTGCCGAAGAACAGTCCTCCCGATGTACCTCAAGGCCCTCCTGGTATGCCTGGTGCTCCTGGTGTCCCTCCGAATGGCCCTCCTCGAAGTAGACTGGTAAACTGGTGGATACATGAATGGAAGCCGTCATGGAGCATGTACGTCCTCGTCTTCTCGGGGATCGCATTCGCCGTGGGCCACCATTTCTACTATCGGGGACTTCATGGACAACTTGCCAACGACCAGCAGGGCAAGTTTCGATACGGCGCTCTATTAGCCTTTCTTTCAAAGGCCTGCTTTCTCAATGCCGTGGTGCTTGCTTTCCGACAGCGCGTCTTGATGATGATCCGTCGCAAGATGCTTACGCTCTCCACTCTTGACTCGCTCTTCGCGGCCTCCGAGGATCTGACAGCCCTTCTCAATTGGGAGGCTTGGGTAAACGCCAAGTTCGCAATGGCGCTGACAATATTCATCTGGACGTCGCCTCTAATCGTCATTTTTACGTCTTATACCCTTACTGTCGTACCGCAACGGAAGGAGGAAATAACACGCTGTCAAAATGTTCGCACTCTCAATTTTACACATGAAGAGACTGTGTACTGGAGAAACCCTGTCAGAGTCGATGGCTACTTTGAGTCATCCGTCTCCTTGTGGAATTCCACCGCTCCGGCGGGAGAAGAACCTGATAAGAACAAACCCGAGGAGTTCGACTATTTCACAGCATCGAGTCGTCAATTTGACACTATCGCTTTAAAGACAGCATACACGCAGCAGGCAATCATGCGCCCGAAAGCGCCTGCGGAGATTTGCGGTAGAGGTTGGAATTGCTCTTATACCATTGAGTTCATCGGTCCAGGATACAAATGCACAGATTTGGCTTCGGGAGTGAATGCCAAAGTCAAGAAATTGGGTGACGCAGAGTGTCCCTTTGACACATCAGTTCTCGCTCCCATGGGAAACCTCACATACTACGCAATGCTGGACCGAGGGGATTACGAGAACCCTCAGATGGTCGCAGAAGCTGGCGGAAGACCTAAGGCGAAACCGCCCTACCCGAAGAACTTTGCTGCCTTCCGGACAGAGCCCATCCTCTGGTTCGGTTACGCTGAGGTTGACGACAGAAGTAAGCCGCAGCCCGCGAAGCCCCGAGAGGGCGACTGGTACAAAGCCTACACCCCCACCATTTTTGGCTGTGAGCACTACCAGACCAAGTACAAGGTTCAGTTCAACCACAGTGGCGGGGTTCAGTATCACGATGTCAAGGAGCGTAATTTTCTCAAAAAGGTCATAGATACAACCTTCATCCCCGATAAGAAGGACCCCGATAAGAGGCTGAAGGACCGGACCGTGGCGACACCAAAGGATAACTATGTGTTCCCGAATGACACCAAGAATTATCGCTTGACAGCCGCTTACCACGCTGTGGGAAGTCAATTGCGGGCCATTTTGAATGGTACCACCACAATGCCCAACTTCAACGTCAACAGCGAGATTCTCCAGACGAGATTGCTTGACCGTCTCAATTACCTGCCAGTCGCGAACTTCTCCCTTGAGGTGCAAAAGTTCTATGAGGAGATTCTGGTCTCATTCCTCTCCGATCCGCAAATGTCTGCGGTGTCTTGGGCAGCTGACCCGTCGAAATACTCAGGACGGTTCGATAGTGGCCCAGACTTGGATTATCCCTGCGTTAGATGGCAGAATAGGAACTGCTTCTTCTACAATTATGCGCAGTTATGGGCCGTCTACGCGTTATCCATGGGTATCACCATTCTCGCGGTGGCGTCTGGCGTGAATGCCATGGAAGAGGATGCTATGATGCGAAGCCTGAGCTTCTCCGCAATTCTCGCAGCCACGAGAGCTTCGAGTCTTGATAAACTTCGATGGGAAAAGGAAGCTGACGTCAAGAGTAGCAAGATTGGATTTGGAATTGTGTCTGATCGAACTGGCGAGAGGACTTACTCTTTCGGCGTCGAGGGTGACGTGAGCCAGGAAAAGGCTATGTCCACAGGGAGGTCACCTGGTCTTTCGGTGATGAATTGGGGAGATAGGGCGGCGCGCAGAATGAGTTATGCGATGGTGAACAGGAGGGACAGACAGGAAATTTAGATGCTTTTCTTTTCTTCTGGATGGATGGGTTCTGGTACAGGCTGGAGCATTGTTAGCGTATGGCATTGAAGCAAAGCACATTTGGATATGAGCGCATAGCGTTGGATATTTATTTAGTGTCACAAACCAACTTTTTAATTTACGAAGACATGACCTTCATTTTTTTATAACATCGATCGAGTTTTGAGTTTGTGTAAACCTTGTATGATCTCTCACCGAGACAGATGAAGGCAATTGTCAGGAAAAGTGTTACACGTATAGTGAGGTCCCAAGACAGTAGCCATGATAATACGATAATACTGTTAACACAGCACAATATAAAGTGTAATACGCCGCGCCAAAAATACACAGTAACCTTAATGTCAAAGTTTGAAGAGATCACAGAGCACATAGAATAACCTTGTTTTCCTCATTTTGCAATTTTTACTGATCATTATTCTGGCGCACCTGTCAATTGACCCATGTCAATTACGGTGATACTGGTGCCACACTCGCTAAGAATAGAGGCCAAGCAAATCTCAGTGGAGTACTTTAGAGCTCAACTGTGCTGCCTGTACAGGACCTGTCACTTCAGCTTGCGTGTCTCAACCGTGTCCTCCGCTTCACATGCTCACACCCAAGATGTCCATCCACGCAGCAGCTGACCTCTCGGACGCTGCATTAGGCGGTCCAATTCGCATCAGAGACGAACACTTCATCGACAATTACAACCGTGTCCTCTCCCTTCGCGGCCTCAACATCTCGGGTGCTTCTAAGCTACCCACTGAACCAAACGGCCTGTCTCACCTGGATCATGGCTTCTATGAGAACCATCGCATCGTCACTTTTGTGGGAAGACCTTTTCCATTGGAAGATGCGCCGCTGCACTTTCGGCGTCTTCAGGCTTGGGGTGTGCCCTTTGTGAGACTGCTTGTTACCTGGGAGTCAATTGGTCATGCAGGACCAGACCCTGAGGACTTGGATACAGAGTATATTGACTACCTGCGCCAATTGATTGAGCTCATGCCAGGGTATGGTATCAAGTGCTTTGTTTGTGCACACCAAGATGTTTGGAGCCGGTACAGTGGTGGAAGTGGTGCGCCTGGCTGGACGTTTGAGGTTGTTGGTCTCGATATCGAGGCCTTCACCGACACAGGCGCTGCCTATGTCCACAGCCAAGATGAGAAGAGACGCGCGAGTGAACCACCAAATCCAAAAGAGCCAGGTGGTCCATTTTTGTGGCCTTCAGGTTATCAGAAGCTCGCGGCGTCGACAATGGCGACTCTCTTTTGGGCTGGTGATGCTTTAGCTCCCAATCTCAAATGTAGGCGCAACAAAGACGCTGGCAATGAAGTCTCAGCACAACAATTCCTTCAAGATGCCTGCATTGAAGCTTTCGGTCGCCTTGCAGATGAAGTCAGTCATCTTGAAGCATGCATCGGCTTCGAACCTATGAATGAGCCCCATCGCGGCCTCGTCAACCTTCATCATTTTCACTTCTGGAACTACGATACCGACTTACACATCGGCCACTGTCCCTCTCTCGCACAATCTCTCGCTCTTGGAAGTGGCTATGCACAAGACGTCGATTACTACGTCAAATCATGGCCATGGCCAACTCGTGTATCCCACAAGTCTCGTATTGACCCCAAAGGTCGCTCTGCATGGCTGTCCATCAAAGACCAACCTATCGGCCACGGCCGCGGAATGGGCGAATGCCTGTGGCGTGCCCATGGCGTCTGGGAGTGGGACGATAAGAAGAAAACAGCACGCATTCGCGACGATGATTACTTTGAAGTTGATCATCGACCGGGTCGCGAGGGAACACCTATTGAGTGGTACAACGACTGCTATGCGCCTTTTTTGCAGAAGTTCACGGAGCGTGTGTCGCGCAAGAAGGCGAAGCAGTTCAGCTTCATTGAACCGATTCCCAATGAGTTCATTCCGCCTTGGCCGACGCAGGATGCTGATAATAAGAAATGGCTTCGGCAGAAGTATACTGAGAACACCGTGATCAAGGTTCCACGCCCGGATAACTTCGTGTACGCGCCCCATTTCTACGATCTTAATGTCCTTTTTAACAAGAGTCATTCGTGGATGAGCGTCAATGTCCAAGGTCTCACGCGAGGCATGTTTGTCCTCAACGCGCTCTACTTCGGTGTTAAAGGACTTCGACCCAACTACAGAAGACAGCTTGGCAACGTTGTCAACTACGGAAAGCAATCCCTGGGTAAAGTCCCCACGGTCATCGGTGAGATTGGACTCTCGTACGATATCAACAAGGCAGAAGCTTTCCGCACGGGATGCTATGACACGCAACGCAATTTGATGAACGGCTTGATCTCCGCAATGGAGGACAACAAACTCAACTACACACTGTGGAACTACAACCCAAACAACAGAGTTGAGTACGGTGATGGGTGGAACAACGAGGATTTCTCAGTCATCAATGGCGACGAGATCAGCGAGAATGGTCCCGTACGACCTGACTACCGAAATCACCTTCACGAGCATGACGAGCTATACAAAGGCGGTCGTATTCTCGACGTGATCATCAGACCGTATGCTGTGAAAACAGCCGGTATTCCCGGAAAGTCCAACTGGAACCATAAGTCACTACGCTTCGAATATGAGTGGACCAGCACAGCAACCAAAGAACCTGTCGATGAGAAGTCACATCTCACTGAGATTTTCATCCCGGGGTATCACTACGACGCACACAAGCTACGTGTCCAGGGAACGAACGTGGAATGGACGTATGACAAGCCTCGTCAGACGCTGTATGTGCGCAGTAGCTTAGCTGGGTACCACAGCATTATTGTGGCTATCGAGGATGAGGCACAGCATCTTCTTGAAAGGGGACGACGACGAAGGGAGTTGTATCCGCCTCAGTTTCCGTTCAACTTGGTTTCTCCGGGCGTGGAGGACTTGATAGAGGATATTGACTGGTCTAAGATGGTTGCGTATTTGCCAGTTGTCGCTGTTATCTTGGTTGCTTTTTTCGCGAGGCATGTAATCTCGTGGTTGCTTTAGAGGGTAGAGCATAGGTCTTCTTGTGACCTCAACGGTTTAGATTGGAATAGATTAGATAAGATGTCTTTATGCAAAGACAAACAGATATTGGTTGATAAGAATGAAGGCTTTTAATCTTGGTTTGATAAGCCTCATATCTCGCAGGCATATCAAACAAACATATCAGGAAATAAAAGAAGGAAGGGAGAAAGGGCTAGAGAGTAATCATGTGTTCAAGAGAGTCGTTGTCTTTAACTGTTATTATTCTTGTATGCTAATTGTTGTGAAATCGTGACCGCTAATCTATCAAAAAAGGACTTTTACTCTGCATCTAGAGGGCATCTTGGTGCAGTATTGTTCACCTGAATGCCTCCTCTCTTCTTCTCCTTACTGTCATGGAAAGGGAGAGCCCATCCGCCTTCAGTCTCGGGAGTAGAGAGCCATAGTCGAAGAAGATGTCTTCGAGGGACAGGAGGAAGGTGGTCTATAACATGTCAGTACTTTCAGACCTAGTAAATTGTTGAAGGAGATATCTTACCTGTGTATGCTGTTCGGGCATGGAGAAGATGTGTGTTGCTAACGAACTGAATATCTCCAACCTCGAGAATCATATGCAAAGCGAGCTTCTGACAAGTCTCCTCCAGCACAGTCATAGCATGCTTCTGCTCCTCGCTCAGAGGGGGGATAAGACCCTTGTCAGAAAACCTTGTGAGAGATCTCACAAAGTAAGGATCCCACTTGCAGTAAACTCGACCCTGGCCACCATTCTCGATGTAAAAGATGGGGTTTCGGATCCATTCCTCCTCGCCCACTGATGTCTCGCCCTTGCGGTCGAAGTACCAGATTGGTTGTGTCAGAAGCTCAGCAACATCGGGGTTGTTCTTCTGAAGATCGTTCCAGACATTGTGAATGCTAACAATGTCACTCTCACCACCTTCCTTGGCACGGTGAACGCAGAGAAGACCGACGATGTCGGAGTCATCGGCGTGGAAGTATTGACGAGCTGTTGTGCGGTAGATGCGAACGCGGTCGATTTGTGTAGCGTCATCACCGACGTCTTTGACGTGGCCTAGGACATGGCCCAGGCCGTTTTGGGAGACAAAGTAACCGATGTATGTACCAAGACCCATGTAGGCTACTGCATTCTTAAGAGGACCCCATTCTCCAGCTGGGAAGCGTTTGAAAAGAATGAAGCCCTTTCCGTTGAGAAGGTCTTCTCGAAGAGTCTCGAGGACTTTACCCAACTTTGGAAGAGGGAAGTTTGACTGAATATGTTAGTTTTGAAACTGCGTTATGATATTGCCATCATACCTTAGAAATACCGGTGAGGGGAGTACCACTGGCAATGAAAGCATCAGCAGTATCGCTCAACTCTTGAATCTCCTCATCTGTGAAAGGATGAGTCCATCGTTCAGGTGAGTTCTCATAATCCTCCTTCTTCCAAAGCGTAGGACCCGTGATCTCCTTGGGGAACTCAGAGTAAGGCTTTAAAGCGTCATAAAGAGGAGGATGTTGACCCGAGGTACGAATACCATCAGGGAAGATTGAACGAGGGGCATCTGCGTTCTTGACTTGAGGGAGAGGAGTCTGAGAAGACTCGTCGATGAGAGCACCTGGAGCCATTGTGATTGAAGTAAACGCTATAAAGACAACGATTCCAATTGAGGTAGTGAGTTAATTGGCATCCATATCCTCGGCAATCATCTTATATATACCCTTTTCCCCAGGTATCATCCGTTACCGGCCCCCGCAGTGTAATGACGCCTTTGTTGGTGTATTGCGTGCTCGAGCTACAATATCACGGAGTCGTACTCACACCATCAACGAAACAGGCTAAGCATGTCAGCGGCGAAACTAGCCAATCAGAAGCTGGAATTGAGGATGACGTTATTTGCGATTGCTACGAATCTGGGGTTTTTGTTAATTGAGGTGGTGCCAATTGAGTCTTACACAGTTTCTAGGTTCAAGGGAGATAATCGCGGTGCTGATTAGCTCTTGGAATTTCCTAATGGGGATGGAGGTTGCGATTGCGCCATTGCTTGGACGGGCAATTGCCGTTGAGGTGGCTTCGGGATTGTTAGTCATAATCAGATCAGATCAATCTTCTGACACCTTGAATTTATTGTCCGATGGAATTCACTATCTTATCTGGTTAGTATATTTAGGTGTTTCGGTGATGATTGAAACGACATCGAGGATGGTCACTGTGTGTTCCAGCTCCTATCCGTGATAAGCGCGCATCTCTACGTCAGCAAAATTGGGCTGTATAATGTATTTCTGAAGGGATAACGAAAATGAGAGAGTCATTCAACCATTTGCATAATTTACATTCTATTTCACTATCCCAGCTGTGCAAATTGTGGCATATTCTAGGTACTCTGCCAGGGGAGATGGTGTTTCGAGCTCGCCTTGGTTTGCTATTTACGTGCTGCCATTGGTGAATCAGCGATCTTGTACTACGTACACTCAGAGTAGCAGAGAAGGAAAGAGAAAAGGGACCAAGTTGTATATGTATTGTCTCATGATGAAGGTTATAGAATATCTTGACGAAACAGGCCAGAGTCATGAAAAGTCTGTTGCCTCTCAAATTCCTCATTTCATATTCATTATTCCCTCATAATCCCTCAGCCTCTGGCTTCAAATCCGCCCTCCAGTCAGCCAACTCCCTCTCAGTTCTGCAGCTTCAAACCATCTGCTATACTCTTATACATACTCGCAAGCAGAAATGTGGAATCTTCTGCTCAATTCGTTCGTCATAAACGATTTCTGAAGCTGAGCAGTCTTCCAAACGCTGTCTCCCTGTCCCAGAACACCATGTTCCCATCCCTTGATATTATGCATATCAACCTCAACAAATCGCTTGCAGTACCAAGGAAGACATGCTGTAGGACCTTGGAGTTCTTGCTCAATGATTGTGACACTCCAGAGTTCTAAAAAGAACAACGTTCCTATACGAAAGCATGCCTTGTACTAAATTCCGTTAAATATTGAATAACTTACGCGAACACATCACTCACAGTCATTCACTGCGCAATCAAAGACTTATTAAAAATATTTACTTAGATATTATAGCTAGTAAGTATAAAAATAATAAATTTAGCCTTTTTCATATTTTATAAGATTTTATTTTATGGAAATATATATTATTAGTAAGTTCTCAATATTAATTATATTTCTATTATATGCAGTAGCTAGTATACTAGAAACCTAGATCCTGAGGTTAAGTATTTACTCTTTTGTGATGGCGACATGTGATAAGTGTGGTTGGAATCTTGTAAGTTTGATTGTAGTCTATGTTGTAACGCAAGGTTTTAAAGGAGGCTTTCAGGGGGAGATATAGCAGTACTTGAGACGTGATGGCTTTGTAAAAGCCCAAACACCCTAGCTCTTAGCTCTTGTCTTTATCCTTCTTTTATTATTATTACTACTGAGACTTCTACCTACTCTGCTTCATGCTTTATGTTTACTCTGGTAAATGTTTCATGCCCACATATGTCTTATTAGGTATCAGTGCCTTAGATAGACCGCCCTGCGAAAACTCGATTAAACCTGTCATCATAATACTCTCAGTTAAAATATTGTTTAATGAGTTTAATATAAATCTATATTATTATATTACTGGACCTTTTATTCACGATTGTGAGGCTGACCCAAATCCACTTTGAATACGGAGCTCAAAGATATGCAGATTCTCTCAGCCATATATTTCCCATAGTTTCATCCAAGGCACCTTTGTCAAAGCAGGGACTTACCAAGACCTGCTTTTGCCTTTTCAGCTTTCATTTGACCACCTCCCATGTCAGGCAATGTGCCCGTGCATATGGTTTCGGAACTTGGCCTATTGATCCTTCTAATGCAACGCTCTGTTGGTTGTTGTGCTGTTGGTTGTGTTTTGTCCCACTTCTATATGCAACTAGGCAAATCAGGAAGCGCTTTGACAGTTCAGATAGGCAGCTGAGATCGGATTCAACATTCTCATTGATGATTTAAAGGTGAAGATTGAACTTGAAATGTCAATCATTCATAAGCCTACCAGTCCGAGTCGTATTCGTTGCCATTCCTGCTCGTGGGAGAAGTTTGAAGATGTGTTGGTCGACCCTCGTCTGGGAAACAAACCCGGATCACGAGTTCACAACCCCAGCATGATCATTTGCAGCCCGGGCCACAACTAGACTTCATATGGACTGCTACTGCAAAACGACTGGGTACGCAGTCCTGATTCATTTGGTTATCTATGACGAGGTTGGCTCGGATACCCGGATGATCGAATACATATATCTTTGGCATCCACTCCCCGTCCAGAAGTAACAACTTCCCCTCCAGATGTGTCCACCTTAAAATTCCGAGTCTATGATCATAACTGAAGCCAGGCCCGGAGAGTAGGCGATCCGATATCGGGAATCTTGCTTGGTCAAACTGGGCAATTATTCCCTCATACGATGTCTTTTCTCGTGAAACTCGGCCTGATATTTTCTCTACTCGCGAGCTGGGCGTCATGCTTCACCAAATTTATACGCCCCCAAGAGAGGGACCCAGATCAAGAAGCCGACCAGGACATGACGAAAAATAACCACTATGACGATGGAGAAACCATCCCGATCGTATTTAACACGAACATTAAAAAGGTTGACATCTATGTGTGGCAAGTTCTAGGCGATGGAAAGAATACGCACTCGCTATTGAAAAGTAGGAGGAACTCGTCCCTTATGTTTATTGTTTTGCTAATTGAGCCGCCTAGGCGATGGTAAATCGGATCCTGATGGTTGGAAGGCTCAGTACGATATCTCCAACGTGACCGAGAACAAGGAGGATTGCATTTATTGGTTTTCGATAATTGACAGCAAATATCGCGGGACACTAGCGACATCTCAATACGTAAATGTCAGCGCGCCGAAAGCCGTGGAGACGAAAACTGTCACTGTGTCCATGGCATCGCCAACTCTCACCATGGAGACAACTAAAAGCACGACGGGTGCGTCCTCAAGCAAAGAAGAGAGTTCTATATCGGAGCCTAGTTCGAAATCTGGATTATCCCGAGGTGAAATTGCAGGTGTAGCAGTCGGCGCCACAATTGGAGGCCTATTGATTCTTGGGGGTATTGGATGGATGGTTTGGAGAAGACGGGCGAGAAGGAAAAATGATGCGGTGTTGGCAGAGCTTCCTGGAAATTACAACCAAGACCAGCCTTACTCCGAGAGACCGAAGAGTGAGCTACCTGCTGAGCCTGTGGTTTTTCCTTCAGAGAGTCCTAGAAGCCCTCCTAGAATCTACGAAGCACCATAATGGGAAAAAACAAGAGGAAAGATTAGTATAAGACCCTGATGCTGACAGCAAGCTGTCATCCTAGGCAGGGCAAAGCCGCTTTAAATCAGTATGCTTAACCTTTTTAATACCAGCAGAATCATAGAACCCCTTCATAATATCAGTGATCACAGTAAATGATATTAGGATGACCGACAATATGTTACTCAACGAGTTTGATCATATCTACAAATCTGTGGCCAGAGGGAATACATTCTTTGTTCTTCACTGATATGTTTGGGCCAAAGAGCTTTCTTTCTGAGGCTCCCTTGGTCTATCCCGCTGAGATATCGATAACATTTACACAAATCTGATTGTTTGTCACATCAATCAAATAATCGGAGAAGCACAATGGAAGTCACTCGATAAGCGTAATCGGTGATAAGATATTGATTGTGTAGCTTGCTACGGTGTACGAAGACAGATAACGAAAGCGGATTTATCCTCGGAGCAGATAAGAGAGATAGGCGACCGCCGCGACCCGCTCTAACGATGGACCTCAGATAGTGATATAAAAGACAAACAAATCCCCTCCACTTCATTTGAACAACAGACTGAATACCAAGCTTTGTCACAGGATTGCTACAGATCTTCTTCAAGCACAACCATCGCAATGGCTTCTCAAATAACAGTCACTCCCATCCCTGCACCCGCCGAGTCAAGCATTGACTTTGGTGCCATCGTCTCAAACGTTGACGTTGAAAACATCAGTGGTAAGATATGATAAGCATATTTCGTGAATGATTAAAACAACGCATAGTGGGAGAATACCCGTAAAATCGGTAACCTCCTCTGGTAAGACACGCCTCACATCAACAATGAGCCCAAGCTGACTGTTTCTAGATGCCGACTTTGACGTAATCCGTGAAGCACTCTTCACCCATCAAGTTCTCGTCTTCAAGAACCAGGACCATCTCTCTCCCAAGGCTCAATATGAGATTACCCAGCGTTTCGATCCTGAAGCTGCGGGCTCTTATGGCCATGGAAAGACCATTGACGCAAAGCGCTCAATCCTCCATCCTGATCTCAAGACCATCCCTCATCAACCTCAAGTCCAGGTCATCGGCAATGGGTTCGTTGAGGAGTATGAAGGACTGAAGAACATCCAGCTTCGACATCCTCACCATCGCACATTCCACGCCACCACTATCCCTGATGAGAAAGATCTAGACTTCACTAGGTTCTACAGATGGCACATCGACGCCGCTCTGTACGGCCTCGCTCCTCCAGTGGTGACATCACTACTCGCCGTTCGTGTTCCGGGAGGTCGTAAACAGACTCTCGTCTATGATGACGGATCCAATGAGGAGTTGACCGTCCCGCTTGGTACAACAGCCTTTGTGTCAGGCTACGCCATGTACGACCGGCTTTCGCCTGAGGATAAGGAGTTTGTGCGTACCACAAAGGTTGAGTACGCCCCGCATCCATATGTTTGGATGAGTGGCGCAAAGTCCCGCTCCGACGGTCTGGGCTTGGTCTCTGAGGGAAAAGAAATTCCTACTGAGAACCTCCCGCAAGTTGAGGAGGATAAGATCCAGATCCTTCCCATGTGTTGGCGCAACCCTGTTACCGGCCGTTTAGCTCTTCAGGTTCATCCCTCTGCTGTTCGAAAGCTACACCTCGCGGATGGCACTGTGATCGATGATCTTACTGCGGTTCGTGAGCGGGTCCACGAACTTCAGCGTCCTGGTATTGCTCCTGAACGAGTGTATCCTCATGATTGGGAGCAAGGAGATTTTGTTCTCTTTCATAACCGGGGGTTGATCCATTCAGTGGTTGGTGCTTTTACGGAAGATGAGGTTAGATTGTTCCGACAGTGTAATATTGCTGGTAGTAAGTTGCCTGAAGGGCCAGTGCCTGTTGCAGCCGGTGCTTAGATGATGCATGGTAGCTTGATGAGAGACGAAAGTAAAGGGTTGATAGATGTACGTGGTGATTTTAATAATATTCCATTTGCTCTCCTGCCAACCTTTCCTGAATCCAAGTATATAATATTAATATCAGCATATTCATTTGTTGGATACAGGTGAGTGTTTATACTGCCTGAAAGTGTATTCAATATAAGATTTTGGTTTTAATAAGTTGCCTTGATTTATCTTGCTGAGATATTGATAAGTTTACACAACTTCTAAGTTCTGCGTGGCGATTATAAGCTCTTTGCTACAGGTCTCGACTACAAATAACACATCTAGCTCAGAATTTAGATACTATACCACAATGCCTCAACAGTTGCTACAGCAATAATACTTAAAATAAACCTGGATTATGGCTCTTTTGCCCCCCTTGAAGAGGTATAAAATGCTCAATAGCCGCAGGCGATGGGTCTGTACTCCAGAGTACCTTCTCTAATTTTATCCAGCCTCCACCATCAACATAAATCCTTTCTCTCAATCGATCTTATCAAGCATCAGCCATCTTCATCATCCCTGAAGCTTTCCAAGATCCCCAAAGGTCAATATGTTTTGTATATCTGACGAAAGTTTAACCAAAGGTGAGCACTCTCGACAATTGAGGCCTTTCATACCTCTGACCCTATCGCAGTCTTTTTCTATACCTCTTTGGTACATCTAAGTCTGCTCGTGACTCTTCCACATCTCAATGGCCATTTCTTTCCCAGTTTCGACGATTCGCAGTCGATTCACAAGATGCTTTCATCTAAGTATAACTTAGCGGTCTTGTCATTTCTCTCCTTCTTGAACGGGGCAGTTCTTGTTGTCTGGGGTACCCAGGAGAGTACTCCTGAGTCTTTCAGGCTCCAGTTCTTGGTTGTGGGATGGGTTACACTGTTTGTTTGGTTCATCATACAGTTTGTTTTTGTTGTAACGCTTCCGGAAAGTTCAAGGCCGAAACGAAACTAAGCCAAACATGGCTTCAGTCGGGATTAGCTAGCTGGGCTACTTGAGAAAGAGGTTCAAAGTGGTAAATAGTTAAGTGGCAGGCTCCTTGCTACTTGACACGAGTAAAAACTAAGTTCTGTGTGGTGATTATAAGCTTGAGCCACAGGTCTCAACTGCAAATAAACACGAGTAAAAACAAGTTTATGGAGAAGAGATATTCCTTTCCGCCGTCCAATCTATCAAGACTGACCCATCCAGTGTTTAATCTCCGATATTCCATCCCTAAACAATAAGTCTGCGTAGAATTCATGAAACTTGAATAAAACCCGTGGCCTCAGGGGCTTGTTTTGCATAGGATTGCAAGTCATGGACTCATAATGAATCTGCACAGTTTCTTCGTTCTTCTCTTCTTTCGTTCTCACAACCACGAATCTGTGAACTCCGGCAAACACATCACTGTCACTTCCAAATCCAAAGTCGATATGACTTTCAGTGCGATTTGGTGCAATTTTGACACCGACTTGAGTCTCCAGAGCTTGAAAGACACCGTATAGAATTGTGTTGACCGGAGGTAAGGAAACCTCCGGGAGTTCTGTGCATGACCACAACTTTCTCGGAGCTGGTCCTGATTCTGTTCATTTTGTTAAACACTGAACCACACAGAGGGAAAGGATAGACTCACTTGAAAAGTTGACAAGCGTCAGGCCAAGAGTTGAAAGTGCAACTCGCTCCGGTCTAATCACAGCACCTCCAAAATATCCTTTGACGAACTTTGCCAACAGCATTTCATCAGATACGTCGCGATGTTGAGCTGGGATGTCGAGTGTGATGTATCGAGAGTCAGAGTCGTATATGTGCTGTTTCGCGTTGACGACCTCGCTAACAGACCTCGACTTCTGAAACTTCTCTGGTACGGTATTGAACCGCGTTATCAGATTCCGATCAACTTTTGACACGCGTTTCTGAACGGAATAGCCGTAGACACCGCCAGCAGTGACTACAGCAACAAATGATGTTGCCAATATTTTCCGAGTTAGACCTTGTAGTGCCATCGTAGACTCGTAGTAAAGACGTAATTACCATCAGCAATGACTGAATCGCATGATCGAGATAATTCTCTCTATTTAATACTGACAACGAATTGACTCATCGTATAGATGCGAAAACTCGTGATTGATGCATGGACCGGCTGACCTAGCGGCATGTCCTGATAGCTGACCTGAGTCCGGTTCTACCCGTATTGGCAACGCCGAGCATCAGCTTTGGGGATAGCTTCGGCTTCGCCTCTGGAGAATCGGAGTAGAGTTGAGCCGACTCTGAAGGAAGCGGCGCGACATATATGATATGACGGGAAGTTCGTTGTTCCGCTCATTGTTTTGTCGCGAAAATGCATGGTTTCTTGGCTTCAATTGCGAACAAATGTCATTGGTGGTTACATCGTGGAAGAAAGTTCACCAGGGTTGATTTAAGGTTCGCTGGCCAATAGTTATCACTTGGGATGTCATTATACGGATATAAAAATTATTAGAAGAGTGTATTGTTTGAAACAACATAGCGAAAGAGATTGTGACGCCTTGCCCTGGTCTTGAATGATGTTGACTTTAGCTCAAATCGATCTCAGAATTCTTTGCAACCCCATCTTTATGAAATGAAAAGCTCTAATTAATAACATTACTCCCTTGTTCTAGCTTGCTCCTCCTGTTATCAAGCCACAGCAAAGCACTTGTAGAATCAACGTCCAAACATTATATGACGCGGTGTTTAACTCCTGTCTTGCCTTTTTCTCCTGCTGAGCCGTCTTTGGCAAATTCTTCTTGTCTTTCTTCGCCATTGTGATAAATTGATCTTAAAGACTATTTCGTGGTTAGGCCTTTCCAATGAAAGATCTTATTCTTCGGATACGTACGGGTCTTTAAAGTGTCACAGTCATGAAAACAGTGTGGATATTCGAGCTAATATCGAGGTCTTGGTATACTAGAATCATTAGGGGATAGGATTCTGTCAAAGCAAGATTCCTGGTGGATTTAACTGTTTTCTCAAGCGAAGGAATGTGGCTGAGTTGGTGCTTACACCGGGTTTACCATTGGTGATAAGAAGGGGCGCAGTCAATCCTTCAAGGCAAGGAATGTCAGTTCAGATTACATTATCATGACGTTGTCAGATCTGATAACACTGGCACTCGCCTAGCATTGTCAGATCATCGGCCAATCAGGGGCTCAAGCGAGTTGCAGAATGCAATAGGTCCAACAGAAATCAATACTCTACTAATCTAGCTACCTCAAAACTCTATATCTCTTAAATGAAACATAGGACAAAGAAAGAAATACTCAATCAGAAGCTCAACTAAACTCAAGGTCCAATCCTTAAGCCTGACGCTTCTGCTTACCACACTTAGCGAGACACTCATCAACCTTGATACCAACGACAGTAGGAATAGAAGCCCTGATCTTCTCAATATCCTCACCATCAACAGCCTCTCCCAAGAGACGAATAACAGCATCTTCCTTGATAGAGAACAGTCCAGGTGCAACACCAGCAAAACCGCCATCCTCAGAGGCGAAAGCAGCAATGGCGTTGGCGGGCTCGCAGTCAGGGTTGACCTGGTAGTGCTTAGTTCCCTGGTAGAAGATGGTAGCTTGGCCAGCGCTGATTTCGTTACGGATGACGCGAGGCTTTCCTTCAGCGTCGAGGACACCGGCTTCGGGAACGGCTTCGGTGTAGACGCGGCCGGACATGACGGCAAAGAGCTCGGAAGCTCGGGGGTGAGTGTGAAGCATGATCATAGAGCAGCCTGTATACAATTAGTATCCAAGGTTCAGAAGTAAGAAGTATGAGCATGTACCTGGAATTTGAGCGGAAGCCAGACTGACGCCAGAGCCTGTGAGAGCAGGGAAAGTCTGGCTGTTAGCCATAGCACTGGGAGTGCTATTGAAGCTGAAGAGGAAGTCGTTGTCGTCGGGGAGGAGACTATAGCGATCGATGAAGCTATCGCAGGAGTTAAGAGCCATCCAGATTGAGAGTTCGAGCTCGTAGCTTACGTATCGGCGAGTCGCAGCTTGGTAGTCAAGCTGACCTCGGAGGTCTTGCCCTGCGGAGCTGCAGCCGCAAATGAGGAACAGGCCAAGAAGGCGGTGGTAGCGGAGAGAACGGCGTTGGAGAACATTTTGATGATGTTGCGATTGATGTTGTTCAGAGAATGCGAGGTCGCGAAGGTTGTGGTGTTATTGGGAGTGGGGTGTGAGGATGTTGAGCGACTGTTGCTTGATCGGACTATCTTCAACGAGAACATAAACTTGTTTATATACTTCAAACGCTCACATATAAATGTATGGATTCCGAACTAATCACTGCCCTCCTCATGGCGTATCATGGTCCTCCATAGCCGGACACTACCAGCCCTATCTGCCTGTACGCAACTAACATGGAGATCACTAGCTAGCTCAATGTTGTTAAATTAAGCTTGATCTCGGCGTAAACGCCAAACTTCTGGAAGGCTAGTTTCTCAATTGTCGATAATGCCGCGGTGGATTTGGTTGGCGTATGTCGTGGGTATGCCTGGGCGTACTGGCGTATTCCGGCGTATTTGAGCGTACCTGCTAAGGGGCGATGCAACGGCGGATATGTATGCGACTAGGAGCTTGAGGCGCATGATACTATAGATGATCTTCATAGAGCATGTAGTTAATTATTACAAATCTTGAGATGCAACGTAAGCTAATGGCGGACTCAACAGCCTTGCTCTTGAGCGTACTCGAACTTAGCCGCTCGGCTACGGGACCCCGATACCACCACCACCATTCCAAATTGATGATGTTGCAGCCTAGCTTGACATTATATCGGAGATATGCAATTGTCATTGTAGAGTGGTATCTTGATGAGTTGTTTGTGAAGTTGAGAGATCACAATATGGCGACCATTTAACTTATATAACCTAGATCATCTCCTCACTAACAACGACAAGGCAATCCAGCATATTGTACGTCTCATCACAATGCCCAAACTCAACTTTAAGAGAGCTGTTACTCTTCTCTGGTCCACTTCCTATGCTGTAGCACAAAACCCCTTCCCAGACACTACCACCTGCGACAAGACATGCCAGGCCCGAGCCCTCAACGCATCCTCTTGGATCTCAGAGCAACAATCTGACCCGACATTCTCCTTCTACAATACACCTCCGAACTTCTCAAGCGAAATTTCCCCCGGTGTTGTTCTCAAGACAGAAGATGTCACTGACCTGGATAACTACGTCGTCCCCAGCGGTCTGACCATGTCGCGAATCATCTACACCACCGAAGACCTTGATGGAAAGGTCATTCCCGCTTCTGCCTATGTCCTCTGGCCTTATTCTCCCTTTCCAACAGGTCCCGTCTCTACCAAGAAGGGCTTACCCATGGTTGCTTGGGCTCATGGGACGACTGGTACCTTCAAACCCTGCGCGCCTAGTACCTACAGAGCTTTGCAGTACCACTTTCAAGTTCCTTTCGCTCTGGCACTTCAGGGCATTGCAGTTGTTGCGCCCGACTATGCTGGTCTTGGTGTATCTGAGTTGCCTAACGGAGATGCCATTCCTCATTCCTGGATCACAGCGCCGGCTCACGCGAATGATGTTGCTTTTGCTGTGACGGCAGCTAGATCAGCATTCCCGGATCTTCTGAGTCCTGAGGGTCCTTTTGTCGCTATGGGTCACTCGCAGGGTGGCGGAACGTCTGTAAGTTATTGTCCCTACATACAGCGCATTCCATGGGCTCAGTGGCTCATGGGCGCGGCCTACTGCCATCAAGTACGGAAGCTAACTATGCTCTCTAGTGGGCTTTCGCAGAAAGACAAGCCAAGATACCTCTCAAAGGCTACAAAGGCACAGTCTCCATAGCGCCTGTAACCCGAATCCTCGATGACTATGCCTACTGGACTGAGAACTCGATCGCATCACCCGGTCTACTTGCACAATCCGCAGTCATTGACTCAATTTCCAAGGTTTACCCTAAGTACAATTACACAGGCTTCACACCTACAGGCTATGATCGCTGGCACAATGTGGTTGCCAAGGTCAAAGGATGCTTCCCTGTATTGGCATTGGTGACAAGGGATCTCGCCCCTTCTGACATCGTGAAGTCCGGCTGGTATAAAGATCCTACAGCTAAGAAGTGGGCGGATCGAGTCGCTGTGGGACGGAAGCCTTTCGCTGGACCATTACTCGTTATTAATGGTGCAGATGACCATGTCGTTCGTCCCGAGGGTATTGATGCAGCTGTCAAGGACACCTGCGATTTGGTCAAGAAGGCTGGCAATAAGGAAACCCTTGAACATGCCACCTTTTCTGGTATGGATCACTTCTCTGCCATTCAGGCTAGCCAAATGAAGTGGATGGACTGGATCAAGAGTAGACTTTCTGGTGAGACTCTTGAGAAGGGTTGTTCTGGGGAACTTGTCGAGGGGCTGAGGACCAATGACACTGTTCATACACTGGGTCCGAACTTCTTCTTGTCGTACTTTGATACGGCAGAGAGTTGGAAGTATAGCCTCTGATGGAATGCAGCGGGTGGATATTAGATGTTTCAATAGTTTCGAGACCGTTGCTTTCGTTAACTGAACTTGGATAAGTCCTGTACTGAATACGAGGAACTGGCGCCACATCGTGAGAAGCAGGTTGACAGGTTGGAATGTTCTTATGAAGAGAATTACAACAGATGAGATAGAGAACAAATACAATAGATCATACAATATCACATGGCCGCATGCCTCAAATACTTCCCTCCCACATATCCCTCAGCTGTATCAACAAACAATTTCCTCCCCTTGACATACGACACCATGAATGAGAACAACTTCCAGTTCCCAATTTGACCCGTCGCATACTTCTTTCCCAGTGACACAAAGATCATCTTCTTATTCGCAGGCTGATACGGCTTTATATCCGTTGTCCCAGTCAAAGTCGCATCTAGAGCTGTCGCCAAGTGAATGATCTGATTGTCCGTGATGGTCAATTGCTTGGGATCAATGTTACCCACATCACCAATGCCCCATATGTTCTTTGTCCCAGCGACTCTCATCTTTTCATCAAGCCTGATGTTTCCACTAGAGTCTAAGAATGATGGCGGCACGAAGGAGGTGTTGAGTTTGATGCCGTGGAGAGGGAGATAGAGATCTGTTGTGAGGGTGCTTCCATTGGACAAGTGCACTCCTGTCCGTTGGCCGCTTTCGCTCTTCTTTGCTTTTGTGACACGCGCATTGTGGATGAGTTTGACCCCAAGGGTCTTAAGGTCTCTTGTAATTGATGTGCGAACTGAGTCAAGGGCCCCTTCCAACGGTTGCTCACCACTAATAACAAGGGTGATGCTCTTGGAAAAGCCGTATCTTGCAGCCAATTCCCCAGCGACTTCAGTTCCAGTAGCGCCGCCACCGGCGATTACTATTGACTTTGAGTCTTCGACTTGGCTTTGCAATTGCTTCCATGCTGAGATAGTCTCTTGATGCGTTCCAACAGGCTTCAGTGGAAGATCACTAGCCAGCCGAGACCCTGTCGCAACGACCAGCTCATCATACACAATCTCGCGCCTGGTATTCTCATTAGAGATTAAATGTACAGTGTTGGATCCAGCATCGAATCCATCTGCTTTTCCAAGGAGGAACTCAAAGTTCTCAGGAGGGTATTGATCGAAGCCGGGCTTGATTGGTAGGAAGAGCTGTTCATCTGCAATGGCGTCCGGTATTATCCCACGAGTAGCAGCAACGTTCCAAAAGAAGTGGCTGTTTGGTGAGACGAGAACGACTTTGAGATCAAGAACTTTGGGAAGGGTGTGTTTGAGAAGCTTATGGGCGAGTGGAAGACCAGCCCATCCAGCACCGAGAATGATTACGGTTTTTGTCATGATGGCGGGTGATGCTATTCGAATGACATGGAGGCAAAGTAGAAGTGAATACATTAGCTGACTATCTGCAATACTGTAATCTCATTTATATAAATATATAGATGCTCGGTGTCGGTGATGGGCGTACGTTGGTGTTGAGAATGAGCATATCCGGGGTACATCCTTTGCACTACGAATTATTAGCTGTTTGATGTACTTTTGTTAGCATTACCCGCTCCTTCGCACTCGGTGGTGGATGCTCCGGTGACAGGGATCACGACCGAACGCCGTGTCCGAAGACGATCCCCGATCCTTCGGCTCCCCTCATCAACAGCTTCAGTAAGCAGACCATACCCAGCCCATTCTATCAATTGAGCCTCAACCACAGTGAATTGGTTGTTTCCGTCTCCTGTTATCCCAATATCTACCTGTTACCACCCTATACCTCTGTGTCTCTGTCGGAGCTTATAACCCCCGATGGACCGATCACTATCTTCATCCCATCATGAGGTCACAACCAACCTCAAAATCTGGAGCTGTGTAACCTGTCGTCGTCGCAAGATCCGCTGCGACAGAAAAGACCCATGCAGCAACTGTATAAAAAACAAAATCGACTGCCATTTCCCCGTAACAGGCCGCATACCAAGACGAACCCGTGATGCCAAGACTCCCGCTCAGAAACAATCTGAATTACTCAGTCGTCTTCGTCGTCTCGAGTCAGTCGTCACTGAACTCGCGGCGCAGGTTGAGGATGGAAATGGGGCCAAGAGTATGGGTCAGATAACAGTGGATAAGGAGCCTACAGAGTCTTCGAGGGCTACGTCATCTGGCAGTTTGGATCATCAGACTTCGGAGTTTGATGAGGATTTTGGTAGACTTGTTGTTGACAAGGACGGTGGGCTACACGTTGGAAATCGCTTTTGGACTGTATTCTGCAGTGAGGTTAGTATATTTCACCCTGGCATTGATGGGATAACTAACAAGTGATAGGTCGACAATATACTTCAAGCTGTACACGACGTTGCAGATTACTCTGAATCGTCAAGTAACTCAATCATGACAGAGCCTACCACTAATGGGGCTTCGGCTCCTCTCAGTCATCTAGGCTTTGTCTTTGGCAGCGCAGACTTCGCAAAAGCATTAGATGGGCTCAACCCCATGCCCTCTCAAATGCTCTTCATATGGCAAACATATGTCGAAAATGTTGATCCTTTCATTAAGGTGCTTCATACCCCATCGATTGAGAACATCATAAAACAATTAAAAGCCAACTTTAGCTCTTGTGGTCACAATGTAGAAGCCCTGTTGTTTGCGATATGCTTAGCGGCCATTGCGTCCATGGACGAAGAGACAGTCTCCTTCAACTTCAACACACCCAGAGAACAGCTCCTGCAGCGGTATCAATTTGGTACTGAACAAGCACTCGCCCGTGCCAACTTTCTCACCACAAGAGACATCATTGTCCTTCAAGCCCTGGTCATATATCTATCGCTGCTACCAAACATTGGGGCTCAAGATAGGATATGGCCATTGACAGGTTTGCTCCTAAGACTAGCAAAGTCAGTGGGCCTTCATCGCGAGGACGACTCAAATCAATACAATCAGCTTGAGAGGGAGATCAGACGTCGACTCTGGTGGCACATCTGCTTCATCGATTCCAGTAGCCGACGAGCTGACGCTCAAGACCTGTCAATCACCCCGGCGTCCTTCAGCACAGGGCTTCCTACGAACTCAAACGATGTCGATCTGGATAGCTCAACCACTCAGATCCCAAATCCGAATCAAGGATCAGCAGGCGTGACACTCTGTCTCATCCGCTGCGAGCTGTGGTATCTCGCACAAGCCATCCGCGCCGATACAACCGACTCTCTAGAGACTCGTCTCGGTCTCTTCAACGCCCTGAGACAAAAGGTCGAGAAGACGTACTTTCAGCATCTACAGCCCGACCAACCATGGGACTCCTTCATCAGGACGATGGCAACGCTGTTCTTTGCAAAGGTTGAACTAGTCATTCGACGACGATCCAAAACTCTCCCTGCAGCGGATGAGCTATTGAACCCGTCTATCACAGTCATCAAAGCGGTTCAGTCTCTCAAATCAGAGCCCGTGTGGGAAAAGTGGCGCTGGCAGCTACAAGGACAAATGCCATGGCATGCAATGGGTGTATACCTCCGTCAGGCTTCTCGACTCCCTTGGACACGAGAACTAGAAGAAGCATGGGGTTCGACTACAGCATTGAAAGAAGGAGTCACAGAGGACGTGGAGACGGGGCCACTGTGGAAGTCTCTAATGCAGTTATACTCAAGAGCGGAGAAGCATCGTGAAAAGGAGCTTAAGCGTCAAGGAGCCAATGCCCAACATACCCGAGAGAAGGGAGATCGCGTGAACTCTGATGTCCAGCAAATGCTCGACAACGCCAAGAACATGTCAAACGAGATCCCTGTTAACCATCCTTTAATCGACACGTCGACATTTGACTCGTCTCTGCATATTTCTCCGCCAGCAGACAATGGCGCTCTCTCCGTGGAACGTCTGTCAACGAGTCTAGGTACAGCGACTGATGATCTCCCTTCATGGGTTGAAGCAGGAGGTGACATGAACTTTGGTCAGGGTCAGAATTTCGGAAACTCGTCGTCTAATGGGAACACTGATGGCGTGGATTGGGAGGCTTTGATGGATCTAGATGAGACGTGGAATTGGGACTTTCTGTAGAGCACAACAGATTCCTTGGCCGGGCTACACTGAACAGTATTATTCATTCAGCCTTTAGACACTTTCACGTATACGAAAATAATCATTACCTACGTCCTCTTTGCATTCCTTGCATACGCCCATAACGAAAACGATTCCACTCAACTTGCCGAATTCCGGCCTTTCCTTGCGATGCATTCCCATCTTTGATAGAAGGCCACAAAGGATGCTATTCGCATGTAGCTTAGATGTTGTTAAGCTCACTTATTAAAAGCAAATATTACAGCGTTATCGACTCCTTAATGTCCCTAGTTCGTTGCTTTTACGAGTCGTATAATGAACCGTCGTCGGTGACATTCCGCGATTCACATACCCAGCTCGTCCCACTACAAGCACTATTGAATGTGAGGGTATGTCTCTCTTCCGAGTATAAGCATTTCTTTTGTCAATATGCGGCAACTCGGCACTCGACTGTGGACTCGGTAAGGTTCTACGTAGAGCAGCTATGTATCCCTTGACTTGAATGATCAACAGTGCTTGTCATACATCATCATTTAACAGTCGAACGGACAAAGGTCATGCAACGTAAAATACAAGCAATTAAGAACATCTCTAGTGTATGATCTGCTGCCAGGAACAAAGGCGTTCCTGGATCCTTTAGTCAGATCTCAACAGCCTTAACTCCATCAAAGTTACAACGTCGATATTCACATATCCAGGAACGACCCTCCACGCCCTATGGAACACCGGCACATTCGTCTATTACGTTTCGCAAGGTCCCAGAACTATTCAGGGTCTCGAACAAATAGTGCCAGTGTAATGCGAAAGTGACACTCCTATTCACAGCGTTGCTAATACCCCAGCTTCGTATTACGGCAACCGGAACGTCTAGCCCTGCAAGGGTTCGACCTTCTGGACCTCGAGTATCGTGACGGGCCAGGGGGCCCCCGGCTAACGGCAACGACTTCAACGTTTGTCAAGGGAGTG